TAAAAATATGGCCATGGTTAATAAGGTCAAAAGCCTTACTGAAATCTAAAAACACAGTACCAACTATTTCTCCATTGTCTAAATATTTTAGCCATTCATCAATTAGTTTAGTCAGCGCTGTTTGACACGAATGACCTAGCCTGAAACCTGACTGAGCGATATGTAACAATTTTTTATTAGTTGCGAGTTACAAAATTAGATTTGCGTGAAAATGGGGGAAAACTATTTAAATTTTTTGGTGTACCTCTTTTACATTTTTGAATGATGATTGCTTATAGAATTGTAAACAGTATTGTTGATTATTTTTGTTGTTTGGACTTCATCTCATCTGAGTCTCGTGTTTGCTTACATAAACACTACGCAAAGAATGGTTATTTTCTGAAGAAACAGATAGCATTTTGAAATACAGCGGATGGCTTGTAGTTTAATTATTATTAAATTTCATAGCTAGCACCGTCATATTAAACGTAAAGTGAGATAGCAACTAAACTATAGTACATATATGTAAAAGACCCTTTCTGCAGATTTCGTTAAGAGTGGGCTCTTTCGGGCAGCTGCAGAGGCAATATTTGTTAGGGATCCCAAAATTTATTCTTTGGCAGTGACCCTCAAAATTGTGGACGTTTAGGTTATATATGTCTACATTGGCTAGAGGTGAAGGGGGAAGGTTGAGCGCTCATATAACCTGTTTAACACCGCCGCATTTTTGCGTCTGTCCTAAGTCAGGAACCTCTAGCCTTTGTTGGTCTTGTATATGTTTTAATTTTGGTTCATCTATATGTTTCGGAGCATAGAATGGCGTCCATTTTCTTGATCTAGTGTACATTGTGTTTCGGGGACTGAGACAATCGTTTTGGGAAGTAACATAACTAAACCATGACTAACTGAAACCAAACTATGACAAGATCACTGTACTAAACGCTCCTCGATATTATACAGAATTTAGAGTTTGTGTTACATTTGTATTTTAACATATACTGATATAAACTAGTACTAGTCATCAATAAAATAATTTGCTTTGAATGAATTTACTATTATGTTAATAAAATAATGTCTAATATCATAAGAGTTATTGTGTACCAAACTGTGACAATTCTTTAGTGCATTAAACATATATTCGACACTCTCTTAATCCTATTTACAAAACCACTAAAATTAAAAGAGCCTCTGTTTTTAAATTATCTCAATACACAACCGTTTTGTATGTATTATTTTGTTATTTTGTTGCTGTTCTTGTGAAAGAATATCTTAAACATTTGCTTATTCGTTATGTACTCGGACTTTTCCTTAAAAATCAATGGAAGATTAAATCTATGTTATATCAATTTTCATTGGTCAAAAAATATGTATTCCGCAATTGCAAAAATAAATATGCGGTTGCATAAATGTAAAGATATTTATGAGATTGCATAAATGGGATTAATGCAATCGCATAATTAAATTTATGCAATCGCATAAATAATAATGCCATTCCATAATTATTTATGCCATCGCATAAATGAATTATGCGATTGCATAAATGAATTATGCGATTGCATAAATGAAGTATGCGATGGCATAAATTGAATTATGTGATGGCGTAAATGAATTATGCGATGGCATTAAAACGCCATTGTGACACTATTCCCGCGCCATATCGGTACAAGCCGATCCCCAAGCTGATACATACAAACTTCTCAAATGGCATCAAACTCCACTTCTACAAGATGGTTCCAGCGCTCATCAAGGAAGCCAAAACTGTTTCGAGGCAAGTGCGTCTGGTAGATGAACAGAGTCTTGCCCGTTGGCAACGCACCAAGTATCAACGGTCACAGGAACGCCTCTCTTCACTATGGGAGCAACGTCAAGACGGTACTATCACCACCTCCTTCTTCCTTCGTGCCGTCGGACACATGTACGACATTCCTGTGCCAGACCCAGAACCAGAAGAAGACACTGACAGCGAGTGATTTAATTGACATTGAGTGAACTGTATGACTTGTATTATGTTAGTGCATATGTGGCTACAATCTATATGTTTATATAACATTTATTTATTAAATGCTTAATGAGTATTCTTTATGTTTAGAATAATATAGTGCGTTTTTTCTTGGTGAGCTAATCAAATTGAACAGTTATAGTGCTGTTAGTTGTTCTATATATTATATATGTACTGCGTATGATAGTTACTGTATATGTTATTGTAGTGCTGCAAGTGTGACCCCTTTTATATTATGTAAGTGACAGTGTAATTGTTAGTGTAAATGATTTAAGAGTTATATATATTTATGTGAGTGTCAGAGATAGTGTGTTTGTTAGTGTGTATGAACTTATTGTTATATTATAGTAATGCTGATATTATATTTTAGAGAGTGAAAATGTGCATTCAGTGTAATTATTTTGTTATTATCTTGCAATAAAGAATAATGGATACTCATATAACTTGTTTTTTATCTACACACAACTATTCAAAATATTGTCAACTTAACTCATATGGCAAAATCAAAGGTACTTTATTTAAATCATTTGCACCACGTGACTTTGTCCCCTTTGATCAAATTACTTCCCTTAGCTTAAGATTGAAAATATAATTTGTTGGAGATTTGCGGATAATCCAGTCCTTTTCTGTCATGTATCTAAAACTAATGTATCTTTAAAAACTTCTTTTGGCGGATATTTACAAAAATGCTGTGTAATTCTAAGGGAAAATGCTTAAAATTTAACTTTTTACGAAATGGGAAGGTTGAAATCATCATGTTTTTAAAAGAATTTGGCCGAAAACTTAAGAAAGCAGGTAAGTTAAAAGTTATTTAACTCTAAAATTCAACCTACAAGGTGTTTCCCTATATGCGAACAAATCATGAACAATATCTTCTTGCATGTGTATTTCTGTTTTGAATCTTGCTATTTTACGATTTTACGTCATTTTATTTGATCTTATATAGCAATTACACAATGGTTACGCTTCCGATTTTTAAACTAAAAAGGCCGAAAGATTTCAGAGTAGACAATGTCCATTTGTACACGGACAGAAGCCTAAAAACATGTACAATTCACCTATATGCGAACAAATTGTTCATTCGACATAGGTATTTGCATATTGGCATTTTTATTAAAAGGGCTTATATAATCCTATTGTAATGGCTGCCGTCATGATAAGGCAAAATGGCCGCTATGCAAATTAGCAAATTACCCCAAATTTTGTCCAGAGTGACAGACTGAAATTTGTCATTTAAGACGGTAAAATAACATGTTGTGTTATCATGGTTATATATATGATATTATTAATTCGTATTTTTTTAACTAATTTGATTCGTTCAGAGATAGTCACATGTTAAACTATATTTTCGAAGGTAGAGAGAAAACGGCGGATAGCAAAAAGCATATTGCACAGCAAAAAGCATATTGCACGGTTATTTTTAGAATATCTAAAAACCGATATACTTTGTGACGTCATGTAATGAATTTCGTGATATTGTTAAAAGTTTTATAAAAAAATATCTATGATCGATTATTTGAAGAAAAAAAATCTTCATATACATAAAATGTAAAAAAAAATGTAAATGAAATAACAACTTTTATGTTGTTATTATCTAGGAGACAATATGATATCTATAAAATTCCAACAAAATCAAAAAATCAAATCAGGATTTTGATACAAATATGGTCGGAAATTAATGATATAACAATTATAGCCTATTGATGAGGTCAATACAGGATATATCGACCAAAAGAAGTATATCGACCTCGGACTTCGTCCTCAGTCAATATACTTCTTTCAGGTCAATATATCCTTGTATCGACCTCATACAAAGGCTATAATTGTATAATAATGATTGCCAAATATTATGAGACAACTATCCTCCAAAGTTCAAATTAAGTATCAAGATGCATCCTGTAAGAAATAAAGGCAACCACGTGGACTTCAACAATGAGACAAACCCATCTCGCCATCTGTAAAAGGCCCCGAAATCAATCAATCAATCAATTGATTTTAGTAAAACATGGTAAAAAAATAAATGAAAAACATATAATGATATATGATATACAGCAACTATTAATGACAACTATCAAATCACAGGTTCCTGACTTTGGACAGGCACAACCAGAAACTTGCTGCTGTCTGGTTAAACACATTTGCATGCGCCAAACTCTTCCCGCTAATTTATTCCCCAAGTGTTGTACATGTATTGTACATGTTGTATAATGAAAAATTAACAAAAATGCAAGTTTAAATATTGCAATTTTAAGAAAAGCCACATACAGATGTAACGTGAGGGTACCCAAATTGCACCTATTTTGACAGTTTTTTCACCCAGGTTTTTTATGATCCAGACAAAAGTTTCCATTCTGTGTTTATTTTGTAGACGTATCCTTATTTACTATATAGTTACACCAATTTAATTTTGAATCCATATTGAATCATAGAAAAATGGGTTTGAACCGACCTCCAAACGATCCATGATTCTGTAATGGGGAGTACCCAAATAGCATCCATGCTTACTTTCACATCCTTAAAAATCGAATAACAGATGTTTTGTTTAATTTCTTCAAATATTTAGAACAATTTGACATTAGTCCATGCTTACTATTCATTTTTTAAGAACATAGTTGATACACTAAAAAGAGAGAACTCTATTTTGGAAATACAACGTCAAACATACAAAGGATGTTATCAACGGACAATGATAAATTTAAAGTACAAAAACACGAATTATGATAAACATGAATTCAGGATGGTCTATCATTAATTGTTATTATTGTTTTTAGCATTATAGAATCTTAAGACCTGTCTTTAATATAGATCGATGCAATCATTTTGATAACATGAACATATTGAAAGGATAAATAAAGTTGTCTTGATGAATTTGATTAAGAACACTGTGGGACTACTTTGATTAGAGTTTGGTAATAAGAGGGTTGAGAAATAATTAAATTTCATACGAATTAATGATATATAATAATAATCAAACCAAGCTTTCATGATTTTAATTTTATTCCACAGTTACACTATATAAGATCTCTTCATACAGTGATTGTGGTACCTAGAATAAATAAGAAAATATAATTATATTGCTGTAGTAAATAAATAAATGCAAAATAAATGAAATGTAAAAGCCGTTATGTTATGTGAAACTACTAAATTTAAGAGTTTCTTAGTATTTTAAGGTCGTGCTTATTTTAACTTATTCATTGGCGGAGAAAGTAAGATAAGAGACATATACCAAATATTTTTCAAATTTTGTATGAAGACTATTATCTATCGTATTTCAACTTGGACAATACAGTAAGATCCACTAGTAGAGTAGTATGGCTATGGTTTATGAGAATAAAGATATATATAACCATCCAGAAACACCTAATTTTACCATGGATGTTTGGTTAAGCTGGCGTCCTTAATCTTTAGTTGTCAGTGTTGGCTATTGTTCGTCGTTTCGTTCTTTTCTTTTAACAATGGTGTTGTCTGTTTTCTCCTAACACTGTTTTGGTTTCCCTTTAATATCCTCTTTCTTGTTTTCAATCACAGAGGAATGGGTATAATTTTTTAACAAACAATTATTTCAGACTATTTTTTCTCAGTCCACGAGGTACTTCTTAGATATATTAATTAAAAAAAAACAAGAGACAACTTTATTTGTTCACTATATCTGCAGATGTTTAGAAGAAATGTTGTCTCTAAATAATGAAGGTGTGTTTAAATATAGACTTCCTTATTCTAGTTTACACAGCAATAATTTATTTATAATGGGACGACGGGTACTTTGCTTTTGGTTGATAGTGATATTGCATGCCATTGGTTCCTTCTTAATGGGTATAAATTTCTCAATTGTTTCGCGCGTTTAAGGTTATGTTAATGTGATATTCCAATTAAGATTTTCTTTACAGCAGGAAAACAGATCATAAATATGTTAAAACTATTATATTGTTGTATCACAAATATAGTAACTTATTGAGATAGTATGATTCTACTAGCAGGATTTTCATAAAATTCTATTTAACATGTTCATAATTATACTGAGATGGTTAGATGATCGCGTTTAATGTTTTTCTTTTTTTTAAATATATAATTACTTATTTATAGTTGACAAGAAAACAAAATCTTTTATTATACAATTAACTGTAGATATTACACATAATCGGGATTTCTTGACCTTACCATGATACTGTTATATGCCTCGTAGTACTGTTACCGATTTATGAGCGTATAAAGGCATGCTTTCTATATTAGCAAGTAATTAAGCACATTTAGCTGGCACACAAAAACTGAGAACATGTTTTATATGTTGATACGGAATTGTTTATTATTGTATTAGTCGCATCTGCTTTTGTTACAATATATTATAATTATCATTTAGTATTGTTATACCGGTTTGATAAAGTGTAGTATTTTTTCGGATTTAAAGTTATTATATTCTGGAACACACCCGCGACATCGCGTTTTCGTGACTGAATTAGAGTTTCTAATTATATATAAACCTTGTTTTTAGCCTGGACTTTTAGTACTCGTATTGTAATCTGATAAAGTCATGCTGTTTATAAGATGGACGGTTTTCTCTGCTTTCAAAATCTTTCTGTTTGAACCCGTCGAACTGGAACTTATTACTTATTGGTAATATCAATTATTTGGAAAACAAAAGGGCCTGGAATGGTTTTATTTTTTAATCAACATCATGATTGTCCTATATTAGTTATATATATAAAGTTGAATTCTTTTATTCACCGTTTTTACGTCATGCCGCCTAACAAATTGGAAACTGTACCTACGCCTTATAATATTTTAAGTTTGGATTTTTAGTATTCGTAATGTCATTTTATACTTATAAAGTCATGCTGATTAAACACTACAATAGGAAACAATGTGACACTGATTGAATTTAGTACGTCGACTGAGCATGCGCGAAAGCGTATAAGACACGGATCGATAACGGTCTCAGAATTTGGATATTTTCTCAAAAATTGGCGTTTTCTGTGAAAAAAAAGACAAATTTAGGAAGTACAAAACACTACATTTATACGTCATATCACAATTATTTCCGACTTTGTATGGTTTCAGAGGAGTTGCGGCTCAATGAAATCGATCTCTTCCTTTATAGTAATATAGATTAAAATTCTAAGTACCTATTGTTATTTTATTGATTGAGTTTAAGGTTAGAATGTTAATTGAGTGCTAAAAACATGTTTGAATTACCCAAATGTTCATGTATCTGTCGCATGTCAGAAACACCGTCAGTGATTGTCTTTAGTTATACAAATAACTGTAATTTTCGGTTCCAATCGATCTAATAGTTCGACAAAATTCGGCCGCTCGGAAACAGTGATCGACCTTGTCGGTGTCAGAAATATTTTATTCCATGACTTGGTTTCTCGTAACACAATCGACTTGTTTGGTTTCGTCCTGGCTTTTTTTTTTTTAGAATATTGAAGAGAATCGGCTCAAATAAATTACCATCCACATACATAAAGAGATCCTACTCACCACCCCTTTTCTTTCATCCTTGGCCTGGGCTAGAAACTACAAAAATTATAATAATCATAACAGTAATGAAGTATTAAAAGCAATTAAAGACGAAACACCTGTAATAGTAATACGCCGTACATGTAATACTGTAATTAAAAACTCAAAACCTGTAATACAAGGAATACCGTAAAGTCTCGACACCTGTAATAGTAATACAGGTAATACTGTATTTAAAGACCCTACACTTGTAATACGGGAATATTGTAACGACTCAACACCTGTAATAGTAATACAGTTAATACTGTATTTAAAGACCCTACACTTGTAATACAGGGAATACTGTAAAGACTGAACACCTGTAATAGTAATACAGTTAATACGGTCGGTATTTAAAGACCCTACACTTGTAATACAGGGAATACTGTAAAGACTCAACACCTGTCATAGTAAGACCGGGAATACTGTAACGACTCAACACCTGTTATAGTAAGACAGGGAATACTGTAACGACTCAACACCTGTCGTAGTAATACAGGGAATACTGTAACGACTCAACACCTGTCATAGTAATACAGGGAATACTGTAACGACTCAACACCTGTCATAGTTTTCGCCAAGTTGAAACATGAATTTACCTCGAAAACCTCGAAAAAATTGAGAGTAAGGGGATATATTAATTACTCACCCAAAATATCTTTTTGAAACCAGCCAAGATAAGAAAAATATGATTAGATATAACAGACAAGATGAACGATGATTAACATAAACTAGTAAATGGTGATTATGTCACTTTTGTCATTCGCCAATTAAATACATTTTAAAATTAACGTTTCAAATTAAGAATTGAAAAGACAGGGAGTCATACCAAGTTTCTCTGAAGAATATATAATAAAAGATCAAAATAATACAGATCTTTGGTTATAGAATTAAACACGAATTGAAACAACCGTCTGACAACAACTACTGGGAATGGGAAGCACAACGTCCATAGTCGTTTAAACAAGAAAAGTACATTGATTGGAAAAGGGCACTTGCAGCACATTTTTGAATCACATTAGCTTTTATTCATGTGGTATTATATAAAATTTGATTTTGAAGTATAATTTATGTTTGTGATTTTCGCTATGCCTCCAAAGCTAATAATTTATCATAAAATTTTTTTTCAAGAAATAAAGAATAAATAAATTCATCTAAAAACCTATCCTGAATAGCCTCGCACGGGTCGATTGGATGCCTTTTCATTTCAGTAACTTATTATTACATTTTTCATATTAATCTATTTCCAGTTTCTTTTTGATGAATTGATTAGATAAATTATAAGCTTTGAAGGCATAGCGGAAATCATTGGCAGTGCTCATCCAAGATCATGATAGAGTTCGTATTCATCAAAATTTAGAAAAGCCTCAGAACGTACCCAAGGAGCGTCACTTCCGGTAGACTTATATCTAACGCCGTTGATTACATTTTCAGGTAAATATGGTTGAACTTCACAAACAATTAAACAGTTATTACTTGTCCAAGTTGCATCGTTTTATTTCCATTTTAAACTTTTAGATAAGAATCACTTGATATATGTGATTTAGTACCTCTTAAATGATCCAGATAACAATAAATTTCTGTATGAACACTTTCCATAGCCTGACCATTCCATTGTTTCTATGAAAGTCGGGATTATAGAGAAAATATATCATCCAAAAAATGACCCCATATTGAGTACACCATATCGCTTACTAAAAGAAAATTTCTGGATCCGGGAATTGGGAACAGCTATTCCTTACGGATGCAACGACAAAATTGATGGTGTAACTATTTTGTCTTGTCCCAGGTGTTGTGATATCAACAAATTAAAATGATTTATCAGCTCTGTTCGACGCAATAGGAGTCACGGTCATCGAATATATACACCCCCGGCAAATTACACCGTGTCTATGGATGGTTTGTTATCCTCAGATCATAAACCTTTGGGAATTTACTATATTCGAACTTAACTGTTTGCAATACAATTCATCAAAGCTCATTTAGATATTTCAAGAGGCCCAAAACAATTATTGATACACATTCTACTAAGTACGATTAGTTGCAATAATTATGGTCATTGCTAACCATAGGCTATACAAACCCGTGACAACTACTTTATAAGATGATGAAAAACTAAGTTTTTTCAAGTAGAATTTGCTAATAAGGGTTTAGATGCCATAAATATAAGCAATATTGTCCATAGAAAATACCTGCAGAAAGCAATACCTGATTACTTCAAAGATCAAACTATACTTTCCATTTCATATACCCACACCAAACTTATTGCATCTAAAATTTTCAACCACAAAAGGGTATAAAAGACCTCAGGTATATAAACTCCAAACTTCCCGATTGCTCTTGTACATCATCCCCATACAAATATAGTGCCGATGATCATTTCATAACTGGAGACTTTTGTATCTAAAAAACAATGAACAAGCTTGCCAACGACCCGAACAACCGCGAATTCCCAAGCCCAATAACTTGAGGAAGAACTGATGGAAACAGTTGAGGACTATGTCAGAAAATTGGTAAATCGAATCAACCAAATGTGTACGCTTTATTTGAATGGATCAAAAAGTAAAACAATAAAAATACTGAACTCCATGGAAAATTCAAAATGGAAAGTCCCCTAACAATTGGCAAAATCAAAATCTCAAACACATCAAACGAATGGAAAACAACTGTCATATTCCTGACTTGGTACAGGCATTTCCTTGTGTAGAAAATGGTGGATTAGACCTGGTTTCAAAGCTAGCTTTTCAAAGATTTAGTTAAAATATACCATGAACAACGAGTACACACGGATTTCTGACCCTTTAAAGAAGGGGATATTTTGTGAATGGTTTATCATCACCACACAACAAGTATGTTATTGTTGAGTTCCCAGTCCCTCATAAATTATACCCCTCTTCACGAAATAGAAATTCATAAATCCATCCTTCTTTCCTTTTGTATAAACATTAAAAAAGAGGACGATGAAAACCTTCCATCGTTATATAGGATACCTAAACTTCACAAAAATTCTTATAAAGAACGATATAAAGCCACTAAACGTCTTTCTAAAATTCTTACTACCATTCTTTCCATAGTATAAGATGGTTTTCAGAAATACTGTGATGAAGTATATTTAACCAGCGGTGTCGATCAAATGTAGATTCTTAAACATTCTATAGATTTACTCCAAATTCTTCAAAAACAATCTTTACAATATTCCAATAACATGAAAACCTTTGATTTGGCTACGCTTTACACTACTATTTGAAAGATCGACTACATCGTTTAATTAAACAGAGTTTTTTTAACACAAATGGGAAACGTGGAAAAAGATTCATTGTTTTGGGTCATGAAAAATCTTACTTTGTGAAGAACCACACTGATTCCAACAACACATACACCGAAGATGTTATCATCAATATGCAGCACTTTTTAATCGACAACATATTTGTTGAGTATTGGAATGATATTTCAGCAGACAGTCGATATTCCAATCGGTACTAATTGAAAGAAAAGGTATCTGGCAAAGTTCTTTAATTTCACTTTTAGATATATTGGTGATGTCATGTCACTCAATAACCAACATTTCAATGAGTGCTTACATCTCACATATACAGGGGTGTGATCCTTACACAAATAAACTGTTCCGTCAAAGTTATGTGGAAGAACGACTGAAATCGACACTATATAAGTTGTACGGTAACCATCACAAATTGATTGACAAAAACGATATATGTCGGTGTTTCAATTCACGAGCGACATGTTTTGTCGGTCTTTGAACTTAAGATACCAGTAAATTTGTCTGATCTGTCTTATTCCCGATTGTGTCCTATTCCCGATTGTGACATTTTGAATGAGTGTGGAGTCGAAAAGCGTTTGATGCATGAATAGCGGGAGATGATTACCCTGTGTAGGAACCCGGTCTCGCTCCTTTGGGAGTTCACGCGATTTCCTCAGTTTTTGTTTGTTACTTTGATTTGTCTCTTCTTAATTGATTAACAAGATTTGAACATCGGTAAACCACTGTCGCCTTAATACTAGAGGTCTAGTGCAAAATATCAGAAATTTTCATATAAGCTTAACATTATGATTTAAAAATGGATCAAATGGATTGAATATAACATTAACGCTTCCAATTTTACTGCACCAGTCTCCAGTGATACTCGAGGCCTAAATTTAGTATTAGACGTTTAAGGGCCTTAATTATAGCCAAATCCGGACAAGGAATCGGAGCTTTGCATGAGAGAGATGCATTCCTTAATTCAAAATGAGATCTAAAAACAAATTTAACACAGAAAATTTCAGTCACACAATTTTCGTAGTTTCATGCTAGTATCTAATTACTGGCTACTGGGTTGGTCATACCCTCGGGGACTAATAGTCCACCAGCAGAGGTATTGACCCAGTGGTAGTAATTACATTAACGGTACCAATTTTACTGCTCTATATGCGCATTTCGACAATTAATGTCTCTTCAGTGATACTCGAGGCCTAAATATTTGAAAATCCAATTCCTAATAAAAACTTCGAAGAGCTGATAAAACCAAAAAGGACCTAGAGTATAGCCAAATCTGGATAAGGAATCAGAGAGTTGCATGTCGGAGATATATTCCTGAATTCTAAATGAGTTCTAAAAAAAAATATAACACAAGAAATTTCAATTCAAGATTCAAATGGCCGGGTTGCTTAAACATTGGTCTATACTAACCTTTTAAATATAAGGAAATATAAAATGGGAAAATGGGAAATTCTTTTTTGAACAACTCCATAATGGAAGGTGCACAACATCAAAAGGTTTTGCATACTTTCTGTAAACTTCCAAAGATCTAGATTAAAAACAAAAAAAATGTTGCCATCTTTTGATGACAAATGACAAAGTTACGAAGTCTGGAAAAATATGTAAAATTATTCAAACAATTCCATAATAGCAGATGCACCATTGAATTGGTCCCGTCTTTTATAATTTTGGTTAACAGATGACTCAGATCCAAAGTTCGGAAAATATAGGAAAACAATACTCAAACGACTTCATAATAACAGATTTTTCTGTACAGTTTCAAGCATCTGTTTAGACAACCACATGAGGAATGGATTACACAAAACTGGTACTATCTTTATAACATTTTGCTAAAAATGTCCATGTTCCAAAGTCTGGGAAAATTGATTGAAACTGTATGAGGAGTTGATCATACAAATAAGAAATCAACGTTTCGCCGCCGATCCGAACATCCGACCGCCCTACAACCAGAACGCCTATCTGTTTTACTCGACAATATGTTTACATGCTTAGGTCGTAAATATATTGATGCTAAGACTGCAAATCTAAAACTTTAGTGGTTTGAATAAGTTGTAAAGGGGCAATTTTGTAGATAAAAACACGGAATGTTAATGGTATATACTTGTATTTCAGCTTTTGTGTAAAGAGACCTTTATTTTCCTTAAAAATAAAGAGATAGCATGGAAATTTGTCGGTTTTTGAAGACTGTGTTGCCTTCTTAATGTTCAGTTGTATTGCATTTAAGATGATGTTTCATTAAAGTATACCCCATGGTAATTCTATGTAAATAATGAAATAAACCTTGCTGTATAAATATGTATATGATTCCTTTAAGGAAAGGGAGGCAATCGGTTCAGGAATAAACGGTCTTCGTTTTATTGTCAAATTTAAATATATAGATACAAAAAGTACAACCAGATTCATGCATAAATGTTTGAATCTTATACTCTTAAAATAATGACTTTTAACTGTGAATAAACGGAGAATTTATATCTTTGTCTACTTGTGTCTAACTGTAGCCTGTATCTTTTGTTTTATTTTAGAAATAAAGCTACATGCCTCTGCCTAATAGAGCACCAACTAGTCAAAATGCACCTTAATAGGAGGACTAACGAATTTCACTAAAAACACTCCCTCGGCGTGTGAGAAATTTCTGATGAAAGAGGTTTCAAGGTTGTTTTTTATTCTACCAAGATTCCAAAGATAGGTGTTAAATCGTTTGTTGTAACGATCTGTAACGCCTATGGAATGTTCAACCTCAAAAGCGTTCGCACCTCCTTAGTTAGAGATTCATTGTATTTTTGTTTACTTTGGTCAAATTGGTCATGTTACTTATTCAGCATTTATTTTGCATTATTTCGTTAAAAATTTAAATTTGAAATAAGATCTAACAAATACTAGTACATGTTGAAGCGGGATATCCCTTCGTCCAATTTCCTACAGAAATTGGTGAGCTTTTAAAAATGGAAGAAAGTTGTTTGTGTTGAGTAAACTACATACATTTTGTGAAAATGTAAACGTATCATCACTAGGTTAAACGTTTTTCCTTAAATTACCTAAAATGCTCAACTTTAAACATTTTGATGCACTTTTTTTTCAACCCAAACACAAGATGTGCATTTTCTAATCGACTAAAGTTTGATAAGATGCATATCAAGTAAGAAATAACTAGTGGACAAAAGTGTAAAAAGACAATGGACAAATATACCTGTCAAAATCATTTTTGCAATTCTTTCCCTGAACGACGGTGATTTCAATGCATTAAAACTTGGAGCAGGGAAACGAACTGTTTCATTATCTTCTATGCACTCGATCTCTCTTTGGTCAATGTTATCTCCAATAGGAATAGAAAAGATTATAACACCTTCACCTTCTTCACGTAATTTTTTTGCTGCGGCACAAGTGCGTCGTGTGTCGTCAGACCCGCCATCAGTCATAACAATGGCGAAGTTTTGGATTCCTGGTCTATCTCCTGAAAAAAAATAGTTCTGGTTTAGTTACATTTATTTTTTAAATGTTATATTTGATTGTGTAAAATGGATAAAAAGAAACTTAAAAAGAAATGATGTAACTTAAAATGAGAACTTTCTTTGAATGCGAACATTTAATGTAAATAAAAGTAATTAGGTGGCAACAGCAAAATAAGTATGAGGAAGACAGACACTATCATGTGCTAGAGTAAAAGAAACACAATAAAACGTCTACAAGACACTAAACAGAAAACTACAAATCGAAAACCGGATTCCCACAACAAACTGTGGTGAACACAAGTGCTTAATACAGAATCACCGGTAAGTGCTAGAAAAATATACATGCTGAAAAGAACTAATTAGGCTGAATACAGAGATACTATACTATTTAGGCAGTAGTGTTTTCTTAAAGGTTCTTGTAGAAGTATATATAACAGTAAAGATATTTCAAAAGGACAAGAAGTTTCCTTTTATGAACTCGACCTATGTCATTTGGATAGGGTACAATTTGATTGTTTCTGGACCATCTAGCCTTTCACCTTCAGGCGTAGCTCTAATTTTCATTCAATCTATTTCTCACTGGGGCCATTTTCAAATGTTTTGTTTTCAAATCTTTACTAAACTTTGTAAGTGTAACTCCAGAATTAAAATGTTTAAAGAAATGTCTCGTATTGTTTTTGATTTTTTGATTTGATTAAATGAGTGATAAAATAAATTTGAGCAGCTTTTCTTCATGTGAAAAATACGACATTAGGATGATTATTGGTATTTGCATAAGTGAGGTTCTATAATGAAAGAAATAACCATAACATTAGTGCATACATTGTGTATTTCACACATCTAGAGAGCAGCATGCAGTCTCTCCGATAAACTCCGTGTCAAAAGAAAAATATATATAAAAGGTCAAAATGAGGAAAATAAAATATGGGAAGGGTGAAATATGGACACAGGAGACAGAAAAATTCGGTCTAACATTCCTCAAGGCATCAACACTTTAGCAAATAGCTTTTAACAAGAAGGACGACACCCCCTTTTAATGAATATAATGTGTCTATATTGAGAGAAAAAAAATACTTTTAAATTCAGGCTGATTTCACTTTTAACGTTAATCAGTTTCAGAGTTATAGAAAAACTTTCTCTGATTTAATATTTTTTTAAAACTTGACATGGTTAAAAGGACACAAATTTGATAAAAGAAAGGACATAGATTTGTGACGTCTTTGATGCAACATGGGGTAGGACATGGATTTCATATAAGGACACAGATATGAGACTGTACAAAGATGTGAATTAAGTCACACACCGAGATTCAGCTTTCTTAAATTGACGTGTACTGATATTTCTGGAATACTATTACAGTATGAAATATACATAAAACTTATATTGTCATTTCAGTGGGGATTATTTATAAACTTTGGCATATATCAAGATTTGTATTTCAGTTGGGATAATAATCTTTGGATCACCGTTTTCCTGCTTATTATACAAATTTCGGACATTGCTAGAATTGGATAGACTAAGAAAACTCCTTATATATTCGCAGGGTGCAAAATTTCCTTTTTTAGCGGATCAACGAAATTCACTTTTGCAATTGATTTTGTATTTATGAACATTCAGTGTCATGGTTTAAGGTGGTACCTAACACTACAGGGAGATAACTCTGTAAAAATCAATTAAACGTTTTAATTACGTTGTATTGTTAAGGAAATATTAAGCTTCTCAGTGATCAAAATTAGTGTTTGTCAAACTGCTATATAACCAGTGAAATTTTTCTGATAAAGTGGTTGGTTCAAATTTTTTGAAATTTTTATATTTCTGTCAAAGGGTCAAAGTAAACATTTTGTCAAAATTTTATGAAAATTAAACGAGCCAAATTAATATTAGTCAAGGTGTTGGGTACCACCTTAATTGGTTCTGTAATGCCATTTATTAGTTCGTGTTCGTATTGGTTCATTTAGAATTCATACTTATAGAATAAAACTAGTGAGAAATATGAACAAGCGGGATGCAATTATTACAATAATTTAAAGTTAATAACGGTATTGAAAATAAATGCCAAAGTCTGTATGAAACTACAAGAAGTAATGTTACTGGTTTTCATTTCAAAATGTCGTTCTGTTGTCAAAATTATGAGCTGACCAATAAAGATTTATTTGCAATCTGTAACACACCTTACTCAACCAAGGTGACCGATTTCTCTAGACTAAAAGAAACACAATATAAAAATATGAAGATGTCGTATGACTGCGAATGATACAACTATCCACCAGATACAAAATCACGTGGATGTTAGCAACTATAGATCATCGTATTGCCTTCAACAATGCACAAAACCAATAGAAATCATAAAAGTCTCGACATGAAAAATGTTTTACAATTCAATCAAGAAAAATAAATAGCAATACTCGTTACGTATTATCACATTATTCCACATATCTCAATAACTAGAAAAAAAATGGATATGACCAAGAGATGCTCAAATTTTACAGCATTTTGTTTGGAAGAGACCTTCGACCAATATTGTTATTCCACAACTGATGGTTTAAGAAGAAAGCAACTTCGTTACAATAAAGACTTATTGACAGTTATTGATAAATTCCTAAAAATAAGAGTCAACAGAATAACGATTATTCAACAAACAAAAATCGAACCTTTATTAGAGGATTTGGAAAACAGAACTCAAATGAAGGGATGAAGTTGCAAAAAGGTTAATTTCAGTTTTCCAACTGTAAACTTCTCGTTACTATGTAGCAACATTCCAACAGCGCGACTTCATCTGAATTATATATCTCAGTTGATATTCTAGAACTTGTGTTTCTTATCATGATTTCCATGATAGATGGTTGATGCTTACTTGAACGCTAATGAAACAAGGGTTCCAAGTGGTAAAGTAGAAGTCATCACTTCCAAAGTTTCACAGACGAAGTTGGTTGGTCGCTATGAAATATCTTTGTCACGTTTGACCACGGATATGTTCCAATAGTCGTAACTACAACCCCGTCCTCTTTTCCTCGATTGTGACATCATCGAATGATCCTTATCAACGAATTTATACTGACCATTAGCACGATGACGGATACCACTAATAGAGCAAGATCTTCCTAACATTGTGGAGCACTTTAGGTAGTAGAGTTCGTGTTGCTCAGTTGTTAGCTTTCTATTTTTTTTATGAAATTGTTTCTCTTTTCGTCGTATTTCTTTTTTTGCCATGGCGTTGAGTTTCTCTTCGACTTATCAGTTTTTAATGTCCCCTTGGTATCTTACGCCTCCTTTTTTGCAAAATTGAGCATTTTGATCTGTATGATTAAAAAATAATTTCGTAGTTCCAAGCAAAGAAAGCTTGTCTCCTTAACCAAAAAGTAATATAAAAAATATACAAAACTCCAAGGAAAATTCAAAACGGAAAGTCCTTTATCAAATGGCTATATCAAAAGCTCAAACACATCAAACGAATGGAAAACAATTGTCATATTCCTGACTTGGTACAGGCATTTCCTTATGTAGAAAATGGTGGATTAAACCTGGTTTTAAAGCTAGTTCTTCCAAAATCGATACAAAATAATACAGGAGTTTTACGATCTCTAGGTATCTTTCTTAATATCGACCTTATTCTACATAGTTCACTTATACGGAACTTTGTGATTAACTGACGACTTTTAAAATTATTGTGTTGCTTTCTATTTTGACTCATTTCAGAAAGGAAGTGTTGAAACTGTTGTCCAAGTTGAAAAGAGATTACCCAAATTTCCCTATTATTTTTTTTTCAATTTTAGCGTCAAATCTAAAAGTTGTCAATTACTACTGGTTATTGAATGTTAAAAAGCCTTTATCATATATCTTAAGTATTTCAGCCATTTTACATATTTCCTTAAACTCAAAATGCTAAAGTATATTCAGCGCTATACCCGCGTTGCCGTTGAAGGAAAATTGGTACAAAATTTTGCATCGAAGGACGTCGCTAACCAAAACGAATTACTTTGTGTCAGCAATACAATATATAACTTTATTATATACTCAGTAGTAAATACAGATAAATTGTATGTGTAATACAATCATTGACAATCGTGCTGTCTTTATCACACCTTTAATCTGTATGACGTCACGTCATCGATTGCAGTGCAAAGGCTTTCATTTATCAAACCCCTAATCTGTATGACGTCATGTCAAACCTATAATCTGTATGACGTCATTTCAAACCTCCTTATCTGTATGACGTCATGTCACATAAAAAACATCCACGTGAGGTATATGTATATAATAAAGTGTAGAGTGGGTGTCGCATATTCGCCTTGGACACATTTTCGCCGTTTTGCTATTTTTTCTGTAAAATTTGTGTGCCTTTACCCAATACTTGCCTAAATAGATGGTAAAGGCTAGCTGTCTGTAATGTTACAACTGTTGATATTCCTCTTTACCCCATTTCCAAGGTTATTCGCACATATTGAGAAATACGCAGTTGTTTTTAAATGATTTTGGCAATTATGTAAGATTTATATGGCAATCATGCGCAGTCTTACAGTAAATATTTGTGAGAAAAATCGCATAGGAATGATCTCTCAAGCTAATTCATGTAATTGCAAACATTCGTTTTTTATAATATACCAGGATAGTGAGGATGGTAATATCATACATTGTGGCGAAAATGTGTCCCCCATGGTACACGAACAACTTGATTTCCTCTTGAGTTTGCGTTCTTTTTTAGAACAATTAACCAATGTTTTGAAGATAATTTCTGTATCAAACATTTTTTTCATATAGTTAAATTTCGGAAACCTTCATAAAAAGTTCCAAATATTCGAATGTAGGTCGGATGTAAGTGGAAATGAACGAATTATGCGGCGAATATGGGTCTCTCACTCTATATGATATGGCTTTTTCAATATCACACACCGTATCAACCCTCAACCAATATAATCCCTCGAGCAGAGCTCTTGGGATTATATTGGTGTCTCGGGTTGATACGGATGGGATATTGAAAAAGCCATATGATATTCTCTATTTACTTCTAACCGAATTTTTGTTGTTGTTAACGATGTTGATTTACACTTTTGGAATAATTACTGACAATTTGACAAAATCAGTCAAAACTACGGTTTTGGGCTACCTTCAGGCACTTATAATTTGGTGATTTGTTTAGAAATAAGCAATTATATTGTTAGAACAATATAGAGCATACATTGGGCTGTGATACTATCAATTTAAGTAAGATTGAAAAACTTTGTAATAATGGCCCTGCTGTGAAATAAATGCAGGTCCGGGACGTTCGCCCTTCCACTTTGTTCCATGTAGAGACGGTTAAATTACAGAAGTCGTAGTTTTCTTTTTCCCACAAAATAAACTTCAGTAAATAAATAATCTTTGATTGCTTCTGTTTAATCTATCCACTTTTATAGACATATTATATAGATTATTTATTGCTTTCTAGATAGAATATAGGACTGAAACGGGGAAGTGTATAAGAGACAACAACCCGACCGAAGAGCAGCCAAAGACCACCAATAGGTCTTAAACGAAGCGAAAAAATCCCGCACCCGGGAGACGGGCTTCTACTGGCCCATAAACAATATGTATACTAGTTCAGCGTTCGAAATGAATGTCTTTTTGTTATTTTGTCGTAAGGTTGCTGTGTCGTTAACTTATATCGCACATATTCTTTTATTCATACTCAGAAAATCTATAGAAATGCAAGAAATTATGATTTTTAAGAGACCTGTGAACTAAGTCGTATCTATGTTTGTTCTTTCTCCTTTTTCATCTTTCATTTTTTGGTTCAAAATATAAACTTTTGTGTAGTTTGATACGTTTTTTTTTTCGTCTAAAATGGCATCAAAATGCTTGGCGTGACAAGTTAATGAGCCCGTATTTATATTTGTGTGAGGTTTCTTTCCATGGCTAGTTGGTTTGTTGTGGGGATTGATTTTTTTAATTTGTGTTTTGAAAACTCACTTTTTAACCCACCATTCCGAGGCCTTGATGAGAATATTTTATTTTACGAACGCATAGTTAAAGTACGTAGAGTACACAAAACTTACTGGTATTAACCAACATAGACAATTATAGGAGAAAAAGAGTGTCAACGAAAGTCAGGAAAGATTGTTTCATGTACGATTCACCGAGATTGCACCTATCAAATTGGTTGAAAAGGTTACTTGTCTTATCTTTCTTTTGTAAGAGGTTTAAGCTCAGTATTATGTATCAAGTTCTTCAGATGGCCCCTAAACAATAATGTATACTAGTTCTGCGAAATGGATGCCACACTAAACTCCGAAACATATAAATGAACTAAAATTATAAACACTAACAAAGGCTAGAGGTTCCTGACTTGGGACAGGCGCATAAATGCGGCGGGGTTAAACATGTTTTGTGAGATCTCAACCCTCCCCTATACCTCTAGCCAATGTGGTATAAACAAACACACAACAATACGCACATTAAAACTCAGTTTAAAAGAACTCCGAGTCCGATGATAGAATAGGTAACAGAAAAAACTAAGCAAAATGGCAATGCTCAACATAAATTAACAAAGGACTACTCGTATAAGGTACTGAAATGCCAGCTCCGGTCCTCAATTGAACTGATCGAAAGAATATCATCCTATGAAAGTTAAGTACAATCCCTCTTGTTAGGGGTTTTTTACCATGCCATCATAAATTATAAGAGAACAACATAACCCGTATCATGCCAACAACTAGTTTTAGAATAAATGTGTTTATTTCCGATGCAAAGACCCTATGAGTGAATCAATATTAATTCAAAGATGCCATCTTTAATGACTTGACAACAGTATCGTAACTATATCCTTTCTGAGTAAGTCTGTTTAAAGGTTTGGTTAGCTTTTGATGTGAATGACGACATTTTTGTGATTTGTATAGAATATTACCATGAAAGATGTGAAATACCTGAACGTATAAGATGTCTGCACGTTGATTTATATTTACGAATGATGTCCTGAAAGTAATTTTATCATCGGTACAGTAAAATTTAAAGACTACTTGCCATTCTGTTTTGTAAAACTGCTCGTTCTGGCATGATCTAGTGCATCATAGGTTTTTGTCCCACCACCTACATACGGAATCTGTTTGATAAATTGTCGAAGAAGTTCTATCAAATTCAAACTTCTCAACTTTATTTCTGTTTTAACATTTGTTGAAAATACATCTACGCCGACCTGTGTGTCTGTCTTACCGATCTTGAATTGACCTGCTATATTTGCTGCGGTGTTTTTCATAATTGTGAAATTAGCACTTCCAACACTACCTGACATGTCCAGAATAAACAAGACATCTGCTTTTGTTTCAACTAGAAAAGAGAGAGAAAATGTTCATTTTAGCGAACGCTATCATTACTTTCAAATCGATGTCAGTCTTCCTAGTTTTTGTAAAGACTAAAAAAAATTACACCAAAGTTCGTGAATAACTATGACTTCAGCGCTTTTGCACGATGTGAGTACATCAATAAAGCATTTTATACCTGTTCTGCATATGCGAATAAAAGAGTTTGTAGCAAAATATTGGCACAGATAAACATTTTAACCATTTAAAAAATTATGAATTTCAATCCTTAACATAAGTCAGTATTTTGATGAACTACCAATTTTAACATATTTTCATTAGTTTTTGGATACATCATGGCGTTGCTATAATCTATGTTTGGATTTTGGGGTGTTATGTTTGAAAATTTAGAAAATATAAGTAGCGTCTCGCATATGTCAAACAATATAAGCTTTTCCGTCAATTGGAGACAATGTTTATAAGCTCTCAAAATGAGTGGTTTTTGGCTTAAAATAAAGGGTTTTTAATTGTTGTACATTGGCATTATGTTGGGTTTAACTTGTTATCATCTGGTCATGATGACATGATGACATCGCCACTTGACTTGAAAAAGCCATTCTATGTTTTGTTTTTGTTTAGATTTGAGCGAATGATACAAACGTAGAGGAATACGAAAATTTAAACTATAATATTCCGTATCCATGCTGCATATGAATATATGTAAAACTGAAAACGGAGGACATAATACGTGTACCAATTGTTAACGGTCAATTAAAAAATAAAAGGTCCTAATTTTATACAATACAAAGACAACTTCCATTTCATTTGAACTTTGGTGGATAATTGTCTCGTTGGCAGTCATACCACATCTTATTCTCATAGCAACACATTTTTCTCGCTAATTCTTCATTGCTGAGAAAGGATCATATTACATTTCTTAAATCAATCCAGAAAGTCTTTGTAAAAATCAATTGTTACCAAACTATGCATCTGATAAAATATCCTCAGAAGTCTTGATTAATTATTCAACCAATATCATACATGATTTTAATCTAAATATAAAAAATCCGAGAAATTAGTTGAAATCTGTTTTAAAAACAGCAACAGATTTCTTACTGACTTTAAGGAAATGATTTACATTCATTTCCCGTACCTGAGGGAGATATGAAGATTTGTTCACTCAAGATAATCATACTTCCCCGAGGGCATCGCCCGAGGGAAATATGACTTTTCGAGGGTGAACAAATCTTCATATCTTCCTAAGCCAAGGGAAATGAATGTTTTATTCCACTGCCTATACTTTTCATAACTTCATGAACGTAAATTATTAAATTCTATATACAACGTTTTATATCCGCTTTTAAAACTTAACACGACATAAAAATTGATAAGCAATACCAATCAAAAGGTAATCATTTATTTTATGACAAGTCCAATTTTTCTCTATTTTGTTTTACATTTGAAATAGTTTTGAACACAATAATGTCTAGACTATTCTATCTTATAAACGTTAAAACATTATGTAACGTCGCTCGAGGTATATATAGTCTCGACATTTCAGAGGGGAATAGGATACTCAGAAGGGAATATAAAGTTTTGTTCAATGTCACGTGGAATCGTCTAAACTAATCAAATGTTAATTTCGCTATCAATATTTACATACAGTGGAATAATACGTTATGGTTGATGGCACCAACTGACGTTTAACAAAACTGTCACTGTTAATCAGAGTGGAATTTAATCAAGAAATATGGTTGAGGACGCCAAATGAATCACCTGTGAATTAATTTTACAAGAAAAAAAAAAAAAAAAAAAAAAAAAAAAAAAAAAAAAAAAAAACAATTGAAATTCAGGAGCATTAGGGGCCGGGACAAATTATATTCAAATATTGGGAAATAATATATTGACAATCCCCTCCAAGCATATGGATAATAACTAAAACTGCCATCAAACATATAGGTGTTACCGTCATTAAAATGAGAAACATTTAAAACAAATTATACATTTTGAATAAAAGTTAAAGTTTCGATATAATGATGATGCCATTAAAGGTCGGTATTATGAGAGTGGGTTGAGTTCTTAACTTTACGACACAAGGGATGATTTAAATTGTTCATTGTGATTTTTTTTCGATCTATGTAGCAATATTTCAACAGCAAATGCATATTCAGTATATAATTATATATTTTCCAGTTGATACACTTTTTCAATGCTTATGCACCTGTCCTAAGTCAGGAATCTGATGTTCAGTAGTTGTCGTTTGTTGATGTGGTTCATAAGTGTTTCTCGTTTCTCGTTTTTTATATAGATTAGACCGTTGGTTTTCCCGTTTGAATGGTTTTACACTAGTAATTTTTTTTGGGGCTCTTTATAGCTTACTGTTCGGTGTGAGCCAAGGCTCCGTGTTGAAGACCGTACTGTGACCTATAATGGTTTACTTTTATAAATTTTGACTTGGATGGAGAGTTGTCTCATTGGCACTCATACCACATCTTCTTATATCTATTATGTTTTAAAATAAATTCTCTGTTAGAGGGTTGCAGCTTTAAGAGGAAGCAAATGCACTAAGGGTTCTAAACGATAAATGTTAAGTGATTTAATGGACCACATCATGATTTTATAGTACGACTGGATGTTTTACTTACCATGAGCGACACGGCTAGTACACTTATTGGAACTGATTAGTCTTCTAGATTACCTGAGCTCACTCTGGTTAATTTTGGGGTCCGCTTTGGTCAATATGTGTTTCATGGACATTTGTTTGTATGTTCGTCCTTTTTGTAAATTGTATCAAAATATGGTGTTGCCTGTTTTTCTTCAACTTAAGTTTTTTATTACCTTTCTCATATTTTCCCGTTTTGTAGAAATTAATGTTCATGACAAGAATCCAGACTATAAATGACTGAAACTGTTATCAAAAACTGAAAATTTGAAAAAAAAGTAATAGCGTAATGAGTAATTCTTAACGGATCATAGAAGAAAGATAAAAATAAACCATGATCTTTCAATCTTCTAGACCTTCAGGGACCAAATGTTGTCGAAGTTGTTCTACTTGGTATGTGAAATAGAAACAGTGTGCGAGTGCAAAAGGGGGAGGGCGTGTGTGTGCTTTCTTTTGCCAAACAGGACATTTTCACCATAAACCTTTTATTGACGGCAAACGGGTTCTGTATCCGTGGGGGCTTTTATATGTTGAGGACACAAATAAACACGAATAGAATAGTTTTGTTGTAATATTTTGATCTCACTGAAATTAAAAAATAACGTCTGCTACCCGCATTGACAAGAAACAAGAGAGAGAGAGAGAGGCAAGAGAGAGAGTGAGTAATTGTCAAACCGGATACGAAATAACCCTTCCCTATTCCGGAATGATACAGATACCAGACTGCGAACTAGCAACCCTTATTATAACGAAAATTTATACAACACGAGATTATAAGTAGCATAAATGCCTATGAGCTTATATACAACTTTGTGTAATACTTACATAATTGTAGACTCGGCTTGACCACTAGTAACGTACAAATCAGGTGTGCTACCAACATCTTCATTATTTCGAGTTATTCCACTGCAATATAAGAATTGTTTGCATTATAAACACAAAAAAATCCATGTAATTGTCAAGTATGCATGTGGACTGCAAGACCCGGCGGAACCATCTCTAAACATTCAGTGTCACTATTGGTTTGATTTTAGATAATATAATCATATTGACCTAATTGTGAGTTAAAAAGATGCCATGATTCGAAGAAAGACAGACAAAATAATGACCAAAAAGGGAAAAAACTATTATTTAAGTGTTCTAATACAAAGGTTGCAACCTCCATCGGCAAAATTTACTAGACGAACTTTCATGCACATCTCAATTTTTAGGCTTACAAAAAATTTATGTATTTGACGTCCAGACATTTAGACTGAAGCTTACCTAATGAAAGTTATTCCAGAAACTCGTGAAGTCTCATTTAGCAGAGCTTTTCTAAAAAATAGGAATCGTAGATACATATTCCTTGTTTTAAATGTTGAATTCATACAGAACCTTCTCAAAGAAAAAACAAGTGAAACTGCGAGCTACTGCTCACTGATGATACCCCCGCCGCAACTGGATAATTTTAATAGTGTAAAAATATGTAAGTGTTCGGTAAACAGGAAGTTGTTGAGTAGTGAATCTGAAGACGCATCACACGATATAGCTGACTTATATAAACCCTGAAACCAAATTTCAGAAATCCTTATGATGTAGCCCCAGAGAAAAATGCGATGAAAAATATTCATGTAATTTTAATAGTGTAAAAATATGTAAGAGTTGCGAGCCGCAGGTAGTTAAACTTCACCACTACTGATTATCTCGATCATTTTTGGTCCACATTTCCCCCCATAAACCCTCAATAGATAAAACAAACATATGGTGCATAATTTCACACTCCTCACAATAAATACCATTAGTTTGGTTTAAATCCATTTTGTACTTTGAGAGGACTTAAGAATTGTAGATATGTTACAAACAGACAGACAGACAGACACTATGAATATTATATATCGCCCAGCTATCACTAGCATGGGTATAATAAGTCTCTTTACAAAAGGATCAAATGGAACCAAGACAGCCAATAATTACAGGTCAAGCTAGCCCTTCTGGCCTGTTAAATAATTTGTTAAAATTAAAGAAGAACGCTGAGCGGATATGGTTGGTTCACTATTGTGGATGCTCGTATGAATCTTTCCAGTGGAATAAGACATGCGGAGAAAATTTATCAAATCATGAATTACTATATCTAAATTAAAAAGGAGGGATATGTTGTATAGATTCATAAAACATAATCTTTATATTTACTTAATAAAACCCCAGCAAATTAACAGAGATATTGTTGCTGTTCTTCATCTAAATGTTTACAAAAAGCTCACACCTCACTGCAAGTACAAAATGACCCCTCAACACTGTTTTACTCCATTTACACTTTAATTTACATAAATAGCATGTTTCAATGGTTTTCATTTTATATCAATTCAAAATACATGTATCAAGGCAATTATTACTGGAAAGTAAAACACTTATGACAGTGGCTTTTTTTTTTTAGTTAAACTGTACTGTTTCTGCAACAAGAATGAATGTAAATAGGGATCACCATGGCCTATTGTAACCGCCGCGCTTTAATTTCTAAAGTTAAAATGTTTTTTGCTATCTGTAAAATAATACATGTTGCCAAGTCTGTAGAAACAGCGTGTATACTAGTATGTCATCACTTGAGATTCTGACAATGTGTCTTGCAAATCTTTGTCATCAACTACATTCAAATTCTAAAGGAGTAGTGGCCCTTATTTGGCCCAAATAGTACTGCAAATTTAAAAGTTAACATACATATTCTTAAATTTGTCCTAATTGGACTAAGGTACAAGGTTTTCAGAAAATAAAATAAAAATCACATTAAACGAGCTACCATGGCAACAAACCATGACGAATTTTGTATATTTTGTAATATTTCTTGAATTTCCTTGTTTTTCATCAACTTCTAAGTATATTTTAGATTGGCAAAGTATGTGCGCACCCAAGAAACAACTTTATATTTGGTGAGATTATGTCAATAGTTATACTAAAGCTTCTCTTAAATTATTTTCTTTTTAAACCACTAAGATGTGAACCTTTACATGATGAAAAGAGGAAATTCCTTCATGTCCGTATTTTTTTTCAACAACGGAATTGATGCTATCAACATCAGCAACGTTATTTTTTGTCGCCATTCCTATGGGAACGAACTGTGCGCCTCTCCTTGTCGACCTCTTCTTAATTTCATATGAGTCGAAGTTCCTTCAGACACTTGTTAAAGATAATAGATGCCAGATCATTCAATTTCACATTCAGATATATTGATGATGTTCTTTCCATTACCAATCCAAAATTTTCTGATTAGGTTCCATTAATATGTCCTCCAGAACAAGAAATTAAAGAAACAAGAGACACGGCTTCCTCTGTCTCAATTTTAGACTTATATATAAATACCTCGAATTTGACTTGACCGGTTATCTCAGTACCAGAATATATGACAAACGAGACGATTTTATTTTGAAATTATAAATTTCCCCCACTTTAGCAGCAATATACCAACTTCACCTGCATATGGATATACATTTCTCCAACTCATTCGGTATTCAAGAGCTTGAAGCTGCTACTCAGACTTTATAGATAGCAGGTCATGTCAAAGAACGTCACGTCCTTTTTCGAAAAAAGTTCATTGGAAGATACCAAGATCTTGTTGATAAATATTCCGTATCAACTTCACAAACAATACATGGCTTTGAATTATAGATTCTAGATACTGACATTGTTTATTATCTTAATTACGCGTTATAGTGATCTTTGTCCTTGTACATTTTTAACCTTTATTGCTTAGTCCATTTTTGGTACTATACTTTTGGTGTGGCTCGGTACTTATACATCCCGCCATTATGTTATTGTGCTATGGTCAATTTTGTATTCTTGTCTTTCATTTTTGCTAATGTACTTTGTCTAAAAGTGCCATTATTTTTTTCTTTGTTGAAATAGTTATTTGTTTTTATAGTGATTAAGATTATATAACTGCTATACCCCAATTTTTGACATTTTCACCTATTAAGTCTGTTTGTTATGCTCACACGTTGTTGTCAATATATTGGAATTCTATGCGACTGTCATACAAGTGCGAGGTTTAGCTAGCTATAAAACCAGGTTTAATCCACCATTTTCTACATAAGGAAATGCCTGTACCAAGTAAGGAATATGACAGTTGTTTTCCGTTCGTTTGATGTGTTTGAGCTTTTGATTTTGACATTTGATAAGGGACTTTTTTGGAGTTCGGTATTTTTGTTATTTTACTTTTTGCATATATATACATTCTTGTCTATGCATATATGAAATTCTACTTTTTATTAACTCAAATGGATTCATCGGGTGGATTTGTTACGTTGTCGACCGACTTCTTCTTCTTCTTCTTCAGTTATACAACAAAACTTCAGGATACTGAAGATTACTTGTTGTTGCGCATGCGTGTTTAAATTTAATTTTCTTGTAGATGCCAAAGAACAAAAAAAAATATATACAAATTTGACAATTTGTGCATGTATATTACAAAAACTAGTGATTAAAATAAAAATTATATACAAAAATTTAAATCAGTTGGCAGAGAACACCTTGTGTAAGGTGTGCTCTGAAACTGTCAACTGTGGTTGACTGTACTGTGGCTATAGGTAGCATGTTCCATTGTATGATGGTGTGTGGGAAAAATGACCACTTATATGTTTCCTTTGTGGTTCGTATATGTCTATAAGTATTTGGATGGTTTTGTCTTGTTCTACTGTCTGTTGGTATTAAAATTTCAGATGGTATGGCAATGAGGCCGTGATTTACTTTGTAAAATATAATAAGACGTGTTTTAAGGCGGCGTTCAGCTAATGTTGGTAGTTTTAAATTATTCATCATATTTGTAACGCTACTGGTGTTATGGTAGTTGTTACAAATGTACCTAGTTGCTCTTCTTTGAACCATTTCTATTTTTTGGGTAGCATCTTTTGTGTGAGGGTCCCATAAACTGCAGCTGTATTCTAATTTAGGTCTGACTATTGCTTGATATGCTCTTGATTTAATGTCTGTGTTTGATATTTTTAAATTTTCTTTTAAGGAATCCTAAAGATTTATTGCCGTTTGAGATAATGTTGTCATAATGTAGGTTCCATTTAAGATTTGATTGTAGAGTAACGCCCAGATATTTAGCAGATGTAACAGATTCAAGAATGTGACTATGAAGGATTTAATCATGTAAATATGGTTTCTTTTTATGTGAAATTGAAAGTTTAGTACATTTATCAGGGTGGAAAGCCATAAGCCAATCTGCTTCCCACTTTGCTGCAGCGTTTAGATCTTCTTGTAATTTATCACAGTCTGATTGAGATTTGATTTCTCTATATATGATGCTGTCATCAGCAAAGAGTCTTAATTTGCTATGTGTTAAATATTCAGAGAAGTCATTAATGTAAATGAGAAATAATATGGGGCCCAGTACAGTACCCTGTGGGACTCCAGATGTTACTGGCACTGATGTAGAAGAAATACCATTTATTACGACTGTTTGTGTTCTATCGGATAAAAAAGCTTGGATCCATTTAAGTGTATTTTTCCTTATACCATAGTATTGAAGTTTGTAAAGTAATCGTTGGTGAGGAACTTTATCAAACGCTTTAGCAAAGTCCATAATGATAAGGTCAATTTGAATGTTACTATTATTACTAGATGATAGTTCTTGAATGAAGTCAATTAATTGTGATTCACAAGATCGGATTTTTCTGAAGCCATGTTGTAGATTATATAAAATGTTGTTTTGTTCTAAATGTGACATTATGTTACTTGTGATGATATGTTCCATGATCTTACAGCATATACATGTTAATGATATGGGTCTGTAATTTACAGGTTTATATTTTTCCCCTTTTTTAAATGCTGGAGCAACGTTGGCATGCTTCTAATCTTTAGGTGTTTCCCCCGACTCTAATGACTTACTGAATATTAATGTAAGTATTGGTGACACTTGCTCTTTTAATTCTTTTAATACTCTACCGTTTATATTGTCAGGTCCACATGCTTTGTGGGGGTTAAGATTTGATAGTAATTTTGTGACTCCTGTTTTGCCAATAGATATTTGTGGCATTTCAAGATGTGGGCTAGTACCTTTGTCTGGGATATTTGTGTTAGATTCATTTGTGAAGACGGACTGAAATTGATGGTTTAAGATGTTTGCTTTTTCTTCTGTTTCAGTGATTAGTATACCGTCCTTTTTTAAAGGTGCAATACCTGTGCTATCTGTTCTTGTGCTTTTAATATAGCTAAATAAATTTTTGGGTTTTGCATTTGGTGTCATATGTTGGTCAGCATCATTTACAGGTAAGTCACAGATTATTTTTTCTATGTAGTTCCAGTAGCCTGTACGTAGTTCTTTCTGTACTTGCTTTTTAAGTTTTTTGAATTTTTCTGGATTTTTCTTTCTCTTGCTATATGCTTTATTTTTGTTGTTAATAAGTTTTCGTAATTTGTTTGTCACCCAAGGTAGTCTATGTTTATATGTTAACATTTTATGAGGTACATTATTTTCAATTGATGTTACAAGGTCCACTTTAAAGGTGTTCCATAATGTGTCGACATTACTTGTTTTATAGTCTTTATCTAATGTTATAAGAGTATTTTCTAAATCAGACTTGATATTATCCCACTTAGCCTTATCAAATTTAAGAATTTTTCTGGGTACTTCCCTTACTCTTTTGAGCCATGTATCTATTTCAATATAAACTATGTCATGATCTGCTTGACCAACTGGTGGTAATGTTGTAATTTTGTTTATATTTGTTGGGTTTGTAGTAAAGAAAAGATCTAGAATTCTATCTTTACGTGTAGCTTTATCTGTCACTTGATGTAAGTTGTGATCATTTATAATGTCTAGTAATTGTTGATGCAATGTTGGTTCAGGTTTGCCTGTAACTACAGATGGTATAGACCAGTCAATATGGCCCAAGTTAAAGTCGCCTCCAACCCATATATTGGTAGCAATTTGAATGTACAGAACATAATTATAATAATAAACAAATCTTCATCTTATACATTTATTTCAATAGGGTAGCTTGTTTGGATGTAAACAATCTTACACAATGCTCAAACGATCGCTTACTTTGGAACTATATTTAAATCCGGCTACATTAATTGGGTTGATTTCTTTATTTCCTTCAGTATAACTTCAATTTACTCAATTATCTTTGTACTATATATATAATATATTTAAAGTAATTATAAATGATTAAAAATGAATCCAAATGAGTTACTCTCTTTAAATAAAGATATTATTATTATTATTTTAGCGCCACACTTTAAATAAAGATATTATTATTATTATTATTAGCGCCAGACATAAAAAATGTGTGGCGCTAATAATAATAATAATAATAATAATATCTTTATTTAAAGAGAGTAAATCATTTGGATTAAACCAATTGTCAATAAAAGAGGGACGAAAGATACCAGAGGGACAGTCAAACTCATAGATCGAAAACAAACTGACAACGCCATGGCCAAAAATAAAAAGACAAACAGAAAAATAATAGTACAGATGACACAACATAGAAAACCAAAGACTAAGCAACAGGAACCCCACCAAAAACTGGGGGTGATCTCAGGTGCTCCGGAAGGGTAAGCAGATCCTGCTCCACATGTGGCACCCGTCAATAAGGCTCTCTACATACAAAATCTAAATATCAGCACAACAATATTAAATCTGCAGTCTTCCCTCGCCGAGATTCGAACTCATGCTATTGAGATATCGAGACAACACCGCCTGCACTGTGTCCAGCGCTCTAGACCACTCGGCCACCTAGATTAAACTAAAAATTCAGCTTTCGGTGGCCTAGTGTTACCTTTCCTCGTCAATAGAATCTAGAGTTGTAACACAGTACATGATATATAAGGCTTGAAGATGGAATTGATTGCAGATTAGCTAAATTATCTATCGTAAAGGATCGTAAGATGCAGTCACAGAAATAATTATTTGATAAGTACGTCTAAACAAATGACAACTCTACGACAGATCCATCCATAGGGTCACCAGGGAAGGTGATACACGGCTGAAAACACATGTTATATTCATAATTACTCTAAATATCAGCACAACAATGTTAAATCTGCAAATTTGCGGAGGCAAACTTTTGTTCTATATATATATTCCATGATATGTGCTAACACTCAAGCATTTAACTTTGCAATAAGTACAAAGGGTGATAAAGTTTAATACGTGCAGTCTCCTCCATTTATAACAGCTGATTCCCTTGAAACTTAAATAAGAAATAAGATAAAACAAAGGTTTGCGTTACTTCGCAAATGAAGAGACATAAAAAAAATGTGTGGCGCTAATAATAATAATAATAATATCTTTATTTAAAGAGAGGAACTCATTTGGATTAAACCAATTATCAATAAGGCTCTCTACATACAATGTTAACTACATGTATAAATCATAATCAAACATAATCAATCTACTAATACACAAATATAAACAATTAAACCATTCTGTCTTGAAAACTTATAAAGCAAATATATTTGATACATGATCTAGCATCATATTCTTTTAGTTTTATATTTTAGGCTACAGGTTGATTTAATATCATTAAAAAATCACAGTACTAAAAAATGAAATATGTGGGTCAAGTGAAATACCTTTCCGATGAGTCATAAAAACAGAGTAGGTGTGTTCGAATAACAAATTTTTACTAAAAGTACTTGACGACAGACTTTTCAAGTGGATCTTTGAAATGCATGACTTCAAAAAAAAACCTTTATTTTATGTGTGAGTTATCTAGGTTATTAGTCTTCAACCTTTGAAAATTTTTAGTCTGCCCTTCCACGAGATATTCAATTAGATTTTTTTAAAATGTTTTCGAACTTTCGAAAATTACACCTGACAACCGATTAGACAATAATTTTTAAGTTGACTAAATGCAGAAGTACATTTAATGATGCTTAAAAGCTAATAGATATACACATGTCTTTTAAAATACAACTTGCATGTAAGGGTCGTTATGGGGCTATCATAAGCGGATCCAGGCCCCCTCCCCTTTCGTGGGAAAAATTTGGTTGATTATATAGGGAATCACTGAAGCATGACTGGAGCGGGCCCCCTTAGGTCAGTCAGCGCCCCCCCCCCCCCCCCCCTTATAAAAAGTTCTGGATCCGCCACTGGCTATGTGGATAAATTTGTCGGTTTTCAAGAGATAAATTGGCAGCGCGTCATCCGTATAATGGCTTCCATTTTTACGATTGTACAAATTGGCTGGCGTAATTGAAAGATCTTTTTGACGAAGTCGAATCCTGACTAATTAAACTGTTACAGAACATAAAAACATAAGAATTAAAAACTCCATTGTTAACATGTAAATGATTTATATAATTTCACATTTTCTGAGTAAAATGGACATGGACGTTTTTACCTTGAAATATTGATGACCTGAACATGAATTCTTAGGAAAATTTGTCTGGAGACATAAATTACTGACATCGGACTCGTGACTAAATATACTAGTAAATTCTTTAACCATGGACATTTTATAATGGTAATATTTGTCCGCCCAGACACATTTATTAGGACTAATTTATCTCTCACACTTGGACACTAAGTATTTGATTCTTTGACAACCCTGTGATGAAATATAAAACTTCAACAAACGCTATAAGTTAACTGTTTTTTCTTTATGAAACTTCTTTTTGGTGATATTTTTGGTGTTGCTGCGTACAAAATATATTCTTTCTCCTTGCCTTATAAAAAGTTATCAGAAGTTGCACTTGGCTCATAATAGGTTTTTTGAAGTATTCCCAGGACGGAGCAACTAAATACATGCTCCATTCGTCCGACAGAAGCCCAAATAAAATCAACCGAAATCTAATAAATAGTGGTAATGAAAGAAAAAAAAAAGCAGTCTATTCTAGTAAACAAAAAATGGTGTAAATTTATATTTCGATGCACTTCTCTAATATTAATCTCGTGTTTTTGATAATTTTTGTTTTACTGTAAAAAGTAGCCTTTACAAGGGTATTGATAACAGAGACGGACTCAGAGGAAGACTCCGAGCGGGCCCCCTCCTTTTGTTAGAAAAATTTGATTGACTATATAAGGAAGCATGACTGGACCGGCCACCTCTTAGGCAGTCAGTGGGCTCCCCTTATGAAAATTTCCTGATCCGCCACTGAATAAGCTGGGTCCTTCATTGTATATTCTTCGCTCATTTTTAATCATTCGCTCATTATTCTTTATCTTTAAAACTATAATTTATTGATAACTGTATTCTGGACTTTCTCTTTTCTGTAATAAGTATATTTTATCCAATTCTTTAATTTTTGCAGTTATTCATGTTCTTTTCTGTAATCGGTATATTTTTATCCAATTCTTTAATTTTCCCAATTTTCCCAATTTTTCAGTTTCTATTTTAGCACTCCATTATCTTCTATTCTTTATTATGTTTGCCCATTTTTCTCTAATTTTTTAATTTATTTTGCCAATTAAATAAATTAATTAGATTAAGGTAAACCCCCTTCCTCCACGGTTCATTGCACCACATGCATTCTGTTTTTCATTGGCTACTATTGGCGGGATTTTCTTTTGTTCTCTTGCGGGTGAATCCATTTTGATGTTCTAGCAAACACGTTACACTGAACGGCTGTTCACACACATTACATTGTTTTTTTGAAAATTTCATCTATATTAAAGGTAGGTTTTATTCTTTCTTTATAAATAACATATGGTCTATAGTTTATATGTTGCACAGTATCGGAATGTCAAGTTTAGTTTGGTGACTATCGAAAACTTGTTGTAATCACTTTATAAAAAATACATTTGTGAAAAAAGATAAGAAGAGAAGATTTCATCATTCAACATGCATCTATACCTATTATATTAAGTCTCTGGTTTGACCAAAGAATTGACTGAATTCGGCGGATCCTCGATTCGAGTAGACCGGTATGATTGTGTAAAACGATTTGAAATAACATGTCATAGAAAAGAAAATTGTTTTATCTAATAGGGTTAATTTGAGTTTTATCCTAACAGGATTTTTTGTAGTAGAAAGTGTCAGTGTATTGAATACACTGTATTCACAGGAGTTTGCCAAACTCTATCCCAGTAGAGCTTCTCTCGCTTTTTCACCCGGCAGTTAAACACTTGCCAAAAGTGGGGCATCGGTTTGGCTGTGCAATATGTACAAGTACCCAGCCATTTAGTCAGAATATGGACATAATATTTTAATGATTTGATGCCTCATGTAGAGAGAGTGCCAATGCTCTCTGCACATTATGAATCGTTCATCAGGTTGGGCTCGTCAGGAAAAGTGGGGTATTCCCTGTTTTCAGGGATCACCCCAGTTTTCTGGTGTTAAAAAGGGGCAGCCCCGTAATTCCGACTTCCCATTAGTCCGACACCCCACTAGTCTGACACTCCATTGTTTCGACACCCCAATAGTCCAACACGGAATAATTGTTCAATATCTTATATCTTTTTAAATTAAAAGGCCGGGTAACGTGTTCATTTAACATAATAATTGATTGATTGATGTTTAAATAAATAGATAAATAATCTTTATTTCAAGAGGATAATCCCATTATTAAAATTAATCTTCCTTGGAGTCCTCTAAATAATTCTTAACGTGCAGGTGCAGAGAGCGTGGCACACTCTTTACACGAGACATGGGATTTGACATCCCCACTCTGTCAGTTGTTGAAAATTAAACATCACACACAGCCAAACCGACGCCAAACTTTGGCAAGGGTTTACTGTCAGTCGGAAGAGGACCAAAGTGACCATATTTCTATTCCCATTTCATTGGGTACATTATTATAAATATAGATTAAAACTCAATTGGCCTTGTCCATCAAATGACTAAGAACAGTTAATGCAATGTATATAAAATAGGTAGGTAGACATGCATTGGTGAAAATAGTGGCCGGGTTATATTTACCTGGACAACACATACATGTAGAATGATAGAGACGCGGACCTCATGTCTTGGGTGACTAAAACACAACTATCAATCTAACTGACCCCCAAGGGTGACTGGGGAATAGAAGTATGGTCACCATTGGTCTTCCTCCGACCGGCAGTAAAACCCGTGCCAAAGTGGGGCGTCCGTTTGGCTGTGCGGGATGTACAAGTACGCAGCCACGTCCGGTCAGAATGGGGACGTTAAATCCGATGCCTCGTGTAGAGAGAGTGCCACGCTCTTTGCACGTTAAGAACCCTTGCAACAACTCTTTGAGGGGTCCGTAGGTGACCTGTTGCAAGGCAAAATTGCTGTCCCTATCTAATTTACCCTAATTTTCCAGTGGCAGTCTAAATTTCCCCGACCTTCTTCCCGGAAGGCCTACATTACAGAACCTACCTATTGTATTTATTGTTAATTTGTTCTCGTCCTGAATATGCATGAAATATTTGCCACTGGACGTTAAGCAACCAACAATCAATCAATCAATCATCAATCTAACTGTAGTGAACATTTTGTTAAACTAAATATACTAAATATACTAACTTTGTGAAGTTTTGTCAAATTATTAACAGGAAGATATGCAGCTGTGTCTCTCTCCAAACATAGAGAATTAAGAAAGTTAAGGCTCCAATTAGGCTTTACTGCTCACACGATTGTATGTGTGATGCTTGGTTCAATGTACATAATTATTTTGATAAGAACATAAGTTTACTTTGTGTTTATGTAACAATGTTTGTACTTAATTGAAGAGTGATTTATTTAAAGTTAATTCAGTGAACTCTTAAGACAGTGGGAAAACTGGTAAACCAAATAGAACTTTAGAATATTTTATAATGTATCTGTCTATGTTGTGATGTTATACTATTGTTTCAGAAAAGAGAGAAGGTTTGGTACCATTAAAACGTTTAATCCCGCTGCAAATTTTTGCACCTGTCCTAAGTCAGGAATCTGATGTTAGTAGTTGTAGTCTGTTTATGTAGTTCATACATGTTTCTCGTTTCTCGTTTTTATATAGATTAGACCGTTGGTTTTCCCGTTTGGATGGTTTTACACTAGTAATTTTTGGGCCCTTTATAGCTTGCTGTTCGGTGTGCTCTGTATTGAAGGCTGTATCTTGACCTATAATGGTTTACTTTAATATATATTTGTAAAGTTTGGCACGTTCTCTGTAAGGAATTGAGTATATGAGTTCACAACAACGAAAAACGTGCTGGTATTTTTAGAAATAATGAAAACTGGTTCATTCCTGTGTCAATGTCAAGTGAAGTGGTGTGGGTTGCTAGAGTTATTTTAATGTCGCATGATTGCTTGTGCTGTTTAAAAGACCACCGATAAAGTGTTTTTAAAGAGGCAATGCAACAAAGAACATGAATGGAATAACTATAGGTTTGTTGTTTTATGAATATGCAATTACAAATAATATCGCTTATGTAAACAGTACGTCATGCACTTGGCTATTTGTACATGATTGGTATTTATTTGTTTAATGTCCAGTGGCAAATGTTTCATGACTATTCAATACAATATATATAAAAAAGAAGATGTGGTATGATTGCCAATGAGACAATTAACTCTCCACAAGAGACCAAATGACACAGAAATTCAAAACTACATGTATAGGTCACCGTACGGCCTTCAACAATGAGTTCATAATGACGTACAGCACATGTCATCCGTTTTATCGAAGTTTCGACCTCAATATGAATAGTCTTTTTTTATATAGAAACAATTATCACCAATTGAACAATTCTATCAAAGTTGCAAACAAACTTTTAAACTCGCAAATTTTCGAATATATTATCAATTAGCAATTTGGCAGCTCCCAGTTGTGAAAGTTTTCATACTTTATGTTCGTGTACAGTGAAGATGAATGGAAATAATAATGCTTGGAAATTATAGTCCCTCGATCTTTATGCTAAAATGACACTTTTATCAGTTTGGACAGCTTCTGAGACTAAATCACGTGAACCTTATATTCTTTACGATGAGAGACTGCGCTGCTGATGACTGATTAATACATTTCCTTTTTAGTACATTGTAGCATTTGTTCCCACTGTTATTTTCCTTTTGAGTTTCTCGGGACTAACCCCCCCCCCCCCCCACCCCCCCTCCTTTTTTTATCTAAAGGTACCTGTGGAAAAGAAATATGGTTAACACTGTCTGCCGTTGACCGGCAGTATAACCCTCGCCAAAGAGGGGTGTCCGTTTAGTTGTGCGAGATGTATCAAGTACGCAGCCATGTTCAGTCAGAATGAGGACGTTAAATCTGATGTCTTGTGTTTAGAGAGTGCCACGCTTTATGCACGTTTAAAACCCATGCTACAACTCTTTGAAGGGTCCTTATGTGGACTGTGGCAAGACTACATTTCTGTCCCAATTCAATATACCCTCATTTTACCGTGGTTGTCCGAATTTTCCCGACCTCTATTGTAAGACCTACCTAAATTGAATTTATTGTTATTTTGTTCTCGTCCTGAAACATGCATGAAATATTTGTCACTGGACATTAAGCAACCAACAATCAGTCAGGACTACCAGTAGAAAACAATCTCAATTTCTTGTTCAATTCTGCATAATTAATGAACTTAAAAAGTCTCTGTTTTCAATTTTACAATGTCTGGTTGAACAATTTAAATTTGGATTTCAAAAAAAGAAACCTAGAAATCCGGAGCATTCATTTAGCGCCATGGTCAGTGTTCCTCATTTGCTCATCAACTTTGAATCGTAGTTCTGATAAATCAAGGACATCACTTTGTGACTGAGTGCCGCCCTAAAGGGTGACTGAGGTATAGAAATATGGTCACTACAGGTTTTACTTCCAATAGGCAGTAATACTCTTTCAAAAGTGGGACGTCCGTTTTGCTGTGGTGGATATACAAGTACGCAGCCACGTCCAGTTGGAATGGGGACATTAATTCACATGCCTCTTGAAGAAAGAGAGCTACACACTCTGTACGTTTAGAACCGTTGAAACAACTTTGATAGATCCATAGGTGGCCTGTTGAAATTCTAAAATTCTGTCTCATATGATATCCCATATATCCTCATTTTCCAGTGCCAATGTAAATACCTACAGACCCTCATCGTGGACGACCTCTACTGTATTTATTGTCAATTTGTTCTCTTGCTGTACATGCATGAAATATTTGCCACTGGACGTTAAACAACCACTATTCAATCAATCATCCCTGTATGCCCAGTTGTTCATATTATTATAAAATTTTACGTAAATATTACTGAAAAAAGAAACAAATTACGGAAATATTAATGCCTTTTTACTGATTGCACTCAAAGGGGGTTTGCATCTTTGTATTCAGAAACAAAAACATGGCAGATTTTAATTGGGTGGAGTATGCCACAAATAATTAATTTTTTTCCTGAAACCTTATGGATTCTTGGTTGAAGCAACGACAAAATAAAATTTGATTCGTCCTTCTGAAATAGTTGAGAATTTTTTTTCTTCCTGTTGTTGAATGCATAAATTTTACTGTTATTTTTGTGCAAGATTGACAGTCACCCTTGACAACTGTAAATTACACCTAGAAAAGCAACGCGACCATATATTTTTTTTTATGCAATATGTTAACACAATAAATATTCTTAATTGTCTCGCCTGCGACAAAAGTCGCAGAAAGTGAGACATAGGTATTACTATCCGGCGACGGCAGCTTAAACTATTTGTATAAAGCTTTATATTTCAGAAGGTACAAGACCTGGATGCTTCATACTTTGTATGCAGATACCTTATGTTACGAACTTTCCGTCTGTCATATGTCCAATGTCCTTGACCTTATTTTCATGGTTCAGCGACTGCTTGAAAAAAAAGTTTAGTTTTTTTGTTATGTAAATTTCTCACTTATTATGAGTAATAGGATAACTATATTTGGTATATGGGTTCCTTGCAACATCTACATGTCCATCAGACAGGGTTCACCTGACCTCAGCCTCATTTCATGGATCAGTGATCAAGGTTAAAGTTACGTGATTAGGTCCGTTTCTCAGATACTACAAGCAGTAGGTCAGCTATATGTGGTGTATGGAATGATTATAAGGGATACATGTCAGTCTGGCAGGTTTCATCTGACCTTGACCTCATTTTCACGGTTCATTGGTCAATGTTAAGTTTTTGTGTTTTGGTCTGTTTTTCTAATACTATAAGCCATTGGTCAACTATATTTGGTGTATGGAATGATTGTAAGGTGTACATGTCTGTCTGGCAGGTGTCATTTGTCCTTGACCTATTTTCATGGTTCATTGGTCAATGTTAAGTTTTTGTGTTTTGGTCTGTTTTTCTAATACTATAAGCAATAGGTCAACTATATTTGGTGTATGGAATGATTGTACGGCCTACATGTTTGTCTGATAGGGTTTATCTCACCTAAAGCTTGACTTCATGTTCATTCATCATTAAAATGTTAATTTAATGTAAAGCTTATATAAACTTATTTTTTTTCACTTTCAACATAAATTCAATTATGAACACTAAAACAGGCGAGACATTTCAGTGTGTCCACTCTTGTTTTAAAAAAGGTTTTATAATAAAAATCAGCTTAATAAAATCAGTACAGCAAGAAACATTACTATTGTCGGCAATGGAAAAATCAATTGTTTTTTACATTCAGAAGGCTACATGATGATTGTAAAAATAAAAATTTCACAATTCGAAAACTAAATATTTTTTTTAATAAGGGGTCTTCAGGTACTATTGTAAACAAATATAAGATGTGGTATGAGTGCCATTGTGACAACTCTCCATCCAAGTCACAATTTGTAAACCATTATAGGTCAAAGTACGGCCCGATACTTAACATGGAGCCTAAGTCTACAATGAGATGACCTGATTTTTTTTCCATTGGAGGGTGCAATTTTTTTTTTTGGGGGGGGGGGGGTTATACTTTCTGCTTGATATTTTCCATTTTCAGAATTTTTAATTAACTTTTCTATAAACATGATAAACCATCATCATATTGTCTCTCTCTGCATACTTTTATTGGGTGAATGATTCCCTGTCCAATTTTTTTGAAGGTCGTTCTAGGTTTAGTTTCTAATTACTCTCTCATTTTCGAGCTGATTATTGTATGTGAGTCTACTTTAAATGGTAACATATTAAGGTTAGGTTTGATATTGTTCCATTGATTTCTGCTGAAATTACGGGCTTCAGTGGACTGTGTGAAAATAACATGTATAGAGACTTTTCTTAACTATCACATAAATGATCATGAGCTGATTTTCAGTATGTGAGTCGGCTTATGATGAGTTACAAAATGGATCAAATTTTTGTTTGGTTCTGCTCTGCTGATATTTGCAGAAACACAAAGCTTTAATTGGACTTGTAATATTTTTTGAAAATAACATATTTTGGTTCTCAGCCCGCTCCACTGATTTGTGCTGAAACAACGGGCTTTGGACATTGAAAATTTTTATGTGAGAGGGGCTATTCATCATGTTCATGTTGTTTAGACATGTCTAGTATTTAAAAACATTTTTATGGCCCTGCAACAAAGTTGTTGGGGTCATATAGTTTTACCCTTGTCTGCATTCCATCATTCCATCATTCCGCAACAAACCATAACTTGGTGTCATGTTACTAGTGGTAAGTCAATGATATTTGGAATGCAGTTGTACAAGCATTGGCATATCTCATTTTGATGGAGATTATTTGGCTCTGCCCCCTCAGTCTTGGTCTATTGACTTTGAATTTTGGCTTAGTTGTATTAGTTTGTGATTAGGTCAGTTCAAGGGGAAGTTCATTAGTGGTTGGCCTGGCAATGTTAATTGGTATGCAGTTGTATAAGCATTAGCACATCTCATTACCATGGAGAATATTTGGCCCCAGCCCCTCAGTCATGGTCTATTGACTGAAACTTTTTCTTAGTTTACCTGTATTAGTTTGTGATTAGGTCGGTTTAAGATTAACTGCTAATGTTAAGTCAATGATATTTGGTATGCAAATTTATTGGCATTTGCAAGTCTTGTTTCCATGGAGATTATCTAAGCCCACCCCCTGATCATGGTTCATTGACTTTGAAACTTTTACATAGTTTACATTGTCCATGTTTGTGTTTATTTTTGTTGAAAGGGAACGACTTGTGATAAGTCAATGGTATTTGGTATGCAGTTGTATTAGCATTGGCACATCTCATTTCCATGGAGATTGTTTTGTCATGTACCTTCAGTCATGGTTCATTGTCTTTGAATATTTGCATAACTTACATGTTCAAGTATTGCTGTTTTAATTTCAACATTTGCATTATCAAAAGTACAAAAAGGCGAGACATATCTTTGTGTTAACAGTTTATTGGTTATTATCTTGAATACTATTTAGATAAAGATAAACCATAAACAGCAAAAATGTTCAGCAAAGCAAGATCTACAAATAAGTTTTATTATGACCAAAATTGTCAATTGACTCCTTAAGGAGTTATTGCCCTTTAAGGACAATTTTACACAATTTGTTTATCATGTTTTCTAACTTTGAAAAATCTTTGAAACTACTGAACCAAATTAAACAAAATTTAAGCTGAATGATTCTTGTGTTATCTAGACTAAAGTTTGTGTTTTTTTTTCAGTTTCTCAGAAAACAGAGCTGACATGGCTAAAAATTTATTTTCAGTTTCCTCAGAAAACATGGTCGCCATGGCTAAAAATAGAACATAGGGTAAAATGCAGTTTTTGACTGATATCTCAAAACCCAATCATTTAGAGCAAATCAGACAAAAACTGAAAGTATTCATTAGATCAAGGTCTACCTGGAATAGGATCCCAGTTACGGCAACCAGTCCAGTCAGTACCCACGAATGTAGTTCTTAAAAAAAATTTATAACTTTTATTTAAAATAGTGTAGTGTTATTATTACACAATTATATATATATATATATATAGTTCTGTAACTGAATGTAGATTTATTTGAAGGGGTAGGCTTTGAATGTAGATTTATTTGAAGGGGTAGGCTTTCTAGTTTGAATTTCTGTAAACATTTTGATTGATTTAACTGTAATCTGGCGTCAGTACATAGAGTAAATTGCCTAAATTCTAACCTTTATTCTTCCCCGGAAGTAGACGGACTGACCCTGTTGTCAATCAAAGCAAAATTTTGCAACAGAATGCCGGTCATAAGGCACTGAGATTGTACTTAGAAACTCCAAAACAAATGCCTAACATGAACCAGAAGTCCCAAGGTGGCTATCAAAATTATTAATTGAATAGCACCCCATTTATTTACTATGATTTTCAATGCGTTACAATGGGGCAAATAACTGGGTCCCTGTTCCACCTGTCCTGAAATTATCAGCCAAATCGGGTATCTGATTTTTAGGTTATTGCCCCTGAATTGATGATTTTAAGGAAATTTTGTAGTTTTTCGGTTATCTTGAATATTATTGTAGATAAAGATAAACTGTAAACAGCAAAAATGTTCAGTGAAGTAAGATCTACAAATAAGTTTATAAGACCAAAATTGTCAATTGTCCTCCTAAGGAGTTATTGCCTTTTAAAGACAATTTTTCAAAAATTGTTCATCTAGTTTGCTTCCCTACTTTAAAAAAATCTCATTTGAAACTGTTGAATCAATTTCAGACAAACTTGGGCTAAATGAGTTTCAGAGTATCTATTATAAATTTTGTATTTTATTTCCTTGTATGTCGAGAAACATAGCCACTATGGCTATAATGGAACATAGGGGTAAAATGATTTTTGTTTGCTTTTAAGATGCTAAGAATATTTAAATGGCATTTCTTAGCCACTCATTAATATATATTGAAAATGAAAAATAATACAGATACAAATACAAATATTTTATTGGCACAAACTCAATTACAATAATTGGCAACGGCCCATACAACGTACTAGTATACAAATAGTAGTGATGCAGCAATTAAACAATACTACATAGCATATTAACATCAATTCTCTGTAATAATAGACCAAATATGAAAAATTTTGGCCAGATTATTTTTTTTCGATTACTTTTTTTTTAGTTTAAATGGTCCAAATTAACAATCAAATTGAAACAAAATCAATAAACAAAATCTGTAAAGTCGGGTTGCCATGGAAACAACGTGACATCGTATGTTTAATTTAGTATAGCAAGGAGATATGGCTAACATTGTATTTTATGGTAAAAATGAGATAAAGCATAACAATTTTTGTTATTTTCATGGGTTTAAGAGAAGATTTCAATCATTTAAACTGCTAACTGACAAATTTTTCGAATAAAAACAGTTTGTTGGTACATAAGGTGGTCCACTTAACACAAAAATCGACATGATTTTTGTCATTTTTTACATCTGGTTTTACCGAAAACGCAGAAATCCTCACATAAAAGACTATAAAATTTATAATTATGGATCTTATGTCAACAAATTGCTGCAAAAACATTTTTGGGTAAATGTTGCAGAAAGTTGCCAATAGAGGAATACTAGTCATTGTAATTTACCCTGAAATTCCCTTTTATTTAGGTTCTATTTGTAAATAAATATTTTATATGAATATTTTCATGATAAAATAGTCCTTTCTTATGAAAAAAAACCTATTTTAGATGTATTGAGGGTAATTTTATCATATAACATATTCCAGAAATAAAAAATTTCATGCTCAAACTAATCTGGATGTAATTTTGAAAAATGAGTTATTTCCCCTTTTTGAAAATCTTCCTTCAGGAGATAGAAAAAAACTGTAGCAGTAACATTCCAGCAGACAACTTGATTATACTATTTCTGGATCACTATTCCTTGTTTGACAGCTTTACAACAATTATCATTGAAATATTCCACAGATAGTGACATACTGAATTATGAATGTTGCTTGTCCATTTTTAAAACAATTTCCGGACATAATTTGTGACATTTATTACTCTGAAATATCATATTGAAACTCTGAGTATTGAAAACTTTCAACTATGAAACACAAGGTACACGTTTGACAGAAATTAACTTAATAAATTGTGTAACCGTCATCTGAAACATATTTAAAACCTAATAGAGTTCAGAAAAAGAAAAACTACTTTTGAAGTTCTAGATGTGATCAATGTACATAACTTCTGAGAAACTGTCAGTGTCAAGAAGCAAGAGAACAGTCATAAGGCATAACAGCCTCGATAACAACAGACCGGAAACTTAACATCGACCAGGTTCTTCTTGTCCACAAACATGCTGGATATGTTTTGCCAGTTGGAACATGTAAGAATTATTTGTTTATATATATATATTATATATGTTCATCTTCCTCAAATGAAATATTCTGTAATTGCCCTATATAACTATATAGCTTGCAATGTATAAACCCTTGGGGGTAACTGTAGGAACCAGCGAGACTGGACATGTAACACTTTTAATACTTGTAGAGCGGTTTTTTTTTTTGGGGGGGGGGGCACATTTACACACAAGCTTACCTTGTAATGTATAAACCCTTGGGATTACTGTAGAGCTCAGTGAGACAAAACAAGTACTAGTAACACTTTACAAAAATTTCCAAATATATTTCCTCAAATTCAAACTTTGTAAATAACATGGTTTGCAGTTATATCAAATTAATTAAAATTAATCAAATTCAGTTATAAAAGAATCATTACACGGTCATTAAAAAAATATTACCATATTATAATTGTTTACATATTTTCATATTGATTAATTTACACTCGCTGATTATCTCCCATTGTTTCAACTGAATATAGATATTTATGTATCTACAATTATGGAATGCCAAAGTGCCAACACTGTTCTATTTTAAATTACTTGGTCTGTCTCATTGGGGTCTACGGTTACCCGAAGGGTTTATTTTAACAATTGTTTGATAATCAAATGATGTGAGTTTGTAATAATATGATGTCAGTTTACTTTTGATGATGTGCACAGGACATTTATTTATATAATGTACTCTTAATATTGGTCTTAATGCCAAACAAAAGTAAAATCATTACTGAAGTGTACAGAAATTTTGGTTCCGATAAAAAGCAAATTATTTGTTGCCCATTTTAACCCAATAATTAGGTTCCTTGATCTTGTTTTCTGTATTTTACTGTTATTTAAAAGATATCGATCAAAGTCAATTTACATTTATAACTCATTCATTTGACCATTTATTTCAGCTATTTCCAGAAATTGTTGACAAAAACTTTTGTCTTAACAGCACATTGAACATGAAAAAGATTCTACAGATGAAAGACAGATAGAAAATGTATGTTAAAGAAAAATAATTATTCATGCTTAATGAATTCTAGTCTTTTAATTTCGCCATTTAAAATTTATATATAATATAACAATAACAATAATTGATTCTGATTCAGCGATTTTTCATAACTCATATATATATCCTAGACTATAAAGCTTGAAACCAAAGACCCTAAACAAATGACCCCGATTATTCCTGCTTCATACTTAGACATTTACTTTCAAATCAAGACTGCTGGTAGATCACAATGAAAAATTTATTACAGATGTGATGATTTTAATTTTCAAACTTCCCATTTATGTTAAGTAATACTCTAGCATCACCATTGATCATCAATATATGGAATTTATGTATCCAAATTTATATGCTACTCCACAGCTAATTCTTTTTATCTGTATTTTGTTGAGATTGATTGTTGGTTGCTTAACGGCCAGTTGCAAATATCATGAATATTCCATGCATGTTCAGGACGAATATTGAGAGAGTAATACCAATTTTGTAACAATGAAAAAAAAAGTTAAGCATATGAGGAAAAACACAATAAACTTAACAACAAATTGATATTCTAGCTCCTTCACAGCAAATTCTTTTTATCTGTATTTTGTTGAGATTGATTGTTGGTTACTTAACGTCCAGTTGCAAATATCATTAATATTCCATGCATGTTCAGGACGATTATTGAGAGAGGAATACTCATTTTGTAACAATGAAAAAAAAGTTAAGCATATGGGGAAATACATACTTGTTATGACATAGAATACATGTAGAAAAGTCAAAATGTGAGTTTAAATTATTGTTCTATCTGAATTTTTCCAATAATATAACAGTGCAATTTAAAGTTTTTCAAATTTACAGTATAAAAATTACTTCGCCATTTGAGTCCAGGATTTTGTAAAACCTGTTTAAATAGACCACTTAAGGAAGAGCAAAAATGTTGGCTCTAAAGACAGGTGGTCTTTTAATATTACAGGTTCAATTTACATGAAATGTACTACAGAGGGATCTTATAATACAGGTTTTTCTTAATACTGATGGTTTCTTAAGCAGGTTTGACTGTAATACAGAAAAGTAGTTAAGAGACTTTACTTGCTGCTCATTGTCACCTTCCTTTTTTCCAGAATATTAATGTTATCATCTTTCCTTGTTATTTTTTAGGAATGACTATTCCAATGAGCAAAGTGACAAATCCACGCCAAACTTTCACCATGAACCTAAAGATTGCAACAAGATCAGAGAATATAGCAATCAGTGATATGAAATTACAACCGATAAAACATCAAGAAATTTTTCAACAGGAATGCATTGAACTGGATATTTCTGGAGATGACATTGCTGTCATCAGTAATTCAGAAAACAGTTGTGGATTTATATTGCACAGTTTCTGGATGTACCAGAGGCTTTCTAAAGCATACATCTTTAAACGACCACATCATCATTGGGAACTGTCACTTCCAATCAAAATGTAAATCTACCAGTGACACATACAAAAACTTATATGCACTGAAGGTAACCCAGACTGTTGTTACTTGTTTCAACTTGAGTTTGAATGCTGAGGAAACAACAAACACAAATAAACTGATGAAAGAGTGGGCTCTGAAATCCAGGAAGGCTCATGTCACCTTTTCCATAGACCAAAAGAAATGGCGTGCAGATTTTTCGTACCACAACATATTGCTAGTTACTTCTCTTGTTATTCATTACAGATAAACACCAAATATAGTGATGGAATGGCTTTTAAATTAGAAAATGAAACATCAATTATCATACAAAAAGTAATGGCTAACATTAATGCAGACAAATGAACCTGTGGTGACTGATCTCAATATTTTGTTGAATACATTGTCTGTTTTCTATTATTACTTTTAAAATTGCAACATGTGCAAAGGCTGTATTTTATATTTAAAAGTTTACCCTATCAATATATCCCAAACAGGTACTATAATCAGTCTTTTGAACATTGAGGTCACTGGTGGACTTTTTTCTTCTGTGAAGGATTTCAGCAACAATGAGCAAATTGCAAAAATGAAGAACAGCAATAAAAGTCTTTCCTTGCATATAATCATGTCCTTTAGATTTTGTGTTAAAAAATCTATCTTTTATCTTTCATTGGCTAACATATGTCCAGGGCTTGAAAATTCCCGATTCCCATTACCTCAGGAAAATAATTATCTAAGCAAGGAAAGTGAAATACTATAAGAAATTTCCATTGGGTAGGCTTCTTTTGTAAAGTTTTGTTCTAACATTCAACAGTGGGCAACCTTATTTTTCTAAATGGTTAGGATATTCAAGCCTGAATGTCATTCAATTTTCAAGAGTTATACTCCTGTTAACCTATTTTTTTTCACATTTCATATGCATTGTATCAATTTTCAAAGAGTTGGATTGTGATTGGAATTTTCTATTGTAGTATTTTGCTCTTTGAAAGATTGGCTGACAATAATTTGCTCAAGAAGATAGAAATTTTTTGTCTGCCTTTGAGTTTAGTCTGACATATTAGTCACTTTAATAAAAGTATTTTGCATATATATACACCAATGTAATAATTTTGGCGTAAGCACTGCATTGCCGTCTCATTTTTCTTATTCTTGTTATTTTAAAGATGAACACATATTTAAATAATCTGAGTATATCTGATTTAAAATAAGACAGTGTTTATTAAATATATTGTTTAAAAATATCTTTACAACTGTATCATGTGTATGTATCATGATACATATATTGATGTGAAACTAAATGAGTATTGACTCAAACCTTCAAAACAAAATTATTTATAGTCAAAACAATTTTAAGTTAACACATTTATTAAAAATAACTTGAATACATGTAAAACTAATCATGTTATTAAAATAAGCATCTGCCTAAAGTACACTTCATCCCAAAATTAAGGTTTTTCAACAAAAATGTAATATTTAACCTTTACTTTAAATTGAATTGAAGAAAACAAAATACCAAGTTATATGTTCAACTTTGATTCAAAAGAGTTGTTCCTTAATTACTCAAAGTATACCCTGTAAAATAAATTGATTCTCAAAATCCCAAATTTTTAACATAAAACCCAAAATTTCCATAAATATAATGAACCTCGTAATAAACCCATTTGGTTTATCTCTGTATTTAAAGAACAGCATTAGAAGTATCCATTCCAAAATTCTTTACTAACTTTTTGTACAAAAAAAGTACAAAAAAAAACTTCTTTATTTTATGTCACCCCCCCTTATTAAAGGTTTGCATTAAGGTTTTTTTATTGTCAATCATAGGTCAGTAATTTGAAAAAACATATTCAACAAACACCAACATCAATATAACATGTTAGTAGGTTTATATGGTGGAAATTGTCAGGTATGATAGCAAAGATATATAAAATTGGCCTGAATAAACAGTTTACACCCCCTAATATGACCCAATTTGAATTATCCGCCAGTAATTTAAAATATATTTACCCGGAGATATTTGTTCATTAATGATTAGCTAAATACCTAATCTTTAAGTCTAGTGAGTCATGTTTTGGCTATATTTCTGCAAAAAAAATATTTTAGGGACCAAATTTGGTCAAATTTGACTCTTTTTGCCTAAGATCCACAGTACCTAAAATAGCTATTAGCTCTAATATTCTATACTGTATGTCACTGTATATGATTTACTTGAATAAATATATTTTAATCAAGCATATTCGGTTGTTAATTTAATAATAAGCTATTTAAAGCTAATTGCAATAATAACTGAGCTGTTCATAATTGAAATTTGGTCATTTTGAGGTAAATTTTTCCTTGGTTGCTAAGGAAATTTATTTTCCTTAGCAACCGACAAGAAGGACTGGGATGATTAAGATTTTAAACTGATTTTTATGAATAATGCAACTAAATTTGATGTTAGAAGTAGTTTTCTATCACATTTTTTTTTTATGTGGCCAGCTGTTGGTTGATGCATACAGAGAATTGATGTTAATAGGCACATTTCGAACAATGAAATTTGCAGTTATACAGTGATTTTGCTAGCGCTCGTCATTTTCGTCATTTACGAAACGGTTTTTAAAATGACGAAAGTATTCCGAAACAATTTCGTCACATAAATTTGGAAAGAGTAAAAATATTTTCGCATGAAAATACTATAATTCTACCCGTCTTATTGTTTCTGACAAGTTTATGACCCTCAGCTAATTAACATTTACAACAGGTGTTATAAGTTGTGATTACAGATAATCCGCTTATCGCCATCGGATGGGTCACTAATCCGTTCATTATTTATCAACCTCATAATTGATCATCATAATTATTTTTCCCAGTAAATCAGTCAGTCGGCATTTCAATTTCAATATTTATCAAGCGAGCACAATTTGCAGTTCGTTTGTCGTAGTTTCGTCATTTGAGTTTTCCCTCGGACAGTTCGCATTTTAATTTCAATATTTCTCAAACGATCACAATTTGTAGTTTGCTTGTCGTAGTTTCGTCAAATGAACGTATTTTCGTCATATTTGATATAACTTTTAATCTAAAACTTTCGACAATTTCTAATAAAAAGATAGAACTTTATTCATAACATTCAGAAATGTTTTCACGAGTCAAACAGGTGCTTCTTTTACGATGAACTGCGCATGCGCGAAAGTATTCTTGTGAATTTAAAGACACTAAAACGTAAAATACGAAATAATTAAGTATCAAACTAAACGAGAGAGACAAATATAGTTCTTATTTAGCAAATTTAATTTAAAAATGATAATTTCCTGCCTTTTTTAAACACGAACCAATCCTTAGATGATCCGGGTTCATTCTGAATTTATTATCCACTTGTCACTTCCCATTTTCATTTCATTTGGAAATTGAAAGTAAACGTGATCTATTCATGATAAATTTACTATTTAAAGTCATTAGAATTGTTCCAATAAGGATTTGTTCAAATCCTTGGTTCCAACTTTATAGAATTAATTCTAAATATAGCTTTAAAACGTTTTTAAGGTTAATGAGTATGAATAATGCAGTGAAATAGTCCTTACAAGTTCATTTATGCTGTGATTACTGGTTTAAAAAAAAAATGGTTCCCAACTTTTGCTGATTAGGAATGTACCTCGAAACTAACTGAAGTGAAATTGTGAACTAGATTTCTAGATCTTATATCTTAATCTTCGTATTAAAGTGCCACATCAGTCAAATCATACAGTAACTGCCTAGTAGTAATGCCTAAGTCCTTCAAAGTCTGACAAAGATGTATAGATAGTAATATACATCCTAGATCCCTTGCTGCTACCCAAAATTAGGTTGATTTTCATCCCGCGCAAAAGTGACTAAAAACCTCAAAATCCTAGCTTAAACCCTGAGTTATATATATATATATAAATATACATAGGTTAATGTAGAATAGGCTAACTGACATACATACATTGAATGTATGTTATAGCTTCATAATGTTCATATTACTCATTTGTCAGGACATTTTTCCTTAATTCAAATGATTGATTAATAAAAGATGATATTAATCTAAGTGTTTTTCTACACTTGCTATTAAGTAGTAGTTTGATATATATTCATCATCAGTTTTGGATTATTTGTCATAATTTTTAAAATTGGACAATTTTGATATAAGTACATTTCTTTGTGATTCATATTTTGTACAGTGCAAGATTAAATGTTTTTCGTCTTCTATATTATTATTATGACATAATTTGCACAACCTTTCTTCTCTGTTAACTCACAGGTACCTGCCTCTCTCAATTTCAAGATTGTGTGCACTCAGCCTAAGTTTTGCCATAGGTGCCCTATCATTGATGAGAAGATTTAAGGAAAAAATTACAGGTGAGCAATTCAGGCTCTTGAGAGCCTGTTGTTTTCTTAACACTTTCAGATATTATATGGTGATTTTTGGTATGCGAGTTAACCATGATGAGTTACAGATCAAGTTTGTTTGATTCCGTTCTGCAAATTTTTACTGAAATTAAAGACTTTGGATTTTGATAAATGGTTGAAAATCAGTTATCCATTTTTGTCTCGCCTTGACGGGGTCAAAATTGAGACATAGGTATGCTGTTTCCGGCAACGGCGGCGTCAACAATGTATTAATTAGTTTGTGATTAGGTCTAGTTCATGGTGAACCACTAGTGGTAGGTCAATGATATTTGGTATGCAGTTGTATTAGCATTGGCACATCTCATTACCATGATTATTTTGCCCAGCCCCCCTCAATCAAGGTCTATTGACTTTGAAACTTTTCATAGTTAACATGTACAAATGTATTAGTTTGTGATTAGGTCAATTTATTGAGAACCACTAGTGGTAGGTCAATGATATTTGGTATGCAGTTGTATAAGCATGGGCATATCTCATTTCCATGGAGATTATTCGGTTCCACCCCCTTAGTCATGGTCTATAGACTGAAAATTTTTCTAAGTTTATATGTATTAATTTATTTAGTTTGTGATTAGGTCAGTTCAAGCGGAACCATTAGTGGTAGGCCAATGTTAATTGGTGTTCAGTTGTATAAGCATTATCACATCTCATTTCCATGGAGAACATTTGGCCCCGCCCCCTCAGTCATGGTCTATTTACTTTGAAACTTTTGCTTAGTTTACATGTATTAGTTTGTGATTAGATCAGTTTAAGATGAACTGCTAATGTTAAGTCATTGATATTTGGTATGCAAATTTATTGGCATTTGCAAGTATCGTTTCTATGGAGATTATATAGCCCCACCACTGATCATGGTTCATTGACTTTGAAACTTTTACATAGTTTACAAGTTAATGTCTGTGTTTAGGTTTGTTTAAAGGGAATGACTTATAATAAGTCAATGGTATTTGGTATGCAGTTGTATTAGCAGTGGCACAACTCAATTTCCATGGAGATTGTTTAGCCATGTACCTTCAGTCATGGGTCATTGACTTTGAATATTTGCATAAGTTACATGTTAAAGTTACTGTATTGCTATTTTAATTTCAACATTTGCATTATCAAAATTACAAAAAGGTGAGACATATCTCTGTGATAACAGTTTTATTAATTTTATTCTCAGAAAGGAAAGATGACTTGATTTGACAGTGTTCCTTTATGAGACCAAGCTGATATATAATATGGCATTTAAATTACATCTTTGAGATTTCAATTAAAGGAAGATTTGACTTTCATTATGTCAATATTGATATTTTGTTACATGACCACACAGAATTGGATTGGTGTTTTATGTCCAGTGACAAATATAACATGCATATTAATTCATGACTTTATATGCCCTGCACCATGAACTGAAGGTTGAAAGGGGGGGGGATTGTCTTACCCCTTTCAGTCCTTCCGTCAATCCCATTATGAGTATATAGCTATTCCAGATAACACCTACAGTTTGAATGCTAGGAAGTTTTCACTTTTACAGTGAACCATAGACCTATGTGCTCTCATGCTCAACTTTGTGTGCATTTTAGAATAACTTTGCATCTGTACATTGATGACAATTGTTAGTTGAAAATCATTGAATGTCTTATCCTGTTTTACTTAACATTAGTCAAATGATATGAACTTTTGCAGATGTTAGTATTTGTAAGTTTTATTGTCTCACATTGACGGAGTTGAAAAGCAAGACATAGACGGCATCAACAATGTATTAGTTTGTGATTAGGTCAATCCATTGGGAACCACAAGTGGTAGGTCAATTATATTTTGTAGGCAGTTGTATTAGCATTGGCACATCTCATCTCCATGGAGATCGATTATTTGACCCTGCCCCTCAGTCGAGGTTGCACTTACATTTGTTTAGCTGGATCATATCTAAATTTATGGTCTAGTAAACAAAATCATTGTTGAAATTAGGATTAAGCTTAGTTTCCATTCTTTTCCAACATTTGTATATATTCAAATTTGATATTTTAGAGAAATCCAATAACTAGCAGAAAATTCGAACAACCTAAGGTTTTGAGTAGGCAATGTAAAGGTAATGCTGCTATCTCTGCAATAACCAAACAGTGTGGTAAGAATACAGTCTAGTTATACATGGTGAGTAATTTTTTGTTGCACCATTCATATCACAAGATACTGAAGTTATTGTGTTAACTGAAGAAAAAATACTTCAGTATTTCAAGTTCTTAATCACCATGAATTGAAAAAAATTATTGAAAAGACAAAATTTTTTGAAAGTGAATGGTAGTCGTTTTCATGAAGTTCAGACCAGTATTCAATGGGAGATAACTCTAATCACATTGAGGTTATTACTTTGTGTGAAACATTAATCATTGTTTTATTCAAAGTCAGCTAACTTTAATTTTCATGATTTGGTTTTGCATAAAATTACAAAATTGCCTTCTTAATAAATATTTTTCCCATCTTATTTCTGTTAAGTTGTTTCAAATGGGGGATGTCCATTATAAAACATTTAAAACTAGTTTAAATTATTTTTAATTATATTTATTTCCATATGCATATATAAGACATTTATTTCAATGAGTTATTTTATGTGTATGCCTTTTCTTAATCTTGTTTCTTCGTACAAAATTTTGATAGAAGTCTTTTTTTTTCTTCAGCATTTCTTTAAAATGATAACTTGAAGAAATTTTAAACTTTTCTAATATGACATTACCCATAGCCATGTTTACATCAATTAAAGATAACTTTTTCATTTTTCAGAAAACTGGTTATGATGTAGGATGCCATTTCTTTTAACAAAACATTGTAACAGCATGGATCCTTATAAGCACACTAACTTCTAGGTGTATCCTACATCATAGACCATATATTACAATGTCTGTATTTTTACAAACTTGTAAAGAATATTTTGATTGAAAATAATATTACTCATCTCTACTCTAGATACTATATATTGCACAAACACTACACCTGGACTGAAGACTTGTGACAAAATATCCAAGTTGAATGGGACTAGGGACCACTGGAACTAGCTCCTTCAAAGAACTTTTTCATTATTGACCTCTTTAATGATGTCTTATGATGAAATCATGTTTTTGATAGTTGCATTGATTAATGTTCATGCATTAAAACATTGGAATGACTTTGACCCAAGACTTGTTATAGTTTCTCCAGAGTATAAATGAGTTTGCTCATTGAAAGTGTATAGAAGATTTTATTTTAATGTATTTAATCTATTTTTCACCAACTTCTTTACATTTGATAATCAAGGCTCATGGCTGGTGCACCAAAATAGATTTTCATAATTGGCTTGTTTCTATTTCCAGTGATTTAAAATAAGATTAAATTCTGAAAAATTTCAACAGCAAATAGTCTCTAATTATTTAAAAATGATATTAGTTGATAATTTTTATTGAAGATACAGCCTAAATATGTTGCACTCTTAGACAAGTCAACATGTAAGTATTTGATCATTACAATTTAGACTCTTAATGAAATAAATTCTTAGTGGAATGTATAGTAATTATAAATATTCTTGTCCAACATGCAAAAGATTAAATTCTGAAAAAATTGCAACAGCAAATAGACTCTCAAGCTGATATTAAGTGATATTTTTTGTTAAAGATACAGCCTAAATATGTTGCACTCCTAGACAGAAGAAGATGGATTCATGGCACATAGGAAGAGTCAACATGTAAGTATTTGGTAAATTACAATTGTACTTAAAACTATGTTAATATTTGGAAGTCAATAAAAATCTGTTTTCACTGAAACAATAGCTTAAAATTTTATTACAAATTGGTCTAAAATATCTTTTATTCGAATTTCAAATGTGGTATATTTTAATAAGAATGAAAGAGTAATTGTAAATTAATTGTCCGTAATTTAAGATTTAACATAAAACGTGAATCACATTAATTTTTTAATTTTTTCAGCAGCCATTAAATATTCTCTATCTAAAGCTGATGCTAATTTAAATTTTTTCTTTTGTAACACATACAGCCCAGATATGTTCCACTCCCACACAATGTAGATGGTTTCATGGTAGATGGCACATTAGGATGTTTAACATGTAAGTATTTAGTCATTACAATTGTACTTTAGACTGTTTATATGTGTTGGGTAATAAATATCAGTTTTCCCTGGAACAACAGCTAAAATAAAATTTTATTTCAAATTAGTGTACATATTTTTTTTTTGTTAAAATTTATAGTCTATTGAAGTAAATTTTAACGAATGCGTAGTAATTGTAAATATACTTCGAGTCCAATTTAGGATTTGACATAAAATATGAGTGACATTTATTTATAATTGATTGCAACAGCCAATAGTCTCTATTTGAAGCTGGTAAAGTCTTTCCACTTTTCCGTGAAAGACTTAATGCTTTTGTTCTGATTATTATAATTTGTTTTTTCTTCCGCCTAATTTTTTTCCTTCACTGTTTGGTTGTTTTGCAAGATGTCGCTTAGATATTTGGTATATGATATCAAACAGTTTATACGCTCTTGAAACTGACACCGCTTAACCGAATACTTTTCTATGTAAGAGTTATCTCCCCGAACACTGTTTTTCTTGATATTTCTTATTCTTCGCAACCTTAGAAGAAACCGACTAATTTATTTTTTCAAATTACTCGTTATATCCTGGATGTTACGTTTCATTTTGACTGAAGCGTTGCGAAGACTCCATATGAGAGTTATTCCCCCTTATGTATTTGAAATAAGTGATATGTATTTGTAATTTGTAAACCATAAGTGATAGAGACCTAGGATGTTTTGGTTTGAGGTCATTGGTCAACTTAAAGAAAATTTAGGTCAAGGTCCTCTTCTAAATTTTTATTTTGACTTATTTCTTATCAGAGGCCGTATAAGATATTGACAAAATATTTTTACTAAATTGTTATATGCAAACTGTCGTAACACATGATTTTTGGTTGAACGCGTACGTTGACATGAAATGGGAGTTTCTTCCCCTCTCATATTTAAAGCTAGTTGTATGATGATATTACTCATTAACCATATTTAGTAGAGACCTAGGGTTTTTTATTTGAGGTCCTTACTTTATGAACTTGAAATATAGGTCAAGGGCATAGGTAAATTTGACGTTCTAGATTTTGACCTTAGCATTAACTTTATTTTTATAAATGATAGAGCCAAAGAACTTCTTGCATTAGGTTGCAAGCCATATGACCTTGAAAAAGCCAACCAGAAGTGACCTTGTGTGAACCGGAAGTAGCTATTTTTTGTGCTTATTTAATGTAAAAGTATATAGAACCATATATTTTTGGAATCCGTGTCAAGTAACCTATCATATTATACAAGAAGTAATATTTTTCTAAACCGGAAGTATCAAATTATCTCCCTTATTTCGGACAAAAGTGTATAGAAACCATATATTTTTTTGAATCGGTACTCACTATAATCTAAGACTGGAAATGACATTTTAGACTTGATTTTGATATTTTTAGATACAGCCTAAATATGTTACACTCCTAGACAATGAAGATGGTTTCATGGTAGATTGATCACTCATCTGGAGACATAGCATGTAAGTATTTGGTATTTTTAATTGTTCCTTAAACTATGTTTATATGGTTTGCAGGTAACAAAAATCAGTTTTCCCTGGAACAACAGCTTAAATTAGATTTGATTACAAATTGGTTTTAAAATTCTTTTATTCAAATTTATACTCTTATGAAGATAAGTTTAATGATAATGTATAGAAATTGTTTATATACTTGTCTTCAAATTAGGATTTGTCATAAAAAATGAATCATATTAATTTTGAATTAATTGCAACAATCAATATTCTCTATTTAAAGCTGATACTGATTTAGAATTTTTGTTTTTGTTAGATACAGACTAGATATGTTACACTCCTTGACAATGAAGATGCTTTCATGGTATATAGCACACGAAGATACATATCATGTAAGTATTAGGTCATTATAATTGTACTTTTATATCTTTTTATATGTGGAAGGTAACAAAAATCAGTTTTCCCCTTGAACAACCATTTAAAATTTTATTACAAATTTGTCTAATATTTCTTTTATTCAAATATTTACTGTAATAAGTTAAGTAATTGTAAATATACTAAGTCTCAAATTTAGGATTTGACAAACATGCATCACATTAATATCTGAATTGATTGCAATAGCAAATACTCCCTATTTAAAGCTGATACTAATTTACAATTTTTGTTTTTCATACAGATACATCCTAAATATGTTACTCTTCGACAATGAGATGGTTTCATTGTATATAGCACATTAGGATTAGTTACATGTATGTATTAATTCATTACAATTTTTTTCTTTAAACTAGGTTTATATTTGTTAGGCATTAAAAATCAGTTTTCACTGAAACAACAGATTGAAGCTTTATAACAAATTGGTTTAAAATTTCTTTTATTTTTATTTATATCCTAATGAAGTATATTTTAATAAGAATGTATAGGTATTGTAGATATACGTCTCCAATTTAGGATTTGACATAAAACATGCATCACATTAATTTCTGAATTGATTGCAACAGCAAATAGCTTTAATTTTGAAGCTGTAACTAATTTCAAATATTTGTTTTTGTTACAGATAGCCTAAATATGTAAGACTCCTATACCATAAAAGATGCTTCCATTGGAGATAGCATATTAGGATTAGTCACATGTAAGTATTTATTCATAACAATTGTTCTTAAAAACTATGTTTATATTTGTTAGGTAATAAAAATCAGTTTTTCCTGGAACAACAGCTTGAAATTTTATTACAAATTGGTCCTACATTTCATTTATTGAAATATTCACTGTAATGAGATATATTTTAATAAGAATTCAAAACGGAAAGCCCTAATCAAATGGCAAAATCAAAAGCTCAAACACATCAAATGAATGGATAACAACTGTTATATTCCTGACTTTGTACAGGCATTTTCTTATGTAGAAAATGGTGGATTAAACCTGGTTTTAAAGTTAGCTAAACTTCTCGCTTGTATGACAGTCTCATCAAATTCCATTACCGGTATATTGACAGTGATGTGTGAACAAAACAAACCGACACAATAGGTAAACATGTCACAAATAGGGGTACAACAGCAACACGAACCCCACCAAAAACGGGGTGTGATCTCAGGTGCCCCGGAAGGGTAAGCAGATTCTGCTCCACATGTGGCACCCGTCGTGTTGCTCATGTTATAACAAAGCTGGTAAATAGTCTAATTCAGTAGGTCACATTCGTGAAAAGGGAATGGGATTGTAGTTACGACATAAGGAACACGAAGTGATGATTTCAACTTTACCATTTGGAACTCTTGGTTTTGTATGGTGATTGTAAAAATTCTTGTCTCCAATGAAGGATTTGACATAAAACATGCATCACATTAAGTTCTGAATTGATTGCAACAGCAAATAGTCAGGATTAAAAGCTGAAATTAATGTATATTTTTTTTTGTTTTCGTTGCAGATAGCCTAAATATGTAAGACTCCTATGCCATGAAAGATGCTTCCATTGCAGATGCACATTAGGAATAGTCACATGTAGGTATTTGGTCATTACAATTTTTTCTTAAAACAATATTTATATTTGTTAGGTAATAAAAATTGGTTTTTTTCTGAAACAACAGATTGAAGCTTTATAACAAATTGGGCTAAAATTTCTTTCATTCAAATTTATACTTTAATGCTGAATATTTTAATAAGAATGTATAGTAATTGTTTTTATACTTTTTGGGATTTAACATAAAACATGCATCACATTATTTTCTGAATTGATTGCAACAGCAAAAAGTCTGGATTTAAAGCGGAAACTTAATTTATAATTTTTGTTTTTGTTACAGATTATACAGCCTAAATATGTAACACTCCTATACCATGAAAGATGCTGTCATTGTAGATAGCACATTAGGATGTTGCACATGTAGGTATTTGGTCATTACAATTTTTCTTAAAACTATGTTTATGTTTGTTAGGTAATAAAAATCCATTTTTTTCCTGAACAGTTTGACAAAAAGATGCTTTATGTTAAAATGGGTCTCGTAAAAGCAGACCTCTGCAGAGAGCAAACTTTAGATTTTGATATAACATTGATGAATTTAATGGGCGCTAATCTCGTGAAAACAGATCCCCCAACAGAGCTGATTACATAGTATGATGAAAACTTGTGTTTATGGTAAAATGTATTTAGTTTTTTGTCTGGCTCCATTTCATTATCAACCAATTTGAAACTTTATTACAAATTGGTCTAAAAATATTTTCTTCAAATTTACATTCTAATGAAATATATTCTTAATGGAATGTATAGTAATTATAAATATTCTTGTCCAACATGCAAAAGATTAAATTCTGAAAAAATTGCAACAGCAAATAGACTCTCAAGCTGATATTAAGTGATAGTTTTTGTTAAAGATACAGCCTAAATATGTTGCACTCCTAGACAGAAGAAGATGGATTCATGGCACATAGGAAGAGTCAACATGTAAGTATTTGGTAATTACAATTGTACTTAAAACTATGTTAATATTTGGAAGTCAATAAAAATCTGTTTTCACTGAAACAATAGCTTAAAATTTTATTACAAATTGGTCTAAAATATCTTTTATTCGAATTTCAAATGTGGTATATTTTAATAAGAATGAAAGAGTAATTGTAAATTAATTGTCCGTAATTTAAGATTTAACATAAAACGTGAATCACATTAATTTTTTAATTTTTTCAACAGCCATTAAATATTCTTTCTTAAGCTGATGCTAATTTAAATTTTTTCTTTTGTAACACACACAGCCCAGATATGTTCCACTCCCACACAATGTAGATGGTTTCATGGTAGATGGCACATTAGGATGTTTAACATGTAGGTATTTAGTCATTACAATTGTACTTTAGACTTTATATGTGTTGGGTAATAAATATCAGTTTTCCCTGGAACAACAGCTAAAATAAAATTTTATTTCAAATTAGTGTTTGTTCAAATTTATAGTCTATTGAAGTAAATTTTAACATGAATGCGTAGTAATTGTAAATATACTTCCAGTCCAATTTAGGATTTGACATAAAATATGAGTGACATTTATTTATAATTGATTGCAACAGCCAGTAGTCTCTATTTGAAGCTGGTAAAATCTTTCCACTTTTCCGTGAAAAGACTCAATGCTTTTGTTCTGATTATTATAATTTGTTTTTTCTTCCGCCTAATTTTTTTCCTTCACTGTTTGGTTGTTTTGCAAGATGTCGCTTAGATATTTGGTATATGATATCAAACAGTTTATACGCTCTTGAAACTGACACCGCTTAACCGAATACTTTTCTATGTAAGAGTTATCTCCCCGAACACTGTTTTTCTTGATATTTCTTATTCTTCGCAAATTACTCGTTATATCCTGGATGTTACGTTTCATTTTGACTGAAGCGTTGCGAAGACTCCATATGAGAGTTATTCCCCCTTATGTATTTGAAATAAGTGATATGTATTTGTAACTTGTAAACCATAAGGGATAGAGACCTAGGGTGTTTTGGTTTGAGGTCATTGGTCAACTTAAAGAAAATTTAGGTCAAGGTCAAAGGTCAAGGTCCTCTTCTAAATTTTTATTTTGACTTATTTCTTATCAGAGGCCATATAAGATATTGACAAAATATTTTTACTAAATTGTTAAATGCAAACTGTCGTAACACATGATTTTTGGTTGAACGGGTACGTTGACATGAAATGGGAGTTTCTTCCCCTCTCATATTTAAAGCTAGTTGTATGATGATATTACTCATTAACCATATTTAGTAGAGACCTAGGGTTTTTTATTTGAGGTCCTTACTTTATGAACTTGAAATATAGGTCAAGGGCATAGGTAAATTTGACGTTCTAGATTTTGACCTTAGCATTAACTTTATTTTTATAAATGATAGAGCCAAAGAACTTCTTGCATTAGGTTGCAAGCCATATGACCTTGAAAAGCCAACCAGAAGTGACCTTGTGTGAACCGGAAGTAGCTATTTTTTGTGCTTATTTAATGTAAAAGTATATAGAACCATATATTTTTGGAATCCGTGTCAAGTAACCTATCATATTATACAAGAAGTAATATTTTTCTAAACCGGAAGTATCAAATTATCTCCCTTATTTCGGACAAAAGTGTATAGAAACCATATATTTTTTTGAATCGGCACTCACTATAATCTAAGACTGGAAATGACATTTTAGACTCGATTTTGATATTTTTAGATACAGCCTAAATATGTTACACTCCTAGACAATGAAGATGGTTTCATGGTAGATTGATCACTCATCTGGAGACATAGCATGTAAGTATTTGGTATTTTTAATTGTTCCTTAAACTATGTTTATATGGTTTGCAGGTAACAAAAATCAGTTTTCCCTGGAACAACAGCTTAAATTAGATTTGATTACAAATTGGTTTTAAATTTCTTTTATTCAAATTTATACTCTTATGAAGATAAGTTTAATGATAATGTATAGAAATTGTTTATATACTTGTCTTCAAATTAGGATTTGTCATAAAAAACGAATCATATTAATTTTGAATTAATTGCAACAATCAATATTCTCTATTTAAAGCTGATACTGATTTAGAATTTTTGTTTTTGTTAGATACAGACTAGATATGTTACACTCCTTGACAATGAAGATGCTTTCATGGTATAAAGCACACGAAGATACATATCATGTAAGTATTTGGTCATTATAATTGTACTTTTATATCTTTTTATATGTGGAAGGTAACAAAAATCAGTTTTCCCCTTGAACAACCATTTAAAATTTTATTACAAATTTGTCTAATATTTCTTTTATTCAAATATTTACTGTAATAAGTTAAGTAATTGTAAATATACTAAGTCTCAAATTTAGGATTTGACAAAACATGCATCACATTAATTTCTGAATTGATTGCAATAGCAAATATTCCCTATTTAAAGCTGATACTAATTTACAATTTTTGTTTTTCATACAGATACAGCCTAAATATGTTACTCTTCGACAATGAGATGGTTTCATTGTATATAGCACATTAGGATTAGTTACATGTATGTATTTATTCATTACAATTTTTTTCTTTAAACTAGGTTTATATTTGTTAGGCATTAAAAATCAGTTTTCACTGAAACAACAGATTGAAGCTTTATAACAAATTGGTTTAAAATTTCTTTTATTTTTATTTATATCCTAATGAAGTATATTTTAATAAGAATGTATAGGTATTGTAGATATACGTCTCCAATTTAGGATTTGACATAAAACAAGCATCACATTAATTTCTGAATTGATTGCAACAGCAAATAGCTTTAATTTTGAAGCTGTAACTAATTTCAAATATTTGTTTTTGTTACAGATAGCCTAAATATGTAAGACTCCCATACCATGAAAGATGCTTCCATTGGAGATAGCATATTAGGATTAGTCACATGTAAGTATTTATTCATAACAATTGTTCTTAAAAACTGTTTATATTTGTTAGGTAATAAAAATCAGTTTTTCCTGGAACAACAGCTTGAAATTTTATTACAAATTGGTCCTACATTTCATTTATTGAAATATTCACTGTAATGAGATATATTTTAATAAGAATTCAAAACGGAAAGCCCTAATCAAATGGCAAAATCAAAAGCTCAAACACATCAAATGAATGGATAACAACTGTTATATTCCTGACTTTGTACAGGCATTTTCTTATGTAGAAAATGGTGGATTAAACCTGGTTTTAAAGTTAGCTAAACTTCTCGCTTGTATGACAGTCTCATCAAATTCCATTACCGGTATATTGACAGTGATGTGTGAACAAAACAAACCGACACAATAGGTAAACATGTCACAAATAGGGGTACAACAGCAACACGAACCCCACCAAAAACGGGGTGTGATCTCAGGTGCCCCGGAAGGGTAAGCAGATTCTGCTCCACATGTGGCACCCGTCGTGTTGCTCATGTTATAACAAAGCTGGTAAATAGTCTAATTCAGTAGGTCACATTCGTGAAAAGGGAATGGGATTGTAGTTACGACATAAGGAACACGAAGTGATGATTTCAACTTTACCATTTGGAACTCTTGGTTTTGTATGGTGATTGTAAAAATTCTTGTCTCCAATGAAGGATTTGACATAAAACATGCATCACATTAAGTTCTGAATTGATTGCAACAGCAAATAGTCAGGATTAAAAGCTGAAATTAATGTATATTTTTTTTTGTTTTCGTTGCAGATAGCCTAAATATGTAAGACTCCTATGCCATGAAAGATGCTTCCATTGCAGATGCACATTAGGAATAGTCACATGTAGGTATTTGGTCATTACAATTTTTTCTTAAAACAATATTTATATTTGTTAGGTAATAAAAATTGGTTTTTTTCTGAAACAACAGATTGAAGCTTTATAACAAATTGGGCTAAAATTTCTTTCATTCAAATTTATACTTTAATGCTGAATATTTTAATAAGAATGTATAGTAATTGTTTTTATACTTTTTGGGATTTAACATAAAACATGCATCACATTATTTTCTGAATTGATTGCAACAGCAAAAAGTCTGGATTTAAAGCGGAAACTTAATTTATAATTTTTGTTTTTGTTACAGATTATACAGCCTAAATATGTAACACTCCTATACCATGAAAGATGCTGTCATTGTAGATAGCACATTAGGATGTTGCACATGTAGGTATTTGGTCATTACAATTTTTCTTAAAACTATGTTTATGTTTGTTAGGTAATAAAAATCCATTTTTTTCCTGAACAGTTTGACAAAAAGATGCTTTATGTTAAAATGGGTCTCGTAAAAGCAGACCTCTGCAGAGAGCAAACTTTAGATTTTGATATAACATTGATGAATTTAATGGGCGCTAATCTCGTGAAAACAGATCCCCCAACAGAGCTGATTACATAGTATGATGAAAACTTGTGTTTATGGTAAAATGTATTTAGTTTTTTGTCTGGCTCCATTTCATTATCAACCAATTTGAAACTTTATTACAAATTGGTCTAAAAATATTTTCTTCAAATTTACATTCTAATGAAATATATTCTTAATGGAATGTATAGTAATTATAAATATTCTTGTCCAACATGCAAAAGATTAAATTCTGAAAAAATTGCAACAGCAAATAGACTCTCAAGCTGATATTAAGTGATAGTTTTTGTTAAAGATACAGCCTAAATATGTTGCACTCCTAGACAGAAGAAGATGGATTCATGGCACATAGGAAGAGTCAACATGTAAGTATTTGGTAATTACAATTGTACTTAAAACTATGTTAATATTTGGAAGTCAATAAAAATCTGTTTTCACTGAAACAATAGCTTAAAATTTTATTACAAATTGGTCTAAAATATCTTTTATTCGAATTTCAAATGTGGTATATTTTAATAAGAATGAAAGAGTAATTGTAAATTAATTGTCCGTAATTTAAGATTTAACATAAAACGTGAATCACATTAATTTTTTAATTTTTTCAACAGCCATTAAATATTCTTTCTTAAGCTGATGCTAATTTAAATTTTTTCTTTTGTAACACACACAGCCCAGATATGTTCCACTCCCACACAATGTAGATGGTTTCATGGTAGATGGCACATTAGGATGTTTAACATGTAGGTATTTAGTCATTACAATTGTACTTTAGACTTTATATGTGTTGGGTAATAAATATCAGTTTTCCCTGGAACAACAGCTAAAATAAAATTTTATTTCAAATTAGTGTTTGTTCAAATTTATAGTCTATTGAAGTAAATTTTAACATGAATGCGTAGTAATTGTAAATATACTTCCAGTCCAATTTAGGATTTGACATAAAATATGAGTGACATTTATTTATAATTGATTGCAACAGCCAGTAGTCTCTATTTGAAGCTGGTAAAATCTTTCCACTTTTCCGTGAAAAGACTCAATGCTTTTGTTCTGATTATTATAATTTGTTTTTTCTTCCGCCTAATTTTTTTCCTTCACTGTTTGGTTGTTTTGCAAGATGTCGCTTAGATATTTGGTATATGATATCAAACAGTTTATACGCTCTTGAAACTGACACCGCTTAACCGAATACTTTTCTATGTAAGAGTTATCTCCCCGAACACTGTTTTTCTTGATATTTCTTATTCTTCGCAACCTTAGAAGAAAACGACTAATTTATTTTTTCAAATTACTCGTTATATCCTGGATGTTACGTTTCATTTTGGCTGAAGCGTTGCGAAGACTCCATATGAGAGTTGTTCCCCCTTATGTATTTGAAATAAGTGATATGTATTTGTAACTTGTAAACCATAAGTGATAGAGACCTAGGGTGTTTTGGTTTGAGGTCATTGGTCAACTTAAAGAAAATTTAGGTCAAGGTCAAAGGTCAAGGTCCTCTTCTAAATTTTTATTTTGACTTATTTCTTATCAGAGGCCGTATAAGATATTGACAAAATATTTTTACTAAATTGTTATATGCAAACTGTTGTAACACATGATTTTTGGTTGAACGCGTACGTTGACATGAAATGGGAGTTTCTTCCCCTCTCATATTTAAAGCTAGTTGTATGATGATATTACTCATTAACCATATTTAGTAGAGACCTAGGGTTTTTTATTTGAGGTCCTTACTTTATGAACTTGAAATATAGGTCAAGGGCATAGGTAAATTTGACGTTCTAGATTTTGACCTTAGCATTAACTTTATTTTTATAAATGATAGAGCCAAAGAACTTCTTGCATTAGGTTGCAAGCCATATGACCTTGAAAAAGCCAACCAGAAGTGACCTTGTGTGAACCGGAAGTAGCTATTTTTTGTGCTTATTTAATGTAAAAGTATATAGAACCATATATTTTTGGAATCCGTGTCAAGTAACCTATCATATTATACAAGAAGTAATATTTTTCTAAACCGGAAGTATCAAATTATCTCCCTTATTTCGGACATAAGTGTATAGAAACCATATATTTTTTTGAATCGGTACTCACTATAATCTAAGACTGGAAATGACATTTTAGACTCGATTTTGATATCTTTAGATACAGCCTAAATATGTTACACTCCTAGACAATGAAGATGGTTTCATGGTAGATTGATCACTCATCTGGAGACATAGCATGTAAGTATTTGGTATTTTTAATTGTTCCTTAAACTATGTTTATATGGTTTGCAGGTAACAAAAATCAGTGTTCCCTGGAACAACAGCTTAAATTAGATTTGATTACAAATTGGTTTTAAATTTCTTATATTCAAATTTATACTCTTATGAAGATAAGTTTAATGATAATGTATAGAAATTGTTTATATACTTGTCTTCAAATTAGGATTTGTCATAAAAAACGAATCATATTAATTTTGAATTAATTGCAACAATCAATATTCTCTATTTAAAGCTGATACTGATTTAGAATTTTTGTTTTTGTTAGATACAGACTAGATATGTTACACTCCTTGACAATGAAGATGCTTTCATGGTATATAGCACACGAAGATACATATCATGTAAGTATTTGGTCCTTATAATTGTACTTTTATATCTTTTTATATGTGGAAGGTAATAAAAATCAGTTTCCCCCTTGAACAACCATTTAAAATTTTATTACAAATTTGTCTTAATATTTCTTTTATTCAAATGTTTACTGTAATAAGTTAAGTAATTGTAAATATACTAAGTCTCAAATTTAGGATTTGACAAAACATGCATCACATTAGTTTCTGAATTGATTGCAATAGCAAATATTCCCTATTTAAAGCTGATACTAATTTACAATTTTTGTTTTTCATACAGATACAGCCTAAATATGTTACTCTTCGACAATGAGATGGTTTCATTGTATATAGCACATTAGGATTAGTTACATGTATGTATTTATTCATTACAATTTTTTTCTTTAAACTAGGTTTATATTTGTTAGGCATTAAAAATCAGTTTTCACTGAAACAACAGATTGAAGCTTTATAACAAATTGGTTTAAAATTTCTTTTATTTTTATTTATATCCTAATGAAGTATATTTTAATAAGAATGTATAGGTATTGTAGATATACGTCTCCAATTTAGGATTTGACATAAAACATGCATCACATTAATTTCTGAATTGATTGCAACAGCAAATAGCTTTAATTTTGAAGCTGTAACTAATTTCAAATATTTGTTTTTGTTACAGATAGCCTAAATATGTAAGACTCCTATACCATGAAAGATGCTTCCATTGCAGATAGCATATTAGGATTAGTCACATGTAAGTATTTATTCATAACAATTGTTCTTAAAAACTATGTTTATATTTGTTAGGTAATAAAAATTAGTTTTTCCTGGAACAACAGCTTGAAATTTTATTACAAATTGGTCCTACATTTCATTTATTGAAATATTCACTGTAATGAGATATATTTTAATAAGAATTCAAAACGGAAAGCCCTAATCAAATGGCAAAATCAAAAGCTCAAACACATCAAATGAATGGATAACAACTGTTATATTCCTGACTTTGTACAGGCATTTTCTTATGTAGAAAATGGTGGATTAAACCTGGTTTTAAAGTTAGCTAAACTTCTCGCTTGTATGACAGTCTCATCAAATTCCATTATATTGACAGTGATGTGTGAACAAAACAAACAGACACAATAGGTAAACATGTCACAAATAGGGGTACAACAGCAACACGAACCCCACCAAAAACGGGGTGTGATCTCAGGTGCTCCGGAAGGGTAAGCAGATTCTGCTCCACATGTGGCACCCGTCGTGTTGCTCATGTTATAACAAAGCTGGTAAAAAGTCTAATTCAGTAGGTCACATTCGTGAAAAGGGAATGGGATTGTAGTTACGACATAAGGAACACGAAGTGATGATTTCAACTTTACCATTTGGAACTCTTGGTTTTGTATGGTGATTGTAAAAATTCTTGTCTCCAATGAAGGATTTGACATAAAACATGCATCACATTAAGTTCTGAATTGATTGCAACAGCAAATAGTCTGGATTAAAAGCTGAAATTAATGTATATTTTTTTTTTTTTTCATTGCAGATAGCCTAAATATGTAAGACTCCTATGCCATGAAAGATGCTTCCATTGCAGATGCACATTAGGAATAGTCACATGTAAGTATTTGGTCATTACAATTTTTTCTTAAAACAATATTTATATTTGTTAGGTAATAAAAATTGGTTTTTTTCTGAAACAGGTTGAAGCTTTATAACAAATTGGGCTAAAATTTCTTTCATTCAAATCTATACTCTAATGCTGAATATTTTGATAAGAATGTATAGTAATTGTTTTTATACTTTTTGGGATTTAACATAAAACATGCATCACATTATTTTCTGAATTGATTGCAACAGCAAAAAGTCTGGATTTAAAGCGGAAACTTAATTTATAATTTTTGTTTTTGTTACAGATTATACAGCCTAAATATGTAACACTCCTATACCATGAAAGATGCTGTCATTGTAGATAGCACATTAGGATGTTGCACATGTAGGTATTTGGTCATTACAATTTTTCTTAAAACTATGTTTATGTTTGTTAGGTAATAAAAATCCATTTTTTTCCTGAACAGTTTGACAAAAAGATGCTTTATGTTAAAATGGGTCTCGTAAAAGCAGACCTCTGCAGAGAGCAAACTTTAGATTTTGATATAACATTGATGAATTTAATGGGCGCTAATCTCGTGAAAACAGATACCCCAACAGAGCTGATTACATAGTATGATGAAAACTTGTGTTTATGGTAAAATGTATTTAGTTTTTTGTCTGGCTCCATTTCATTATCAACCAATTTGAAACTTTATTACAAATTGGTCTAAAAATATTTTCTTCAAATTTACATTCTATTGAAATATATTCTTAATGGAATGTATAGTAATTATAAATATTCTTGTCCAACATGCAAAAGATTAAATTCTGAAAAAATTGCAACAGCAAATAGACTCTCAAGCTGATATTAAGTGATAGTTTTTGTTAAAGATACAGCCTAAATATGTTGCACTCCTAGACAGAAGAAGATGGATTCATGGCACATAGGAAGAGTCAACATGTAAGTATTTGGTAATTACAATTGTACTTAAAGCTATGTTAATATTTGGAAGTCAATAAAAATCTGTTTTCACTGAAACAATAGCTTAAAATTTTATTACAAATTGGTCTAAAATATCTTTTATTCGAATTTCAAATGTGGTATATTTTAATAAGAATGAAAGAGTAATTGTAAATTAATTGTCCGTAATTTAAGATTTAACATAAAACGTGAATCACATTAATTTTTTAATTTTTTCAACAGCCATTAAATATTCTCTATCTAAAGCTGATGCTAATTTAAATTTTTTCTTTTGTAACACGTACAGCCCAGATATGTTCCACTCCCACACAATGTAGATGGTTTCATGGTAGATGGCACATTAGGATGTTTAACATGTAAGTATTTAGTCATTACAATTGTACTTTAGACTGTTTATATGTGTTGGGTAATAAATATCAGTTTTCCCTGGAACAACAGCTAAAATAAAATTTAGGATTTGACATAAAATATGAGTGACATTTATTTATAATTGATTGCAACAGCCAGTAGTCTCTATTTGAAGCTGGTAAAATCTTTCCACTTTTCCGTGAAAAGACTCAATGCTTTTGTTCTGATTATTATAATTTGTTTTTTCTTCCGCCTAATTTTTTTCCTTCACTGTTTGGTTGTTTTGCAAGCTGTCGCTTAGATATTTGGTATATGATATCAAACAGTTGATACGCTCTTGAAACTGACACCGCTTAACCGAATACTTTTCTATGTAAGAGTTATCTCCCCGAACACCGTTTTTCTTGATATTTCTTATTCTTCGCAAATTACTCGTTATGTCCTGGATGTTACGTTTCATTTTGACTGAAGCGTTGCGAAGACTCCATATGAGAGTTATTCCCCCTTATGTATTTGAAATAAGTGATATGTATTTGTAACTTGTAAACCATAAGGGATAGAGACCTAGGGTGTTTTGGTTTGAGGTCATTGGTCAACTTAAAGAAAATTTAGGTCAAGGTCAAAGGTCAAGGTCCTCTTCTAAATTTTTATTTTGACTTATTTCTTATCAGAGGCCATATAAGATATTGACAAAATATTTTTACTAAATTGTTAAATGCAAACTGTCGTAACACATGATTTTTGGTTGAACGGGTACGTTGACATGAAATGGGAGTTTCTTCCCCTCTCATATTTAAAGCTAGTTGTATGATGATATTACTCATTAACCATATTTAGTAGAGACCTAGGGTTTTTTATTTGAGGTCCTTACTTTATGAACTTGAAATATAGGTCAAGGGCATAGGTAAATTTGACGTTCTAGATTTTGACCTTAGCATTAACTTTATTTTTATAAATGATAGAGCCAAAGAACTTCTTGCATTAGGTTGCAAGCCATATGACCTTGAAAAGCCAACCAGAAGTGACCTTGTGTGAACCGGAAGTAGCTATTTTTTGTGCTTATTTAATGTAAAAGTATATAGAACCATATATTTTTGGAATCCGTGTCAAGTAACCTATCATATTATACAAGAAGTAATATTTTTCTAAACCGGAAGTATCAAATTATCTCCCTTATTTCGGACAAAAGTGTATAGAAACCATATATTTTTTTGAATCGGCACTCACTATAATCTAAGACTGGAAATGACATTTTAGACTCGATTTTGATATTTTTAGATACAGCCTAAATATGTTACACTCCTAGACAATGAAGATGGTTTCATGGTAGATTGATCACTCATCTGGAGACATAGCATGTAAGTATTTGGTATTTTTAATTGTTCCTTAAACTATGTTTATATGGTTTGCAGGTAACAAAAATCAGTTTTCCCTGGAACAACAACTTAAATTAGATTTGATTACAAATTGGTTTTAAATTTCTTTTATTCAAATTTATACTCTTATGAAGATAAGTTTAATGATAATGTATAGAAATTGTTTATATACTTGTCTTCAAATTAGGATTTGTCATAAAAAACGAATCATATTAATTTTGAATTAATTGCAACAATCAATATTCTCTATTTAAAGCTGATACTGATTTAGAATTTTTGTTTTTGTTAGATACAGACTAGATATGTTACACTCCTTGACAATGAAGATGCTTTCATGGTATAAAGCACACGAAGATACATATCATGTAAGTATTTGGTCATTATAATTGTACTTTTATATCTTTTTATATGTGGAAGGTAACAAAAATCAGTTTTCCCCTTGAACAACCATTTAAAATTTTATTACAAATTTGTCTAATATTTCTTTTATTTAAATATTTACTGTAATAAGTTAAGTAATTGTAAATATACTAAGTCTCAAATTTAGGATTTGACAAAACATGCATCACATTAATTTCTGAATTGATTGCAATAGCAAATATTCCCTATTTAAAGCTGATACTAATTTACAATTTTTGTTTTTCATACAGATACAGCCTAAATATGTTACTCTTCGACAATGAGATGGTTTCATTGTATATAGCACATTAGGATTAGTTACATGTATGTATTTATTCATTACAATTTTTTTCTTTAAACTAGGTTTATATTTGTTAGGCATTAAAAATCAGTTTTCACTGAAACAACAGATTGAAGCTTTATAACAAATTGGTTTAAAATTTCTTTTATTTTTATTTATATCCTAATGAAGTATATTTTAATAAGAATGTATAGGTATTGTAGATATACGTCTCCAATTTAGGATTTGACATAAAACAAGCATCACATTAATTTCTGAATTGATTGCAACAGCAAATAGCTTTAATTTTGAAGCTGTAACTAATTTCAAATATTTGTTTTTGTTACAGATAGCCTAAATATGTAAGACTCCCATACCATGAAAGATGCTTCCATTGGAGATAGCATATTAGGATTAGTCACATGTAAGTATTTATTCATAACAATTGTTCTTAAAAACTATGTTTATATTTGTTAGGTAATAAAAATCAGTTTTTCCTGGAACAACAGCTTGAAATTTTATTACAAATTGGTCCTACATTTCATTTATTGAAATATTCACTGTAATGAGATATATTTTAATAAGAATTCAAAACGGAAAGCCCTAATCAAATGGCAAAATCAAAAGCTCAAACACATCAAATGAATGGATAACAACTGTTATATTCCTGACTTTGTACAGGCATTTTCTTATGTAGAAAATGGTGGATTAAACCTGGTTTTAAAGTTAGCTAAACTTCTCGCTTGTATGACAGTCTCATCAAATTCCATTACCGGTATATTGACAGTGATGTGTGAACAAAACAAACCGACACAATAGGTAAACATGTCACAAATAGGGGTACAACAGCAACACGAACCCCACCAAAAACGGGGTGTGATCTCAGGTGCCCTGGAAGGGTAAGCAGATTCTGCTCCACATGTGGCACCCGTCGTGTTGCTCATGTTATAACAAAGCTGGTAAATAGTCTAATTCAGTAGGTCACATTCGTGAAAAGGGAATGGGATTGTAGTTACGACATAAGGAACACGAAGTGATGATTTCAACTTTACCATTTGGAACTCTTGGTTTTGTATGGTGATTGTAAAAATTCTTGTCTCCAATGAAGGATTTGACATAAAACATGCATCACATTAAGTTCTGAATTGATTGCAACAGCAAATAGTCAGGATTAAAAGCTGAAATTAATGTATATTTTTTTTTGTTTTCGTTGCAGATAGCCTAAATATGTAAGACTCCTATGCCTTGAAAGATGCTTCCATTGCAGATGCACATTAGGAATAGTCACATGTAGGTATTTGGTCATTACAATTTTTTCTTAAAACAATATTTATATTTGTTAGGTAATAAAAATTGGTTTTTTTCTGAAACAACAGATTGAAGCTTTATAACAAATTGGGCTAAAATTTCTTTCATTCAAATTTATACTTTAATGCTGAATATTTTAATAAGAATGTATAGTAATTGTTTTTATACTTTTTGGGATTTAACATAAAACATGCATCACATTATTTTCTGAATTGATTGCAACAGCAAAAAGTCTGGATTTAAAGCGGAAACTTAATTTATAATTTTTGTTTTTGTTACAGATTATACAGCCTAAATATGTAACACTCCTATACCATGAAAGATGCTGTCATTGTAGATAGCACATTAGGATGTTGCACATGTAGGTATTTGGTCATTACAATTTTTCTTAAAACTATGTTTATGTTTGTTAGGTAATAAAAATCCATTTTTTTCCTGAACAGTTTGACAAAAAGATGCTTTGTTAAAATGGGTCTCGTAAAAGCAAACCTCTGCAGAGAGCAAACTTTAGATTTTGATATAACATTGATGAATTTAATGGGCGCTAATCTCGTGAAAACAGATCCCCCAACAGAGCTGATTACATAGTATGATGAAAACTTGTGTTTATGGTAAAATGTATTTAGTTTTTTGTCTGGCTCCATTTCATTATCAACCAATTTGAAACTTTATTACAAATTGGTCTAAAAATATTTTCTTCAAATTTACATTCTAATGAAATATATTCTTAATGGAATGTATAGTAATTATAAATATTCTTGTCCAACATGCAAAAGATTAAATTCTGAAAAAATTGCAACAGCAAATAGACTCTCAAGCTGATATTAAGTGATAGTTTTTGTTAAAGATACAGCCTAAATATGTTGCACTCCAAGACAGAAGAAGATGGATTCATGGCACATAGGAAGAGTCAACATGTAAGTATTTGGTAATTACAATTGTACTTAAAACTATGTTAATATTTGGAAGTCAATAAAAATCTGTTTTCACTGAAACAATAGCTTAAAATTTTATTACAAATTGGTCTAAAATATCTTTTATTCGAATTTCAAATGTGGTATATTTTAATAAGAATGAAAGAGTAATTGTAAATTAATTGTCCGTAATTTAAGATTTAACATAAAACGTGAATCACATTAATTTTTTAATTTTTTCAACAGCCATTAAATATTCTTTCTAAAGCTGATGCTAATTTTAATTTTTTCTTTTGTAACACACACAGCCCAGATATGTTCCACTCCCACACAATGTAGATGGTTTCATGGTAGATGGCACATTAGGATGTTTAACGTGTAGGTATTTAGTCATTACAATTGTACTTTAGACTTTATATGTGTTGGGTAATAAATATCAGTTTTCCCTGGAACAACAGCTAAAATAAAATTTTATTTCAAATTAGTGTTTGTTCAAATTTATAGTCTATTGAAGTAAATTTTAACATGAATGCGTAGTAATTGTAAATATACTTCCAGTCCAATTTAGGATTTGACATAAAATATGAGTGACATTTATTTATAATTGATTGCAACAGCCAGTAGTCTCTATTTGAAGCTGGTAAAGTCTTTCCACTTTTCCGTGAAAAGACTCAATGCTTTTGTTCTGATTATTATAATTTGTTTTTTCTTCCGCCTAATTTTTTTCCTTCACTGTTTGGTTGTTTTGCAAGATGTCGCTTAGATATTTGGTATATGATATCAAACAGTTTATACGCTCTTGAAACTGACACCGCTTAACCGAATACTTTTACATGTAAGAGTTATCTCCCCGAACACTGTTTTTCTTGATATTTCTTATTCTTCGCAACCTTAGAAGAAACCGACTAATTTATTTTTTCAAATTACTCGTTATATCCTGGATGTTACGTTTCATTTTGACTGAAGCGTTGCGAAGACTCCATATGAGAGTTATTCCCCCTTATGTATTTGAAATAAGTGATATGTATTTGTAATTTGTAAACCATAAGTGATAGAGACCTAGGGTGTTTTGGTTTGAGGTCATTGGTCAACTTAAAGAAAATTTAGGTCAAGGTCCTCTTCTAAATTTTTATTTTGACTTATTTCTTATCAGAGGCCGTATAAGATATTGACAAAATATTTTTACTAAATTGTTATATGCAAACTGTCTGTCGTAACACATGATTTTTGGTTGAACGCGTACGTTGACATGAAATGGGAGTTTCTTCCCCTCTCATATTTAAAGCTAGTTGTATGATGATATTACTCATTAACCATATTTAGTAGAGACCTAGGGTTTTTTATTTGAGGTCCTTACTTTATGAACTTGAAATATAGGTCAAGGGCATAGGTAAATTTGACGTTCTAGATTTTGACCTTAGCATTAACTTTATTTTTATAAATGATAGAGCCAAAGAACTTCTTGCATTAGGTTGCAAGCCATATGACCTTGAAAAAGCCAACCAGAAGTGACCTTGTGTGAACCGGAAGTAGCTATTTTTTGTGCTTATTTAATGTAAAAGTATATAGAACCATATATTTTTGGAATCCGTGTCAAGTAACCTATCATATTATACAAGAAGTAATATTTTTCTAAACCGGAAGTATCAAATTATCTCCCTTATTTCGGACAAAAGTGTATAGAAACCATATATTTTTTTGAATCGGTACTCACTATAATCTAAGACTGGAAATGACATTTTAGACTCGATTTTGATATTTTTAGATACAGCCTAAATATGTTACACTCCTAGACAATGAAGATGGTTTCATGGTAGATTGATCACTCATCTGGAGACATAGCATGTAAGTATTTGGTATTTTTAATTGTTCCTTAAACTATGTTTATATGGTTTGCAGGTAACAAAAATCAGTTTTCCCTGGAACAACAGCTTAAATTAGATTTGATTACAAATTGGTTTTAAATTTCTTATATTCAAATTTATACTCTTATGAAGATAAGTTTAATGATAATGTATAGAAATTGTTTATATACTTGTCTTCAGATTTGTCATAAAAAACGAATCATATTAATTTTGAATTAATTGCAACAATCAATATTCTCTATTTAAAGCTGATACTGATTTAGAATTTTTGTTTTTGTTAGATACAGACTAGATATGTTACACTCCTTGACAATGAAGATGCTTTCATGGTATATAGCACACGAAGATACATATCATGTAAGTATTAGGTCATTATAATTGTACTTTTATATCTTTTTATATGTGGAAGGTAACAAAAATCAGTTTTCCCCTTGAACAACCATTTAAAATTTTATTAAAAATTTGTCTAATATTTCTTTTATTCAAATATTTACTGTAATAAGTAAAGTAATTGTAAATATACTAAGTCTCAAATTTAGGATTTGACAAAACATGCATCACATTATTTTCTGAATTGATTGCAATAGCAAATATTCCCTATTTAAAGCTGATACTAATTTACAATTTTTGTTTTTCATACAGATACAGCCTAAATATGTTACTCTTCGACAATGAGATGGTTTCATTGTATATAGCACATTAGGATTAGTTACATGTATGTATTTATTCATTACAATTTTTTTCTTTAAACTAGGTTTATATTTGTTAGGCATTAAAAATCAGTTTTCACTGAAACAACAGATTGAAGCTTTATAACAAATTGGTTTAAAATTTCTTTTATTTTTATTTATATCCTAATGAAGTATATTTTAATAAGAATGTATAGGTATTGTAGATATACGTCTCCAATTTAGGATTTGACATAAAACATGCATCACATTAATTTCTGAATTGATTGCAACAGCAAATAGCTTTAATTTTGAAGCTGTAACTAATTTCAAATATTTGTTTTTGTTACAGATAGCCTAAATATGTAAGACTCCTATACCATGATAGATGCTTCCATTGCAGATAGCATATTAGGATTAGTCACATGTAAGTATTTATTCATAACAATTGTTCTTAAAAACTATGTTTATATTTGTTAGGTAATAAAAATCAGTTTTTCCTGGAACAACAGCTTGAAATTTTATTACAAATTGGTCCTACATTTCATTTATTGAAATATTCACTGTAATGAGATATATTTTAATAAGAATTCAAAACGGAAAGCCCTAATCAAATGGCAAAATCAAAAGCTCAAACACATCAAATGAATGGATAACAACTGTTATATTCCTGTCTTTGCACAGGCATTTTCTTATGTAGAAAATGGTGGATTAAACCTGGTTTTAAAGTTAGCTAAACTTCTTGCTTGTATGACAGTCTCATCAAATTCCATTATGTTGACAGTGATGTGTGAACAAAACAAACCGACACAATAGGTAAACATGTCACAAATAGGGGTACAACAGCAACACGAACCCCACCAAAAACGGGGTGTGATCTCAGGTGCTCCGGAAGGGTAAGCAGATTCTGCTCCACATGTGGCACCCATCGTGTTGCTCATGTTATAACAAAGCTGGTAAAAAGTCTAATTCAGTAGGTCACATTCGTGAAAAGGGAATGGGATTGTAGTTACGACATAAGGAACATGAAGTGATGATTTCAACTTTACCATTTGGAACTCTTGGTTTTGTATGGTGATTGTAAAAATTCTTGTCTCCAATGAAGGATTTGACATAAAACATGCATCACATTAAGTTCTGAATTGATTGCAACAGCAAATAGTCTGGATTAAAAGCTGAAATTAATGTATATTTTTTTTTGTTTTGTTGCAGATAGCCTAAATATGTAAGACTCCTATGCCATGAAAGATGCTTCCATTGCAGATGCACATTAGGAATAGTCACATGTAAGTATTTGGTCATTACAATTTTTTCTTAAAACAATATTTATATTTGTTAGGTAATAAAAATTGGTTTTTTTCTGAAACAGATTGAAGCTTTATAACAAATTGGGCTAAAATATTTTCCATTCAAATCTATACTCTAATGCTGAATATTTTGATAAGAATGTATAGTAATTGTTTTTATACTTTTTGGGATTTAACATAAAACACGCATCACATTATTTTCTGAATTGATTGCAACAGCAAAAAGTCTGGATTTAAAGCGGAAACTTAATTTATAATTTTTGTTTTTGTTACAGATTATACAGCCTAAATATGTAACACTCCTATACCATGAAAGATGCTGTCATTGTAGATAGCACATTAGGATGTTGCACATGTAGGTATTTGGTCATTACAATTTTTCTTAAAACTATGTTTATGTTTGTTAGGTAATAAAAATCCATTTTTTTCCTGAACAGTTTGACAAAAAGATGCTTTATGTTAAAATGGGTCTCGTAAAAGCAGACCTCTGCAGAGAGCAAACTTTAGATTTTGATATAACATTGATGAATTTAATGGGCGCTAATCTCGTGAAAACAGATCCCCCAACAGAGCTGATTACATAGTATGATGAAAACTTGTGTTTATGGTAAAATGTATTTAGTTTTTTGTCTGGCTCCATTTCATTATCAACCAATTTGAAACTTTATTACAAATTGGTCTAAAAATATTTTCTTCAAATTTACATTCTATTGAAATATATTCTTAATGGAATGTATAGTAATTATAAATATTCTTGTCCAACATGCAAAAGATTAAATTCTGAAAAAATTGCAACAGCAAATAGACTCTCAAGCTGATATTAAGTGATAGTTTTTGTTAAAGATACAGCCTAAATATGTTGCACTCCTAGACAGAAGAAGATGGATTCATGGCACACAGGAAGAGTCAACATGTAAGTATTTGGTAATTACAATTGTACTTAAAACTATGTTAATTTGGAAGTCAATAAAAATCTGATTTCACTGAAACAATAGCTTAAAATTTTATTACAAATTGGTCTAAAATATCTTTTATTCGAATTTCAAATGTGGTATATTTTAATAAGAATGAAAGAGTAATTGTAAATTAATTGTCCGTAATTTAAGATTTAACATAAAACGTGAATCACATTAATTTTTTAATTTTTTCAACAGCCATTAAATATTCTCTATCTAAAGCTGATGCTAATTTAATTTTTTTCTTTTGTAACACATACAGCCCAGATATGTTCCACTCCCACACAATGTAGATGGTTTCATGGTAGATGGCACATTAGGATGTTTAACATGTAAGTATTTAGTCATTACAATTGTACTTTAGACTGTTTATATGTGTTGGGTAATAAATATCAGTTTTCCCTGGAACAACAGCTAAAATAAAATTTTATTTCAAATTAGTGTACATATTTTTTTTTTGTTCAAATTTATAGTCTATTGAAGTAAATTTTAACATGAATACGTAGTAATTGTAAATATACTTCGAGTCCAATTTAGGATTTGACATAAAATATGAGTGACATTTATTTATAATTGATTGCAACAGCCAATAGTCTCTATTTGAAGCTGGTAAAGTCTTTCCACTTTTCCTTGAAAAGACTTAATGCTTTTGTTCTGATTATTATAATTTGTTTTTTCTTCCGCCTAATTTTTTTCCTTCACTGTTTGGTTGTTTTGCAAGATGTCGCTTAGATATTTGGTATATGATATCAAACAGTTTATACGCTCTTGAAACTGATACCGCTTAACCGAATACTTTTCTATGTAAGAGTTATCTCCCCGAACACTGTTTTTCTTGATATTTCTTATTCTTCGCAACCTTAGAAGAAAACGACTAATTTATTTTTTCAAATTACTCGTTATATCCTGGATGTTACGTTTCATTTTGGCTGAAGCGTTGCGAAGACTCCATATGAGAGTTGTTCCCCCTTATGTATTTGAAATAAGTGATATGTATTTGTAACTTGTAAACCATAAGTGATAGAGACCTAGGGTGTTTTGGTTTGAGGTCATTGGTCAACTTAAAGAAAATTTAGGTCAAGGTCAAAGGTCAAGGTCCTCTTCTAAATTTTTATTTTGACTTATTTCTTATCAGAGGCCGTATAAGATATTGACAAAATATTTTTACTAAATTGTTATATGCAGACTGTCGTAACACATGATTTTTGGTTGAACGCGTACGTTGACATGAAATGGGAGTTTCTTCCCCTCTCATATTTAAAGCTAGTTGTATGATGATATTACTCATTAACCATATTTAGTAGAGACCTAGGGTTTTTTATTTGAGGTCCTTACTTTATGAACTTGAAATATAGGTCAAGGGCATAGGTAAATTTGACGTTCTAGATTTTGACCTTAGCATTAACTTTATTTTTATAAATGATAGAGCCAAAGAACTTCTTGCATTAGGTTGCAAGCCATATGACCTTGAAAAAGCCAACCAGAAGTGACCTTGTGTGAACCGGAAGTAGCTATTTTTTGTGCTTATTTAATGTAAAAGTATATAGAACCATATATTTTTGGAATCCGTGTCAAGTAACCTATCATATTATACAAGAAGTAATATTTTTCTAAACCGGAAGTATCAAATTATCTCCCTTATTTCGGACAAAAGTGTTTAGAAACCATATATTTTTTTGAATCGGTACTCACTATAATCTAAGACTGGAAATGACATTTTAGACTTGATTTTGATATCTTTAGATACAGCCTAAATATGTTACACTCCTAGACAATGAAGATGGTTTCATGGTAGATTGATCACTCATCTGGAGACATAGCATGTAAGTATTTGGTATTTTTAATTGTTCCTTAAACTATGTTTATATGGTTTGCAGGTAACAAAAATCAGTTTTCCCTGGAACAACAGCTTAAGGTTGCATTTCTGTAAATATTGACAATGCAATTTCCCATAGGAACTCCTTTTACGGCTAAAACACTACCACTTTTACTATGAAGTTTTGAAAAAAATCATATCCTAGAATGGAAAGTTCATATGCACTACAATTTTTTTCAAAGGTCAAAATATAGGGCTGTGCGGCATATTTTCAACGTTTATATGCCCTGAACTTCTAAGAGTTTAAACTAACACTAAATTTCTTAACTATACCCACCTTGACTGTAGGATTACCACAGATTTCTATATAGACAATATGCATATGTATATTTACTGGTAACATTCCCAAGTTATGTCTCTATGAGATGAAACCTAGCGATCATAACTGGGAACCAGTATGTAAACAAAATTAATTATCTATGAATATTCTATATCTCCCCAATAGAGGCGTGGTTTGAGAAACAGCTGTATTTACAAAGTGCAACCTATACAAACATTTATTCCAATAGAAAACTCTCTAAAAACACTTTTTCTCACATTAATACTTATTTATCAGAATTATAGCCTTAAAGAAATCACTGCATAAACTCTAAGTTTTCTTTTACTGTTCATTTGATACCCCCTCCCCTGTTTCAATTTTTTAAAGAATTTGAAAACAAGACTTTAATTATTGCCAGCTTACCCTATTTGCATGTTTTCTGACATGAAATGCCTAGAACCTGTTTAAAACTGTTCTGATAACATATTGAAAGCATTTCAGAACACTGTAAATGTTATGTTTAGCAGTCAATCATTCCAAAATTCAAGATTGTATAAAGTATCAAATCCTGCCTGTGTCTCCAGTCCACAATTTACTGTATGCCTATTTGTCAATGAAAGTTCACAATTTCTGCCTCAAATGGTCAGTTTAGAATTCTTGTCACAACAGTATCATCTCTAGCCATATATCTGACATAATTTAGCTAATATATGAGCTAGAAGTGTTAAAACAAAGCCATATTTGCAATAGTTGTATGTATGCAGATACCAGTCTGATGTATAAATTCACTTAAAATGTTATAGAAATGACTGCTAACATCTAATTTTTGCATAACTTCCAAGCATAGTTATTGTTTTCTATATAAAGACCTTTAAAATCATAAAATCATAGCATTTACAAGTTAAATTATTTGTTATATGACCCAGGGGGTAGGCAATTTTCTCTGTTTTTTGCCCCTGGGGCCTCAAATTTCCTAAATTGTTCTGCTGTTTCTAGCAATATGGAATATTTAGTACATATTCAGGATAGAACACACTATTGTTAGTTTTGTTGAGATATTTTTGTATTTCTAGCTTGTATTTTTTATGCCGCGGTGACAAAAAAGCAGATTTAGGTGTTACGGCTTACTTTTGGGTTATCGACAGGACAAAAACACCCCACCAATAATATTCAGGAAGGATCTATGAGTTTCAATGACTGCGAAGAGTAAATATAAGCACTTCTAAACAATTTAACTTACAAATATGCATATATTATGAATTTATTTTGCATTCAGGGCTTTAAGTAAACTATGCATACTGTAAACTGTGAATATATGCTGAGTCATCATAGTTAAAGCCCAGGATTTTCTCAATCTTCATGAAATATTTATAAAACTTCATATTTGAGTTAATTTCTTTAAAATCTGTGAGATAAACCAAAATTGGTTAAATTCTGTATGTTCTCTTTTTTCACCCAATATAGGTTGCATTTCTGTAAATATTGACAATGCAATTTCCCATAGGAACTCCTTTTACGGCTAAAACTGTACCACTTTTACTATGAAGTTTTGAAAAAAATCATATCCTAGAATGGAAAGTTCATATGCACTACAATTTTTTTCAAAGGTCAAAATATAGGGCTGTGCGGCATATTTTCAACGTTTATATGCCCTGAACTTCTAAGAGTTTAAACTAACACTAAATTTCTTAACTATACCCACCTTGACTGTAGGATTACCACAGATTTCTATATAGACAATATGCATATGTATATTTACTGGTAACATTCCCAAGTTATGTCTCTATGAGATGAAACCTAGAGATCATAACTGGGAACCAGTATGTAAACAAAATTAATTATCTATGAATATTCTATATCTCCCCAATAGAGGCGTGGTTTGAGAAACAGCTGTATTTACAAAGTGCAACCTTAAATTAGATTTGATTACAAATTGGTTTTAAATTTCTTATATTCAAATTTATACTCTTATGAAGATAAGTTTAATGATAATGTATAGAAATTGTTTATATACTTGTCTTCAAATTAGGATTTGTCATAAAAAACGAATCATATTAATTTTGAATTAATTGCAACAATCAATATTCTCTATTTAAAGCTGATACTGATTTAGAATTTTTGTTTTTGTTAGATACAGACTAGATATGTTACACTCCTTGACAATGAAGATGCTTTCATGGTATATAGCACACGAAGATACATATCATGTAAGTATTTGGTCATTATAATTGTACTTTTATATCTTTTTATATGTGGAAGGTAACAAAAATCAGTTTTCCCCTTGAACAACCATTTAAAATTTTATTACAAATTTGTCTAATATTTCTTTTATTCAAATATTTACTGTAATAAGTTAAGTAATTGTAAATATAGTAAGTCTCAAATTTAGGATTTGACAAAACATGCATCACATTAATTTCTGAATTGATTGCAATAGCAAATATTCCCTATTTAAAGCTGATACTAATTTACAATTTTTGTTTTTCATACAGATACAGCCTAAATATGTTACTCTTCGACAATGAGATGGTTTCATTGTATATAGCACATTAGGATTAGTTACATGTATGTATTTATTCATTACAATTTTTTTCTTTAAACTAGGTTTATATTTGTTAGGCATTAAAAATCAGTTTTCACTGAAACAACAGATTGAAGCTTTATAACAAATTGGTTTAAAATTTCTTTTATTTTTATTTATATCCTAATGAAGTATATTTTAATAAGAATGTATAGGTATTGTAGATATACGTCTCCAATTTAGGATTTGACATAAAACATGCATCACATTAATTTCTGAATTGATTGCAACAGCAAATAGCTTTAATTTTGAAGCTGTAACTAATTTCAAATATTTGTTTTTGTTACAGATAGCCTAAATATGTAAGACTCCTATACCATGAAAGATGCTTCCATTGCAGATAGCATATTAGGATTAGTCACATGTAAGTATTTATTCATAACAATTGTTCTTAAAAACTATGTTTATATTTGTTAGGTAATAAAAATCAGTTTTTCCTGGAACAACAGCTTGAAATTTTATTACAAATTGGTCCTACATTTCATTTATTGAAATATTCACTGTAATGAGATATATTTTAATAAGAATTCAAAACGGAAAGCCCTAATCAAATGGCAAAATCAAAAGCTCAAACACATCAAATGAATGGATAACAACTGTTATATTCCTGACTTTGTACAGGCATTTTCTTATGTAGAAAATGGTGGATTAAACCTGGTTTTAAAGTTAGCTAAACTTCTCGCTTGTATGACAGTCTCATCAAATTCCATTATATTGACAGTGATGTGTGAACAAAACAAACCGACACAATAGGTAAACATGTCACAAATAGGGGTACAACAGCAACACGAACCCCACCAAAAACGGGGTGTGATCTCAGGTGCTCCGGAAGGGTAAGCAGATTCTGCTCCACATGTGGCACCCGTCGTGTTGCTCATGTTATAACAAAGCTGGTAAAAAGTCTAATTCAGTAGGTCACATTCGTGAAAAGGGAATGGGATTGTAGTTACGACATAAGGAACACGAAGTGATGATTTCAACTTTACCATTTGGAACTCTTGGTTTTGTATGGTGATTGTAAAAATTCTTGTCTCCAATGAAGGATTTGACATAAAACATGCATCACATTAAGTTCTGAATTGATTGCAACAGCAAATAGTCTGGATTAAAAGCTGAAATTAATGTATATTTTTTTTTTTTTTTTCGTTGCAGATAGCCTAAATATGTAAGACTCCTATGCCATGAAAGATGCTTCCATTGCAGATGCACATTAGGAATAGTCACATGTAAGTATTTGGTCATTACAATTTTTTCTTAAAACAATATTTATATTTGTTAGGTAATAAAAATTGTTTTTTTTCTGAAACAGGTTGAAGCTTTATAACAAATTGGGCTAAAATTTCTTTCATTCAAATCTATACTCTAATGCTGAATATTTTGATAAGAATGTATAGTAATTGTTTTTATACTTTTTGGGATTTAACGTAAAACATGCATCACATTATTTTCTGAATTGATTGCAACAGCAAAAAGTCTGGATTTAAAGCGGAAACTTAATTTATAATTTTTGTTTTTGTTACAGATTATACAGCCTAAATATGTAACACTCCTATACCATGAAAGATGCTGTCATTGTAGATAGCACATTAGGATGTTGCACATGTAGGTATTTGGTCATTACAATTTTTCTTAAAACTATGTTTATGTTTGTTAGGTAATAAAAATCCATTTTTTTCCTGAACAGTTTGACAAAAAGATGCTTTATGTTAAAATGGGTCTCGTAAAAGCAGACCTCTGCAGAGAGCAAACTTTAGATTTTGATATAACATTGATGAATTTAATGGGCGCTAATCTCGTGAAAACAGATCCCCCAACAGAGCTGATTACATAGTATGATGAAAACTTGTGTTTATGGTAAAATGTATTTAGTTTTTTGTCTGGCTCCATTTCATTATCAACCAATTTGAAACTTTATTACAAATTGGTGTAAAAATATTTTCTTCAAATTTACATTCTATTGAAATATATTCTTAATGGAATGTATAGTAATTATAAATATTCTTGTCCAACATGCAAAAGATTAAATTCTGAAAAAATTGCAACAGCAAATAGACTCTCAAGCTGATATTAAGTGATAGTTTTTGTTAAAGATACAGCCTAAATATGTTGCACTCCTAGACAGAAGAAGATGGATTCATGGCACATAGGAAGAGTCAACATGTAAGTATTTGGTAATTACAATTGTACTTAAAACTATGTTAATATTTGGAAGTCAATAAAAATCTGTTTTCTCTGAAACAATAGCTTAAAATTTTATTACAAATTGGTCTAAAATATCTTTTATTCGAATTTCAAATGTGGTATATTTTAATAAGAATGAAAGAGTAATTGTAAATTAATTGTCCGTAATTTAAGATTTAACATAAAACGTGAATCACATTAATTTTTTAATTTTTTCAACAGCCATTAAATATTCTCTATCTAAAGCTGATGCTAATTTAAATTTTTTCTTTTGTAACACATACAGCCCAGATATGTTCCACTCCCACACAATGTAGATGGTTTCATGGTAGATGGCACATTAGGATGTTTAACATGTAAGTATTTAGTCATTACAATTGTACTTTAGACTGTTTATATGTGTTGGGTAATAAATATCAGTTTTCCCTGGAACAACAGCTAAAATAAAATTTTATTTCAAATTAGTGTACATATTTTTTTTTTGTTCAAATTTATAGTCTATTGAAGTAAATTTTAACATGAATGCGTAGTAATTGTAAATATACTTCGAGTCCAATTTAGGATTTGACATAAAATATGAGTGACATTTATTTATAATTGATTGCAACAGCCAATAGTCTCTATTTGAAGCTGGTAAAGTCTTTCCACTTTTCCGTGATAAGACTTAATGCTTTTGTTCTGATTATTATAATTTGTTTTTTCTTCCGCCTAATTTTTTTCCTTCACTGTTTGGTTGTTTTGCAAGATGTTGCTTAGATATTTGGTATATGATATCAAACAGTTTATACGCTCTTGAAACTGACACCGCTTAACCGAATACTTTTCTATGTAAGAGTTATCTCCCCGAACACTGTTTTTCTTGATATTTCTTATTCTTCGCAACCTTAGAAGAAAACGACTAATTTATTTTTTCAAATTACTCGTTATATCCTGGATGTTACGTTTCATTTTGGCTGAAGCGTTGCGAAGACTCCATATGAGAGTTGTTCCCCCTTATGTATTTGAAATAAGTGATATGTATTTGTAACTTGTAAACCATAAGTGATAGAGACCTAGGGTGTTTTGGTTTGAGGTCATTGGTCAACTTAAAGAAAATTTAGGTCAAGGTCAAAGGTCAAGGTCCTCTTCTAAATTTTTATTTTGACTTATTTCTTATCAGAGGCCGTATAAGATATTGACAAAATATTTTTACTAAATTGTTATATGCAAACTGTCATAACACATGATTTTTGGTTGAACGCGTACGTTGACATGAAATGGGAGTTTCTTCCCCTCTCATATTTAAAGCTAGTTGTATGATGATATTACTCATTAACCATATTTAGTAGAGACCTAGGGTTTTTTATTTGAGGTCCTTACTTTATGAACTTGAAATATAGGTCAAGGGCATAGGTAAATTTGACGTTCTAGATTTTGACCTTAGCATTAACTTTATTTTTATAAATGATAGAGCCAAAGAACTTCTTGCATTAGGTTGCAAGCCATATGACCTTGAAAAAGCCAACCAGAAGTGACCTTGTGTGAACCGGAAGTAGCTATTTTTTGTGCTTATTTAATGTAAAAGTGTATAGAAACCATATATTTTTTTGAATCGGTACTCACTATAATCTAAGACTGGAAATGACATTTTAGACTTGATTTTGATATCTTTAGATACAGCCTAAATATGTTACACTCCTAGACAATGAAGATGGTTTCATGGTAGATTGATCACTCATCTGGAGACATAGCATGTAAGTATTTGGTATTTTTAATTGTTCCTTAAACTATGTTTATATGGTTTGCAGGTAACAAAAATCAGTTTTCCCTGGAACAACAGCTTAAATTAGATTTGATTACAAATTGGTTTTAAATTTCTTTTATTCAAATTTATACTCTTATGAAGATAAGTTTAATGATAATGTATAGAAATTGTTTATATACTTGTCTTCAAATTAGGATTTGTCATAAAAAACGAATCATATTAATTTTGAATTAATTGCAACAATCAATATTCTCTATTTAAAGCTGATACTGATTTATAATTTTTGTATTTGTTAGATACAGACTAGATATGTTACACTCCTTGACAATGAAGATGCTTTCATGGTATATAGCACACGAAGATACATATCATGTAAGTATTTGGTCATTATAATTGTACTTTTATATCTTTTTATATGCGGAAGGTAATAAAAATCAGTTTTCCCCTTCAACAACCATTTAAAATTTTATTACAAATTTGTCTAATATTTCTTTTATTCAAATATTTACTGTAATAAGTTAAGTAATTGTAAATATACTAAGTCTCAAATTTAGGATTTGACAAAACATGCATCACATTAGTTTCTGAATTGATTGCAATAGCAAATATTCCCTATTTAAAGCTGATACTAATTTACAATTTTTGTTTTTCATACAGATACAGCCTAAATATGTTACTCTTCGACAATGAGATGGTTTCATTGTATATAGCACATTAGGATTAGTTACATGTATGTATTTATTCATTACAATTTTTTTCTTTAAACTAGGTTTATATTTGTTAGGCATTAAAAATCAGTTTTCACTGAAACAACAGATTGAAGCTTTATAACAAATTGGTTTAAAATTTCTTTTATTTTTATTTATATCCTAATGAAGTATATTTTAATAAGAATGTATAGGTATTGTAGATATACGTCTCCAATTTAGGATTTGACATAAAACATGCATCACATTAATTTCTGAATTGATTGCAACAGCAAATAGCTTTAATTTTGAAGCTGTAACTAATTTCAAATATTTGTTTTTGTTACAGATAGCCTAAATATGTAAGACTCCTATACCATGAAAGATGCTTCCATTGCAGATAGCATATTAGGATTAGTCACATGTAAGTATTTATTCATAACAATTGTTCTTAAAAACTATGTTTATATTTGTTAGGTAATAAAAATCAGTTTTTCCTGGAACAACAGCTTGAAATTTTATTACAAATTGGTCCTACATTTCATTTATTGAAATATTCACTGTAATGAGATATATTTTAATAAGAATTCAAAACGGAAAGCCCTAATCAAATGGCAAAATCAAAAGCTCAAACACATCAAATGAATGGATAACAACTGTTATATTCCTGACTTTGTACAGGCATTTTCTTATATAGAAAATGGTGGATTAAACCTGGTTTTAAAGTTAGCTAAACTTCTCGCTTGTATGACAGTCTCATCAAATTCCATTATATTGACAGTGATGTGTGAACAAAACAAACCGACACAATAGGTAAACATGTCACAAATAGGGGTACAACAGCAACACGAACCCCACCAAAAACGGGGTGTGATCTCAGGTGCTCCAGAAGGGTAAGCAGATTCTGCTCCACATGTGGCACCCGTCGTGTTGCTCATGTTATAACAAAGCTGGTAAATAGTCTAATTCAGTAGGTCACATTCGTCAAAAGGGAATGGGATTGTAGTTACGACATAAGGAACACGAAGTGATGATTTCAACTTTACCATTTGGAACTCTTGGTTTTGTATGGTGATTGTAAAAATTCTTGTCTCCAATGAAGGATTTGACATAAAACATGCATCACATTAAGTTCTGAATTGATTGCAACAGCAAATAGTCTGGATTAAAAGCTGAAATTAATGTATATTTTTTTTTGTTTTCGTTGCAGATAGCCTAAATATGTAAGACTCCTATGCCATGAAAGATGCTTCCATTGCAGATGCACATTAGGAATAGTCACATGTAGGTATTTGGTCATTACAGTTTTTTCTTAAAACAATATTTATATTTGTTAGGTAATAAAAATTGGTTTTTTTTCTGAAACAACAGATTGAATCTTTATAACAAATTGGGCTAAAATTTCTTTCATTCAAATTTATACTCTAATGCTGAATATTTTAATAAGAATGTATAGTAATTGTTTTTATACTTTTTGGGATTTAACATAAAACATGCATCACATTATTTTCTGAATTGATTGCAACAGCAAAAAGTCTGGATTTAAAGCGGAAACTTAATTTATAATTTTTGTTTTTGTTACAGATTATACAGCCTAAATATGTAACACTCCTATACCATGAAAGATGCTGTCATTGTAGATAGCACATTAGGATGTTGCACATGTAGGTATTTGGTCATTACAATTTTTCTTAAAACTATGTTTATGTTTGTTAGGTAATAAAAATCCATTTTTTTCCTGAACAGTTTGACAAAAAGATGCTTTATGTTAAAATGGGTCTCGTAAAAGCAGACCTCTGCAGAGAGCAAACTTTAGATTTTGATATAACATTGATGAATTTAATGGGCGCTAATCTCGTGAAAACAGATCCCCCAACAGAGCTGATTACATAGTATGATGAAAACTTGTGTTTATGGTAAAATGTATTTAGTTTTTTGTCTGGCTCCATTTCATTATCAACCAATTTGAAACTTTATTACAAATTGGTCTAAAAATATTTTCTTCAAATTTACATTCTAATGAAATATATTCTTAATGGAATGTATAGTAATTATAAATATTCTTGTCCAACATGCAAAAGATTAAATTCTGAAAAAATTGCTACAGCAAATAGACTCTCAAGCTGATATTAAGTGATAGTTTTTGTTAAAGATACAGCCTAAATATGTTGCACTCCTAGACAGAAGAAGATGGATTCATGGCACATAGGAAGAGTCAACATGTAAGTATTTGGTAATTACAATTGTACTTAAAACTATGTTAATATTTGGAAGTCAATAAAAATCTGTTTTCACTGAAACAATAGCTTAAAATTTTATTACAAATTGGTCTAAAATATCTTTTATTCGAATTTCAAATGTGGTATATTTTAATAAGAATGAAAGAGTAATTGTAAATTAATTGTCCGTAATTTAAGATTTAACATAAAACGTGAATCACATTAATTTTTTAATTTTTTCAACAGCCATTAAATATTCTTTCTTAAGCTGATGCTAATTTAAATTTTTTCTTTTGTAACACACACAGCCCAGATATGTTCCACTCCCACACAATGTAGATGGTTTCATGGTAGATGGCACATTAGGATGTTTAACATGTAGGTATTTAGTCATTACAATTGTACTTTAGACTTTATATGTGTTGGGTAATAAATATCAGTTTTCCCTGGAACAACAGCTAAAATAAAATTTTATTTCAAATTAGTGTTTGTTCAAATTTATAGTCTATTGAAGTAAATTTTAACATGAATGCGTAGTAATTGTAAATATACTTCCAGTCCAATTTAGGATTTGACATAAAATATGAGTGACATTTATTTATAATTGATTGCAACAGCCAGTAGTCTCTATTTGAAGCTGGTAAAATCTTTCCACTTTTCCGTGAAAAGACTCAATGCTTTTGTTCTGATTATTATAATTTGTTTTTTCTTCCGCCTAATTTTTTTCCTTCACTGTTTGGTTGTTTTGCAAGATGTCGCTTAGATATTTGGTATATGATATCAAACAGTTTATACGCTCTTGAAACTGACACCGCTTAACCGAATACTTTTCTATGTAAGAGTTATCTCCCCGAACACTGTTTTTCTTGATATTTCTTATTCTTCGCAAATTACTCGTTATATCCTGGATGTTACGTTTCATTTTGACTGAAGCGTTGCGAAGACTCCATATGAGAGTTATTCCCCCTTATGTATTTGAAATAAGTGATATGTATTTGTAACTTGTAAACCATAAGGGATAGAGACCTAGGGTGTTTTGGTTTGAGGTCATTGGTCAACTTAAAGAAAATTTAGGTCAAGGTCAAAGGTCAAGGTCCTCTTCTAAATTTTTATTTTGACTTATTTCTTATCAGAGGCCATATAAGATATTGACAAAATATTTTTACTAAATTGTTAATGCAAACTGTCGTAACACATGATTTTTGGTTGAACGCGTACGTTGACATGAAATGGGAGTTTCTTCCCCTCTCATATTTAAAGCTAGTTGTATGATGATATTACTCATTAACCATATTTAGTAGAGACCTAGGGTTTTTTATTTGAGGTCCTTACTTTATGAACTTGAAATATAGGTCAAGGGCATAGGTAAATTTGACGTTCTAGATTTTGACCTTAGCATTAACTTTATTTTTATAAATGATAGAGCCAAAGAACTTCTTGCATTAGGTTGCAAGCCATATGACCTTGAAAAGCCAACCAGAAGTGACCTTGTGTGAACCGGAAGTAGCTATTTTTTGTGCTTATTTAATGTAAAAGTATATAGAACCATATATTTTTGGAATCCGTGTCAAGTAACCTATCATATTATACAAGAAGTAATATTTTTCTAAACCGGAAGTATCAAATTATCTCCCTTATTTCGGACAAAAGTGTATAGAAACCATATATTTTTTTGAATCGGCACTCACTATAATCTAAGACTGGAAATGACATTTTAGACTCGATTTTGATATTTTTAGATACAGCCTAAATATGTTACACTCCTAGACAATGAAGATGGTTTCATGGTAGATTGATCACTCATCTGGAGACATAGCATGTAAGTATTTGGTATTTTTAATTGTTCCTTAAACTATGTTTACCGTAGAAAGGCTTGTATAGTTCGCAGTGGTACATAGTCCGCACCCCCTTCTCCCAACGAAATTTTAGGTAAAAAAACTTTTTGTAACTGTTAGAAAAGGTCTAATGAAACTCTGGTAATTTCAAATCCTGTGCGGTCGTTTGCGGTATTTTCTTGGAAAAACCTGTTTTCCATCATCAAACAGAAGCTGAAACTGCTTGTAAATGATTCTAGAACGCTTCATGATTGTTAAAATAAGTTTAATTCACTTAAAAAACAATTTAGAAACTTGTGTATGTTTAAACAGGAAGTTTAAAAAGCACGTGTAAAAGAAGAAATTAACCGGTGAGAGTCGAAATCCGTACATAACAGATATCACTATAATACGACTTTGAAAGTAAAACAGTTCCATCCTTTTGTAAAACAGTCTTTAATATATCTATCACATTAATGTTTGAAGGGTCTTAAGCTAATACAAACCATATTAGTCAGTATGAAACACCAAAACGGAACGAACAATAACCGATTACGTTTTGTAGTTTACAAATTCTAAGCTGGTTTACGGTTGTCTTTTTCCCTATGTTTGTATCGTTTCAATCAAACAGATACCAGTTTATTTCAACCAATGCATTGAAAAGAAACGAGAAATTTGTAATGAAAGGTTTAGTTTTTATATTTATCAGTATTAATTTGATATTGAATAGAAATAACTTATTAATATGGATGAGTTAAAATTATTAGTTTGAAAAATGATAAGAGCGCCCTCTACAATAGAAATAACAAAGATGGCGGAACGTAAACAAACCACCTCGACCGCGAAATTGAAATTTTTCTCTTATTTCTTGCTTATTGTACTCTATAGTCCGCACCCCGTCTGGAAGGTCCAATTTTGGAGAATAAAACCGCGGACTATACAAGCCTTTCTACGGTATATGGTTTGCAGGTAACAAAAATCAGTTTTCCCTGGAACAACAGCTTAAATTAGATTTGATTACAAATTGGTTTTAAATTTCTTTTATTCAAATTTATACTCTTATGAAGATAAGTTTAATGATAATGTATAGAAATTGTTTATATACTTGTCTTCAAATTAGGATTTGTCATAAAAAACGAATCATATTAATTTTGAATTAATTGCAACAATCAATATTCTCTATTTAAAGCTGATACTGATTTAGAATTTTTGTTTTTGTTAGATACAGACTAGATATGTTACACTCCTTGACAATGAAGATGCTTTCATGGTATAAAGCACACGAAGATACATATCATGTAAGTATTTGGTCATTATAATTGTACTTTTATATCTTTTTATATGTGGAAGGTAACAAAAATCAGTTTTCCCCTTGAACAACCATTTAAAATTTTATTACAAATTTGTCTAATATTTCTTTTATTCAAATATTTACTGTAATAAGTTAAGTAATTGTAAATATACTAAGTCTCAAATTTAGGATTTGACAAAACATGCATCACATTAATTTCTGAATTGATTGCAATAGCAAATATTCCCTATTTAAAGCTGATACTAATTTACAATTTTTGTTTTTCATACAGATACAGCCTAAATATGTTACTCTTCGACAATGAGATGGTTTCATTGTATATAGCACATTAGGATTAGTTACATGTATGTATTTATTCATTACAATTTTTTTCTTTAAACTAGGTTTATATTTGTTAGGCATTAAAAATCAGTTTTCACTGAAACAACAGATTGAAGCTTTATAACAAATTGGTTTAAAATTTCTTTTATTTTTATTTATATCCTAATGAAGTATATTTTAATAAGAATGTATAGGTATTGTAGATATACGTCTCCAATTTAGGATTTGACATAAAACAAGCATCACATTAATTTCTGAATTGATTGCAACAGCAAATAGCTTTAATTTTGAAGCTGTAACTAATTTCAAATATTTGTTTTTGTTACAGATAGCCTAAATATGTAAGACTCCCATACCATGAAAGATGCTTCCATTGGAGATAGCATATTAGGATTAGTCACATGTAAGTATTTATTCATAACAATTGTTCTTAAAAACTATGTTTATATTTGTTAGGTAATAAAAATCAGTTTTTCCTGGAACAACAGCTTGAAATTTTATTACAAATTGGTCCTACATTTCATTTATTGAAATATTCACTGTAATGAGATATATTTTAATAAGAATTCAAAACGGAAAGCCCTAATCAAATGGCAAAATCAAAAGCTCAAACACATCAAATGAATGGATAACAACTGTTATATTCCTGACTTTGTACAGGCATTTTCTTATGTAGAAAATGGTGGATTAAACCTGGTTTTAAAGTTAGCTAAACTTCTCGCTTGTATGACAGTCTCATCAAATTCCATTACCGGTATATTGACAGTGATGTGTGAACAAAACAAACCGACACAATAGGTAAACATGTCACAAATAGGGGTACAACAGCAACACGAACCCCACCAAAAACGGGGTGTGATCTCAGGTGCCCCGGAAGGGTAAGCAGATTCTGCTCCACATGTGGCACCCGTCGTGTTGCTCATGTTATAACAAAGCTGGTAAATAGTCTAATTCAGTAGGTCACATTCGTGAAAAGGGAATGGGATTGTAGTTACGACATAAGGAACACGAAGTGATGATTTCAACTTTACCATTTGGAACTCTTGGTTTTGTATGGTGATTGTAAAAATTCTTGTCTCCAATGAAGGATTTGACATAAAACATGCATCACATTAAGTTCTGAATTGATTGCAACAGCAAATAGTCAGGATTAAAAGCTGAAATTAATGTATATTTTTTTTTTTTTTCGTTGCAGATAGCCTAAATATGTAAGACTCCTATGCCATGAAAGATGCTTCCATTGCAGATGCACATTAGGAATAGTCACATGTAGGTATTTGGTCATTACAATTTTTTCTTAAAACAATATTTATATTTGTTAGGTAATAAAAATTGGTTTTTTTCTGAAACAACAGATTGAAGCTTTATAACAAATTGGGCTAAAATTTCTTTCATTCAAATTTATACTTTAATGCTGAATATTTTAATAAGAATGTATAGTAATTGTTTTTATACTTTTTGGGATTTAACATAAAACATGCATCACATTATTTTCTGAATTGATTGCAACAGCAAAAAGTCTGGATTTAAAGCGGAAACTTAATTTATAATTTTTGTTTTTGTTACAGATTATACAGCCTAAATATGTAACACTCCTATACCATGAAAGATGCTGTCATTGTAGATAGCACATTAGGATGTTGCACATGTAGGTATTTGGTCATTACAATTTTTCTTAAAACTATGTTTATGTTTGTTAGGTAATAAAAATCCATTTTTTTCCTGAACAGTTTGACAAAAAGATGCTTTATGTTAAAATGGGTCTCGTAAAAGCAGACCTCTGCAGAGAGCAAACTTTAGATTTTGATATAACATTGATGAATTTAATGGGCGCTAATCTCGTGAAAACAGATCCCCCAACAGAGCTGATTACATAGTATGATGAAAACTTGTGTTTATGGTAAAATGTATTTAGTTTTTTGTCTGGCTCCATTTCATTATCAACCAATTTGAAACTTTATTACAAATTGGTCTAAAAATATTTTCTTCAAATTTACATTCTAATGAAATATATTTATTCGAATTTCAAATGTGGTATATTTTAATAAGAATGAAAGAGTAATTGTAAATTAATTGTCCGTAATTTAAGATTTAACATAAAACGTGAATCACATTAATTTTTTAATTTTTTCAACATCCATTAAATATTCTTTATCTAAAGCTGATGCTAATTTAAATTATTTCTTTTGTAACACATACAGCCCAGATATGTTCCACTCCCACACAATGTAGATGGTTTCATGGTAGATGGCACATTAGGATGTTTAACATGTAAGTATTTAGTCATTACAATTGTACTTTAGGCTGTTTATGTGTGTTGGGTAATAAATATCAGTTTTCCCTGGAACAACAGCTAAAATAAAATTTTATTTCAAATTAGTGTACATATTTTTTTTTTTGTTCAAATTTATAGTCTATTGAAGTAAATTTTAACATGAATGCGTAGTAATTGTAAATATACTTCGAGTCCAATTTAGGATTTGACATAAAATATGAGTGACATTTATTTATAATTGATTGCAACAGCCAATAGTCTCTATTTGAAGCTGGTAAAGTCTTTCCACTTTTCCGTGAAAAGACTTCATGCTTTTGTTCTGATTATTATACCCCACGCAACGAGTTGCAAAGGGTATAATGTTTTTGACCCGTCCGTCAGTCTGTCAGTCCTGTTTCTTGTCATCGCAACTTCTCTCAAACCACACAACAGAATTTCACATAACCTTTTTAGATAATAAGGACATACTATGTAGGTGTGAATATCGACAGGAAATTGCGATTCAATTTTTTTTTTTAGGAGTTACGCCCCTTTGAACTTATTTACTTTAATGTACTACTGCAACAGTTTGTAATCGCAACTCCTCTGATACCACACAACAGAATTTCATGAAACCTTTTTAGATAATAAGGACATACTATGTAGATGTGCATATCGACAGGAAATTACGGTTCAATTTTTTTTCTAGGAGTTACGCCCCTTTTAACTTATTTGCTTCAATGTACTACTGCAACAGTTTGTCATCGCGACTCCTCTGATACCACACAACAGAATTTCATGAAACCTTTTTAGATAATAAGGACATACTATGTAGATGTGCATATCGACAGGAAATTACGGTTAAATTTTTTTCTAGGAGTTACGCCCCTTTGAACTTATTTGCTTCAATGTACTACTGCAACAGTTTGTCATCGCAACTCCTCTGATACCACACAACAGAATTTCATGAAACCTTTTTAGATAATAAGGACATACTATGTAGATGTGCATATCGACAGAAAATTATGGTTCAATTTTTTTTCTAGGAGTTGCGTCCCTTTGAACTTATTTGCTTCAATGTACTACTGCAACAGTTTGTCATCGCAACTCCTCTGATACCACACAACAGAATTTCATGAAACCTTTTTAGATAATAAGGACATACTATGTAGTTGTGCATATTGACAGGAAATTATGGTTCAATTTTTTTTCTAGGAGTTACGTCCCTTTGAACTTATTTGCTTCAATGTACTACTGCAACAGTTTGTCATCGCAACTCCTCTGATACCACACAACAGAATTTCATGAAACCTTTTTAGATAATAAGGACATACTATGTAGTTGTGCATATTGACAGGAAATTATGGTTCAATTTTTTTTCTAGGAGTTACGCCCCTTTGAACTTATTTGCTTCAATGTACTACTGCAACAGTTTGTCATCGCAACTCCACTGATACCATACAACAGAATTTCATGAAACCTTTTTAGATAATAAGAACATACTATGCAGATGTGCATATCGACAGGAAATTACGATTCAATTTTTTTTCTAGGAGTTACGCCCCTTTGAACTTATTTGCTTCAATGTACTACTGCAACAGTTTGTCATCGCAACTCCTCTGATACCACACAACAGAACTTCATGAAACCTTTTTAGATAATAAGGACATACTATGTAGATGTGCATATTGACAGGAAATTATGATTCAATTTTTTTTTCTTATACAATTTTTTTTTCTTATACAATTTTTTTTTTTACACATATTTTATTTCTCCAATGACAATGTGGGGACGTGGGGTATGTGAGCGCGCTCACTAAGGTTCTTTAATTATAATTTTTTTTTCTTTCGCCTAATTTTTTTCCTTCACTGTTTGGTTGTTTTGCAAGATGTCGCTTAGATATTTGGTATATGATATCAAACAGTTTATACGCTCTTGAAACTGACACCGCTTAACCGAATACTTTTCTATGTAAGAGTTATCTCCCCGAACACTGTTTTTCTTGATATTTCTTATTCTTCGCAACCTTAGAAGAAACCGACTAATTTATTTTTTCAAATTACTCGTTATATCCTGGATGTTACGTTTCATTTTGACTGAAGCGTTGCGAAGACTCCATATGAGAGTTATTCCCCCTTATGTATTTGAAATAAGTGATATGTATTTGTAACTTGTAAACCATAAGTGATAGAGACCTAGGGTGTTTTGGTTTGAGGTCATTGGTCAACTTAAAGAAAATTTAGGTCAAGGTCATCTTCTAAATTTTTATTTTGGCTTATTTCTTATCAGAGGCCGTACAAGATATTGACAAAATATTTTTACTAAATTGTTATATGCAAACTGTCGTAACACACGATTTTTGGTTGAACGCGTACGTTGACATAAAATGGGAGTTTCTTCCCCTCTCATATTTAAAACTAGCTGTATGGTGATATTACTCATTAACCATATATAGTATAGACCTAGGGTTTTTTATTTGAGGTCCTTACTTTATGACTTTAAAATATAGGTCAAGGTCATGGGTAAATTTGACGTTCTATATTTTGATTGTAGCATTAACTTTATTTTTATAAACGATAGAGCCATAGGACTTCTTGCATTTAGTTGCAAGATATATGACCTTGAAAAAGCCAACCAGAAGTGACCTTGTGTGAACCGGAAGTAGCTATTTTCTTTACTTATTTAATGTAAAAGTATATAGAACCATATATTTTTGGAATCCGTGTCTAAGTAACCCATCATCATTATACCAGAAGTAATATTTTTCAAACCGAAAGTAACAAATTATCTCCCTTATTTCGGACAAAAGTGTATAGAAACCATATATTTTTGGAATCGGCACTCAGCTATAATCTAAGATTGGAAATGACATTTTAAACTCGATTTTGATATTTTCAGATACAGCCTAAATATGTTACACTCCTAGACAATGAAGATGGTTTCATGGTAGATTGATCACTCCTCTGGATACATAGCATGTAAGTATTTGGTATTTTTAATTGTTCCTTAAACTATGTTTATATGGTTTTCAGGTAACAAAAATCAGTTTTCCCTGGAACAACAGCTTAAATTAGATTTGATTACAAATTGGTTTAAAATTTCTTTTATTCAAATTTATACTCTTATGAATAAGTTTAATGATAATGTATAGAAATTGTTTATATACTTGTCTTCAAATAAGGATTTGTCATAAAAATGCATCTTATTAATTTTGAATTAATTGCAACAATCAATATTCTCTATTTAAAGCTGATACTGATTTAGAATTTTTGTTTTTGTTAGATACAGACTAGATATGTTACACTCCTTGACAATGAAGATGCTTTCATGGTATATAGCACACGAAGATACATATCATGTAAGTATTAGGTCATTATAATTGTACTTTTATATCTTTTTATATGTGGAAGGTAACAAAAATCAGTTTTCCCCTTGAACAACAGTTTGAAATTTTATTAAAAATTTGTCTAACATTTCTTTTATTCAAATATTTACTGTACTGAGGTATATTTTTCATAAGAATGTAAAGTAATTGTAAATATACTAGTCTCCAATTTAGGATTAGACATAAAACATGCATCACATTAATTTTCTGAATTGTTTTTTTTACAGATGCTAATTATATGATATTTCAGTAGTAGAAGGTGCAGCATGGCAGCAATATGATATTTCAGTAGTATAAGGTGCAGCATGGCAGCAGAAGATGTTACATGGAGAATCGTGAAGAGACAGTTTAATTCTTTAGAGGATAAATAATATTATAGTTTATAGATTTATAGTTTATAAATTCTTTAAAGTTCAAACAGATGAGAATTTGCCAAGTGCCCTCAATATGTCTACAATGATATAACATTCATAATTAAGAATGTATTGTAAACCTCTTTTTCAATATTCATATTAAAGGAAGTAGATTGTCAATTTCGATATTTACTTATTTACCTTAAATTTTATTAAGTAATTGGAACAATATGTCTTTATTTAGATTGTTTGAAATTCAAGTTCAAAATGTATTTACATCAGATAGTTTGGGTTTGCCAGCAACTTCAGTTGTATTATAGTATAGCCAAAAGATCATTTGTTGGTTGTAAATAATGCCAGCTCTAAATAAGATCTTAAAATAGAAACTATCTTCAAATTTGACAAGTTACCATATCTACATATGAATAAATTAGAATAGTCTGTAAATATTCTGTATTTTCCTTTTTGCATCATCTTTTGAGTAACCAAATCAGAACACCCAATTTTGTGAAATACTTTTTCCTGTTATATCTATCATTGCTTTTGTAAGATAAAAAGACAAATGTATATGCAGTTTTGTTTAATATATTTAAACTAAAAAATTCAATTTCAAATTAACACAAACAAAAATTACTTTAACTTATGGTTTAGTTCATGCACCCTTTAATGTATATCTTAAAAGTTTTGTTGTGGACTAAGCAAATATCAAATTATCATTTCAGAAGTACATTTTGCTTGCATGGTAATATCTTCACTAACATTTAACATAGTGGGTTTTGGAGTTGCTGAGGTAGTTCTTATTGAGGTGTTTCTTTTTTTTTCTACAGAGGAATCAGTGGTTTCTGTCTTCAGGATATGGTTTTGTCATTCAAAGGGAACTGTCAATGTAATTCTGAAATGATATACATTTGGTATTTTATTGTCATTGAAAAAGAAACAATATTAGTGCATGAACATTTGAACTGTGAATATATAATATTTAAACTTTATAATTTATAATTTTTAAATCTATTTTGGAAATTTACTGTATCAAAATTAAATTGTATTTGACAGTTTGATGGATGGAAATTGAAAATTGGACAAACTTAATTTATGTTCTAAATTTAAGCACAAGTGAAAATAAAATTTCAAATATAAATTTCTACTTCATTAAAACTTTAAATGGATCTGCAAAATCACTGATAGCTAACATGGTTAATCCACTTAATTAGATAGTGTCGTTAAGTATAGTCTAATGAATCCTGTTGATATCCTATTAAAAGTATTGATGTATTATAAATCCTATTCCTAAATCTAACATGTCAGACGCCAGAGACCCCCCTTTGTTATAGAGGGATCGCCCTTGCATCAGTGTCTTACAAATTGTACTGTAATATACTGAACTATAGATTAGCTCAGTGGGTAGATGATAACAATGTACTGGTTGAGGAACAGAATGGTTTACGGCAAATTTGTAGTACAATAGACCAATTATCTACTCTTACTAATTTGATAGATGTGAGAAAAACACTTCCTAAATCAATCTTTTGCGCCTTTATTGAATTTAAAAAGGCTTATGACACTACAAAGAGATATTTTATGGTATAAACTAAATAAATTGGTGTTGCACAGACTTTTTGTTCTGCTATTAAGTCAATTTATACAAATGTTCTGTAAGAATAAACAGTCATTTCACAGACTAGCTTGATGTAAACACTGGCTTGAAACAAGGATGTCCCTTGTCGCTCATTTTGTTCAACTTGTATATTAATGATTGAGTAACATTTCTTAAGTCCTTTGACTGCGGAATAGAAATTGGTGATGAAAAACTGTATTTTATTATATGCTGATGACATTTTTATAGCAAACAATGAAAAAGAGCTTACAACTTTTCTTAAATGCCTTTTCTACATGATTTAAAGACAATTGTATTGACAATTAATTCAAACAAGAGTAACATTGTACAATTTAGACCACCATCTATACCTAGATATGATGTAATTTTTAATTTTAATGGTCATACTATTAAGTTTCTAGTAATGATACTTATCTTGGTCTCGTTTTAAACAAGCATTTAGACTATAATATCACTATAAAAGCCGTTGCATCTTCAGCAAATAGAGCTTTAGGGATGGTAATAGCCAAGTGTAAACTTTTAGGTGGTGTTTGTTTCGATGTATTTGTAAAATTATATGAAAGTTTGGTTTGTCCTATAATAGAATATGAAAAGGTATGTGGGGTGTAAAGACATATTCTTGTATAAATTTCATACATAATGGGGCCTGTAGATTTTTTCTAGAAGTAAAAAAATATGCACTAAATGCTGCAGTTACTGAAGACTTGGGTATAATTGTATTTTCCCGCATTTCGTATAGCGGGAAAATATTGTATTGACGGGCACAGGTCGTATGAATATACAATAGGGTCACTTATAGTGACTAATGGGTGTACTTTCTGGTAATAAAGCATAGGGTCACTTTCTATGTGTCGTGAAACGAGTGAACACTCACCTTGCATTTTTGATGTATATACGTTGATAATTTTATTTTTGTATTGCATTTTGATTTGCCAATACACACATGTGTTAAGGTGTAGGTCAGAGCACCTGACCCTGGAGACAGGATTGCGCACTTGGCATCCACTGACACAGGTTTCTAGAGCTTTTTGATCGATTATATCGTTTTTTTTATCTCTAGTTGTTCCTGGCCGGCCCTGACTGTCTATGAAGGGGTGCATTTAGTCAAAAATTGGTTTTGGTGTGGTTAGGATAATCATGGAAGTATTATATTTTACTTCCATGGGATAATATATATACATAGGAATTGTATGATTTTGAATTATATATGCATTGCAATAATAATGATTTATTGAATTTGTGGATATTTATAATACAATCTGGCGTCCATCGAGCATGACGGGCTGTCGGTCGGCAAACTAAGATTATGTTTGCGTTGTTTATATTTGGCATGAGTATGTAGTAAATACCACCTATTTTTGATAAGCAGTGGAAAAGTATTATTTGTTTGTGGTGTAGATTTAATAACATGAGCTCAAGTCGGATAAATGCAAAAGTTCATTAGTGGGCTGATAGAATGAGTATTAAGCATAAGTCTGTTGAAAACGAACTTTTTAGTAAGGAAAACCTCTGAAGTTATTTATCGTGTCCTGAAAATATGGACACTAATAATGTTAAACTTTTAATGTCAAAATACATTTCAGTCACAGAAGTGCTTTTCTCAAATTTAGATGTGGTGTTGCTCCACTAAGGATTTTAACTGGGAAATATGTAAATATTGTTTTAGAGTGTGCCATATATGTTATAGTTTTATTGAAGACGAAGCACATGTTTTATTAAGATGTCCTCTTTATGAAGATTTTAGAAACCATTTATATTATGTTGCTGAAACTTATAATGAAAATTTTAATACTTTAGATGATAACCAAAAGTTAGTGTTTTTATTCTCAGATGTAAATATGTGTTTTTATTCTCAGATGTAAATATGATACATGTGTGATCCAAAACCTGTTATTTGATTTTAAAAAGGCGTAGAAAATTTATATATGGTAAATACATGTAGTACTTTATTTCATATTGTTTAATATATTATATCTATGCATTTTAATAGTCTCTTATAATTCTGTAAAGAATGGCTCATTTTATTTAGTATTGTTTTACAATGTATAAATATCGATTGTCGAGAGATGATACATTCATAAAATATTGAATTAATTGAATTGAGTTTGTTAGTATTACAATCAATATTTGTGTATGCCTCGCACAAAAAGGTGCAAACAGGGCCGTACTGGACATCTTCAGTTATCAAGGTTTTTTTTTTATAACAAACCCACTGAGATCTGGTATCCAGGAAATTAAAATGAATCAACAATACTTTCATGTATTTTGTACAATAATATTTTTCTAATTACACCTTATTCATGATGCAGATTTGTCTTCATCTAATACTATGATGATGTACTACAGTGGCATAAAAGTAGTTACGATAGGTTTAGAAAGTGTCATTTTGATATTTATTATCATGATGCATTAGAATCAAATTTCCCCACGTTTCAAGGAATAACATTGAAAAATAATTTATAAGTCAACACTTCTAACCAGCAGTCTGTTTTGAATAATAAGGATTTCTTCAAAACTGTTCAATGTATACCTCCTTCGACAATCTTCCTAGCATTGGATATTGGAATTTTTAAAAAATTTTCCCCACTACATTTTCAGTTTTAAATTCAATTCGCCGTGTTAACTCGTTTTAGTTGGTTGTTCCATGTCAGCGAGGTCGTCGATGATAGAATTTTTGCCATTATTTGATATTTCACATAAAATACAATGTAAGAGCATTTTATCAATTATAATTGCTACGATTTTCTTTATATATTTATGCTTATCCTTGTATGCATGTTTATTGTTTTAATAAAGATAAAATCCGATGTCCAGGTTATCGGCAATATGAATATATTATTTGTTTTGTTTAAGCCTAAGTATTTGGAAAGATTCGTAAATGAAATTTTTTTGAGGAAACCAAGGATTTGCAAATCCTTAACAAAACCTATGTTACAGCTCATTAACCCCTTCCATGGTGATGCACATGTTCATCCATCCCTTTGTCCTGTCTTAAGTTTGCTTTCCATTCTGATTAATTACAATTTGCCTAATGTCTTGAACAACAATAATATGCAGGTCAAGTTCGATTTTGTCTTAGTTACTTTTAGAGGGGTGATATTACCATTGTTTTCCCCCATTAGTCTTTGTTAAATTTGCACTCTTCTTAAAATTTATCTTTGTTCCAAATAAAGAAATACTTGGCTTTAGTCCAGTTTTATTCTTTTTAGCTGTATGGCTACAGACAAAATTTCAATTAACATGTCGTTGCATATACGATGATTACCATCACTGGAAGTTCACCAATCAAATGTTCTCCCCTTTTTGTCCTGTGTACAAGCTTATGTAACCCCAAGTTTCCTAAATATTCTATAGAAACACCAAATCAGAGGCTCTGACGATCCTGTGTCGCTCACCTGGTTCTACTTTGATTGTGGAAATCATGTAAAAATAGATTAAAATCATAACAGATACCCTAATAATAATTGAGGCCAAGTTTGGTTTAATATTGGCCCCGTAATTTAATCAAAAATCATGATGGTCATCTTGAACAGTAAATCGGCAACAAAGTAGCAAGTCCCCCATTTGCAGCCATCTTGGTTGATGGATTTGCTACAAAGTAACAACACTTAGTCAGCACCTCATAAGAAACATTCATGCCATGTTTGGTTTCATCACATTCAGTGGTTCTTCAAAAGAAGACTTTTGTATGTATTTCACATAGGGTCCTTTGTTAA